CTTCCCCTTCCTCAGCCAATACAATAAATGTTGACCTGGATAATTGGGTAAGAGCTTCCAAACCACCTCATATGGCTCTCTTTCTATGCAAGAGGAAGGTGGGTGGCTTATGACCTTCCAAATCCATCTTATAAAAAATGGATAGGGACTGCTCTCCGCTCCACATCAGGCCTGATCTCTTTGTCCCAAAATACTGAGCTTTAATGTGCAGCTAAAAACAGAGCTGCCTCAGGTGCTGAACACATATAAACATTAAAGCAAGTACTGAGAGTGTTTGGCCATCAAAGCTGCATCTACGGAAGTTGTAATGGGGCATCTGCAACAAGGATGGATCAATGTATTGTCGAAGGCTTTTATGGCCGGAATCACTGGGTTGTTGTAGGGTTTTTCGGGCTATATGCCCATGGTCTAGAGGCATTCTCTTCTGACGTTTCGCCTGCATCTATGGCAAGCATCCTCAGAGGTAGTGAGGTCTGTTGGAACTAGGGGAAAGGGTTTATATATCTGTGGAATGACAAAGGACTCTCGTCTGCTGGAGCTAGGTGTGAATGTTTCAACTGACCACCTTGATTAGCATATAATGGCCTGACAATGCCTGGAGCAAACTTCTGTTGAGAGGTGATTAGGTGTCCTTATTTGTTTCCTCTCTGTTGTTGTGTTGTTGTAATTTTAGTTTTTTTAATACTGGTAGCCAGATTTTGTTCATTTTCATGGTTTCCTTCTTTCTGTTGAAATTGTCCACATGCTTGTGGATTTCAATGGCTTCTCTGTGTAGTCTGACATGGTGGTTGTGAGAGTGGTCCAGCATTTCTGTGTTCTCAAATAAAATGCTGTGTCCAGGTTGGTTCATCAGGTGCTCTGCTATGGCTGACTTCTCTGGTTGAAGTAGTCTGCAGTGCCTTTCATGTTCCTTGATTTGTGTTTGGGCAAAGCTGCGTTTGGTGGTCCCTATGTAGACTTGTCCACAGCTGCATGGTACACAGTAGACTCCTGCAGAGGTGAGAGGATCCCTCTTGTCCTTTGCTGAACGTAGCATTTGTTGGATTTTCTTGGTGGGTCTGTAGATAGTTTGTATGTTGTTTCCTCATCAGCTTCCCTATGCGGTCAGTGGTTCCCTTGATGTATGGCAAGAACACTTTTCCTCTGGGTGGATCTCTGTCTTGACTCTCGTGGCTTGTTCTTGGTCTTGCAGCTCTTCTGATGTCTGAGGTGGAGTATCCATTGGCCTGGAGAGCCCAGTTGAGGTGGTTCAGTTCATCTTGGAGGAGGTGGGGTTCGCAGATTCTTTTTGCACGGTCTGCCAAGGCTTTAATGGTGCTTCTTTTTTGACTTGGGTGATGCTTGGAGTTTTTATGTAGATATCTCTGTGTGTGGGTTTTTCTGTAAATGGTGTGACCCAATTGTTGATCTGGTTTGCGGATGACTAGGACATCGCTTGTCGAAGGCTTTCATGGCCGGAATCACTGGGTTGTTGTAGGGTTTTTCGGGCTAAGGATGGATCGCTTATTATGATCCCATCTATACTACTATATAAACCGCCAGCTACAGAAGATCTCCCCAACCAGGTTGGCAGTTCAAGCTGCGGATTGGGGTAAGCTCCCGCCATCAGTCCTAGCTAAACTGCTTGCCTAGCAGTTCAAAAACAGTAATGTGAGTAAATAGGTGCCCCTGAAGAAATCATGGCAATTTGATCAGGAAGATGTCCATGGCTCCTCGGTGTTGAAAAACAGAATAGCACCTCCCATGGCCAAGTCAAGCACAGCCTCGAGATGCCAGAGATGAGAAAAGAATTTATGCCTCTATTTATGTACTGTCTTTGTTGTCAATTATATAATTGAATTGAATGTTTGCCGTATATGTACCTTGCAATCCGCTCTGAGTCCCTTTGGGGAGATAAGAGTAGAATATAAATAAAGTATTATTATATTATTTCAGAATGAAGTGTAACTGCACTAGACAGCGTTATATGGCAGTGTACATGGAGCCTATGACCTTAGCAAATGCAATAGGTGACAGTCTGGCACTTGCAAGGAGCGGCTGAAGACTGGTATTGCTCGTTTTTAAAAAATAAACCAAGAGCTCCCTCTGCTGAGTCAGGATCTGTTCTTCAAATAGTGCTTTACTACCATGCTAATAAAATACTGATTAAGGAACTGTTTTAAACGTTTCCACTGTTTCGTTTTGTTGATTTGTTTGAGAAATTCTTTCCACCCTTCTGTTTAGGTTCCCTGCCTATTTCTCAACTAGCCAATTCTAGGGCCTCATGAAATTACAAAACCAGAATTTCGTAGGATGTTGCAGTTAAAAGGAGCCCCCGGTGGCGCAGTGGGTTAACCTGCTGAGCTGCTGAAAGTGCTGATTGAAAGGTTGCAGGTTCGAATACGGGGAGCGATGTGAGCTCCCGTTGTTAGCCCCAGCTTCTGACAACCTAGCAGTTTGAAAACATGCAAATGTGAGATCAATAGGTACCGCTCCTGCAGGAAGGTAATGGGGCTCCATGCAGTCATGCTGGCCACATGACCTTGGAGGTGTCTATAGACAATGCCGGCTCTTCAGATTAGAAATGGAGATGAGCACCAGCCCCCAGAGTCAGACATGACTGGACTTTATGTCAGGGGAAAACCTTTACCTGTAGTTAAAATGCTTTATTTGCTAGGTCTCAATCCTAGTTACTTCCGACTGAATGGACCGACTCTGAGACAAATAAGCAGGATTCAAGCCCACGTTTCTTGACAGAGAGAAAAACGGTACATATTTATTTGGGCGTTTTGATCCACACTTGTTTTTCCCCTTTCAACTCCCTTTTCAAGGGGGGAGATAAGATTATCAGAGTATTTATCTAGCTATTTATACACCACTTATACTCTGGCAAAGGACTCAAAGCAGCGTATCCTTTGAGTTCTTTATCCATGAATACTCAGAAATAGCTATGGCTTTGCTGACGTCAATTGTGGAAAGTGTGTTCATTCACAAGGCAGTTTTCAGAGACATTTCCACATACATCTTGCCTTGTTTGTTCCCAGCATCATAGCATTGTAAGGCACAATACAGGAAGACACCGCTCAAATAAGCCTGACAAATGGTCATCAACCCTGGCTTCAACAAGACCCATATGTAGTTCTGTAGGCCCCCAAACACCACCATAGCTTTATTTCCATGGATTCCTAGCTTGCTGCCCTGCAGATATATTGGTCTGAAATTCCCCATTCTTGCTTAGAATGAAGCATCGTAGTTCCATTCTATCAATGGGCATCCTGTTAGGGAAACTAGCCATAAATGTTCAAACTTTAGTTATTTTGGAGCAAATGTAAGTGAATGGACTTCATTTGGTTCTGCTTTTAAAACTATGTTCTGAAACCAGTGTTGACTACTACTGTGGAGAATACTTTTATGTTAAAACTCCTCACTTTAGGCATCAAAACATCTTGGTCTCTGGACTTAAAATGCTTTTGTGCAAGCACAGGTGCTCCATCTTCTGGCCAACCTGAAAATTGCATTTATATAAAATCAAATCCTCCTATGTTAACTGTCCAAGTTATGGGACAGGAAATTGAACCCACCCAATACACAGGATAGCAGCACCTGCCATTCTCCGCTCTTGGCTAAGGATGAAAGGCTGTTCAGTAACATCTAGAGTGCCATACCTGACATAGAATCAGTCACAGAATCATAGTTGGAAGAGACCAGAAGGGTCATCCAGTTCAACCCCCTGCCATGGAAGAAAATACAATCAAAGCACCACTGACAGATGGCCACCCAGCCTCTTGCTTAGAAACCCTGAGGTGACTCCCTTTATCTGGATCATGTCTGTATATTTAGCATATTTGTCACCATTTCACACACTGAAATCTACATTGAGATGTATTGGAACAGAATTATCCCCCTTCCTGTGGGAAGCAATTGAGGAAAAAATAAATTCTATATAAAGAAGCTGTGTACCTAAAACATCAAGCATTTTGAGCTTTGTAACATGTAGGGGTGGAGCCCAATATGCCCCTCTCCCTTTACACATACAGACACAAACTGCAAGGATGTAATTTGAAGTGATGAAGATGATTTATTTTATTCCTGGAGCTTTTATATCAGGGTCAGGGTATAATTATCTTATTCAGTCATTTTAAAAGTTAATTTGTGTGGTCTGAGACTGAAAAAATAGCTAATTGGAGAATGACGCCCATCAGTTACATATAAATGTTATTTATACAAGTCTAGGGAATGGTAAAGAAGAGAAGATACCTCAGACTAGCTATGTCTCGCCAATCTGCAGATGCTGTTGACTCTTAACACCCAGCATACCTAGGCAATGGATCTGCACTTCAACCTCTACACATTTCCGAGATCTGGAGTAGACTGGACACTGGAGGTGTAATTGAGTCATTTCTTGGGTTCAATTTCCTCCAAAGAAGTCTGCTCCTTGCCAAAACAGCATTTTCTCCTTGTGCTGCTTAGTAGACTTAAGCAGGATATTTAAGATTAACACATGGCTGTCCAGCAAGGAGCTGTGTCACAATGCAAGGTTTGTTTCTGCACTCCCAACACACACACACTCAACCCACTATGCCAGCAGACAAACTTGTCCAGATATCCATCTGGATTACGCATGCATTCTTGTGATGTCTTTTGATAGGCAAATTCACCATGTGAGGCTTCCCAAAGCACTAACACAATCCGATCCACTTTAACGAGAAACAGTGGCATTGCCAAGGAAAACTGAAGACAGTGCACTCTCCTTAAATTGACATTTTTTTAAAACAGAGGTTGAATGACCACTCTCAAGGGCGCTTGGCTATTGATTCCTACATGGAAGGGGATGGGATTAGATCAGCTTTGGGATTATTTCCACCTCTTTAGTTCTTTGATTTTGGTCATCCACAACGGAGGCTGACCAGCAGCAGATCTGCTGTAACCTAGCTAGGATTATAAACACTAGGAAAATATGTAAGAATCTGATACACATGAAAGAACCGCAGTGAACAAAGGCTAACTTTTAAGACACTGGCTGCAGAGCCCATCTGAACGATTTATTAGTATGACTTTTTTTTACAAGTTTAGAAAAAGAATCCCAGGATTTTTCCTCCTGTGTGTTTTCGCCTAGCTTCCTCGTGGTCCATGATGCCAGCTGAAGTTGTCAGCACAATGAATCTATTAAAAGGGAAGGAAAACAATTTGTCAGGGGCAACCTCAATCAGAGATCCTATCTGTCCATTCAGAAAAAGGAATTGGTCTTAACAGGAAATGCAAACTAAGAAATTTTATTAGGGCTAAAAGCTAACCACACAGGCAACTTGAGTAGAAATAACTGTACACAGATCACTATGAGATCAATTCTATAGGAATCAATAGCAAAATCTTTAAACGTTACCAGTCAAGTGCTCACATTCGTTTTGTATCTATTGTGATAGATTTCCATTAGATTAGTTTTAAGGTAATTTTCCTGCTGATGTTCATAGCAAGGGACATTTCATTGCCTAACCACATGGTTTTAACCAATGTTTTGAAGAGTGGCTGTTTAGTATTTTTGCACAGAAGTTACATTATTACTTACACAGATATTTCTTACAGTATATTAATTTAGCAGTATAAATAAAATTACAGACTTAACTATCATAACCGTAAACTGCAATTCAGTTCTGTTTACACTTACCCGAACTGACGCGAAGGTAGCAGGTTGTTCTGCCACTTTTCCAAATCTTTCAGCTGGACATCGAATCTGGGGCTGATCACACCACACTGTCAAAACAAGCAAGAGAAAAGGCAGATTTTTCTCCCCTTCCATTATTTACGTAACCTCTGCATTGTATTGTCGAAGGTTTTCATGGCCGGAATCACTGGGTTGTTGTAGGTTTTTTCCGGCTATTTGGCCATGTTCTAGAGGCATTCTCTCCTGACGTTTCGCTTGCATCTATGGCAAGCATCCTCAGAGGTAGTGAGGATGCTTGCCATAGATGCATGCGAAACGTCAGGAGAGAATGCCTCTAGAACATAACCTCTGCATTATTTTTCAACAACTGTATACTTGAAATGCAGGGTGTAACATCCAAATCTTTGGATAAAGTTGAGGAATGCTGTTGTACTTACACCTGTCACCAACACAAAATTGCTCAAGCATAAGAAGTCTTTGTTGTGAATTCAGTACAATTTTGCAAAAAAAATAAAAAATAAAATAAAAAAGCCCCAAACACCTCAAAGGAGTCTTCAGAAGATATATGGGGCAGTTGTCCTACTGTAGCTAGGCAGGGCTGGGCCAAATCAGTACATGAAGAGACAACCCTGGAAGCCTGTATTTCCAGCAAAAAACGAGGACCACAGAATGAGCCATTTACATTTTGACAAGGAAGAGCACCCTATTCCAAAGGTGTTTTCTAAAATAAAAAGTGACAGCAGGCCCTTCTTGCTCTGCATAAGGAGCATCCCATGGTAGGCTTCGCTTCAAAGCCCCCATATCCCTAGTCTTAAATCAGTAAACCTCAGCAGTGAATTCAGCACATGCCTCTCAACAGTTCCAAAAAACTAGGCTTGCCAATGCACACTCAACTATACTATTGTTCGCCAAATGAGATCCAACGAAGTTACAATTGTCACCACACAATAGGGAATGCAGCAGCTATGCCATTCTACCCTTTCAATGGTAGCCAAATCTGCAACTGGCCTTATCATAAGAGGTAAGTGGCTGGGTAACAACAGCTAGCTACAGAGTCCAACACTGAGCAGGAACAGCTCTATGACGATACTCACTTTCTTGTCATGTGAGTTACATTTCCAAGCCCCTCAAAGAATCCCCAACTAAGTTTATTAGAAATGCACATAATTAAATTGTGTGTGTTAAGTGCCTCCAAATTGCCCACCGGCCCTATGGATTTTATACAGTTATCTCAGGTGATTTTGCCAGTTCCTTCCTTTGAAATAAAGCACCCCACATTTGTTGGCACTATTCATCTCAATACTAACCAGGATCGTAGATAGCTCAGTTAAGCAAAACTAAAAATTGAAAATTCCCTACAAGATTTACCGTATATTCCGGGGTACAAGACGACTTTCTAAGCCAGGAAAATCATCTCAAAAGTGGGGAATCGTCTTGTACCCTGGTATAAATTTTTTGGGATCATTTTTCCCTCATCTCCCTCGCCCTGGGCATCCCCGCGTGGTGGAGCCTGCGGAGGAGGGAGGGAGGGAGGGGACGAGGAGGAGGAGCGGCAGGCTTCGCTGCCAAGCTGGCAGCGTGGTAGCCTACTGGGCTGTCTTCACCCTCGCTGGCATGGAGTTGGCTCCGCCTCCGCCCTCCATCCCAGCTGCCGCAGGAGCCAAAGCCAGAACAGCGGGGGCGGGGCCGGGAGAGCTCGCCTCTGGCTGCTGAGGCCCTGCCCCTGCGGACGACCCCGCCCTTCCCGCCCCGGCTTCAGCTCCTGCTGCTTTACCAGGCCGGCGGGGGTGTTTGCATGCTGTGCTGTCCCCTCCGCCACTGGTCTGCTGCTAGCTCCGCCTCTGGCCCCAAAGCCAGAGCAACTGCCGAGGGATCCTCTTCTCCCACTGCCTCCCCGCTCCGGTTTTGGTTCCCCCGGGGGCGGGGCGGAGCAGCCAGAGGCCCCGCCCCCGCTGTTCTGGCTTTGGCTCCCTCCTGCAGCAGCTGTTCTGAGATGGAGGGCGGAGGCGAAGCCAATTGAATGCCGGCGAGGGTGAAGACAGCCCAGTAGGCTACCACTCCTCCTCCTCGCCCCCTCCCTCTCTCCCCCCTCCCTATGACTTCTTCTCACATATTTATACATGGCTCTCATCATGTCTCCTCTCAGCCCTCTCTTCTTCAGACTAAACATACCCAGCTCTTTAAGCCACTCCTCATAGGGCTTGTTCTCCAGACCCTTGATCTGCTCTCTCCTCCCTATGACTTCCTCTCACATATTTATACATGGCTCTCATCATGTCTCCTCTCAGCCTTCTCTTCTTCAGACTAAACATACCCAGCTCTTTAAGCCACTCCTCATAGGGCTTGTTCTCCAGACCCTTGATCTGTTCTCTCCTCCCTATGACTTCCTCTCACATATTTATACATGGCTCTCATCATGTCTTCTCTCAGCCTTCTCTTCTTCAGACTAAACATACCCAGCTCTTTAAGCCACTCCTCATATGGCTTGTTCTCCAGAACCTTGATCATTTTAGTCACCCTCTTCCTCTGGACACATTCCAGCTTGTCAACATCTCCCTTCAGTTGTGGTGCCCAGAATTGGACACAATATAATTCCAGGTTTGGTCTAACCAAGGCAGAATAGAGCATGGGGAGCATGACTTCCCTGGATCTAGACGCTATGCTCCTATTGATGCAGGCCAAAATCCTATTGGTTTTTTTTTTTTTTGCCACCACATGACATTGTTGGCTCATGTTTAACTTGTTGTCCACAAGGACCCCAAGATCTTTTTCACACATACCACTCTCGAGCCACGCGTCCCCCATCCTGTATCTTTGCATTTCATTTTTGACAGAAGTCAAACTGGAAAGCTCTTATTGACCCAGGGTCCCCCTTCCTCTTTTCTGATCTCTTTTCCCCTTCTAACAATTAAACATCACCTGGCTGTGTTCTTGAGAAACTCTAAAACAATTCAAGCTGTCACGGTGATTTGAGGATGAAGACATGTCAGGATGTGACCCAGTAAACATGTTCCATGCCAAATGCTACATTTCTGAAGGATGAGGGTCCAATCTGCCCCTCTCTTCTGATAGGAGGTCCTGATTTTTAAAGACTGCTTATAGATAAAAATTCTACAAATGCTTTGCCTTCACCTCAGTACTCATCATACAAAGCCTGACTTCTATTTGCATGCAAGCTTCTATGCCAACATAAATGTAATCTGAACCATTTAAAGCCTGCTTTCATACTTGCCAGCATGATGTAAAGGACCCAGAGTGTAAATGAAATTCAAGGGAGGAAGAGCAACTATAATGTCCAATGTAAGGTACAATGTCCCTCTCATAGGAACCTGCATGTCAGAAGCATTTGAATTAAAATTACCATATTGAATTCAAATCTGATTTTTTAAAAATTTATTTGGTGTGCATTGGAAGAGGGGTGGTCTTATACGGCGAGTATATCCCAAACTCTATATTTTAACTGGAAAAGTTGGGGATAGTCTTATACGCCCAGTCGTCTTATATGCCGGAATATACAGTATATTCTAAACGTATTATTTCAATTTTAACTCACAAAAATATTCTTTGAACAACACAATTTAAATATAATTTCGCCAACACCCTTGCCCCAATATTTGGTAAGATGACAGATATATCCTTTTAGGTTCACTACTTTAAAAAAATTCATAAAGAGACACCTTTGTTTTCCACTACATAACATACTACACAATATTTCTTTTAGGACCAATCAATACCCCCAGAATATTAAACCTCTGGAATTTTGTAGAGTTCTTCCAAGCAGATGCGGAATAAAGAGAAGGAAAATGTGGCTGTACAGGAATCTCTTCAATGTTTGTTCACATAAATGCCTTAAAGAAGAGTTATGTGAAATTTCATGGCTTCACTATTTTGTGACTGTCAGTTCATCTCATAAAATAATTTTGCTCGATGCCTTAGGTATTATTTTTGAGCCAATTCAAACTACTACTTCTATTTCAATATTATGTCTGTTAGGCGTGGTTCAAAAGTTTAGCACGAATGTGTTGTTGTTGTTCATTCGTTCAGTCGTCTCCGACTCTTCGTGACCTCATGGACCAGCCCACGCCAGAGCTCCCTGTCGGCCGTTACCACCCCTAGCTCCCTCAAGGTCAGTCCAGTCACTTCAAGGATGCCATCCATCCATCTTGCCCTTGGTCGGCCCCTCTTCCTTTTGCCTTCCACTTTCCCCAGCATAATTGTCTTCTCTAGGCTTTGTCTCCTCATGATGTGGCCAAAGTACTTCAACTTTGTCTCTAGTATCTTTCCCTCCAGTGAGCAGTCGGGCTTTATTTCCTGGAGGATGGACTGGTTGGATCTTCTCGCAGTCCAAGGCACTCTCAGAACTTTCCTCCAACACCACAGCTCAAAAGCATCGATCTTCCTTCGCTCAGCCTTCCCTAAGGTCCAGCTCTCACATCCGTAGGTTACTACAGGGAATAACATGGCTTTGACTAGGCGGATCTTTGTTGCCAGTCTGATGTCTCTACTCTTTACTATTTTATCGAGACTGGACATTAGCACGAATGTAGAGAATTCCAAGTTGCCAACAGGACTTGGTTTGTCTGTTGAACCAAATAACTTGTTACTTCCTTTGAAAATAATACAACAAACTGACACATCTTGCAGAGAACTTCAATAAGAAAAATACATTTGTCTCTAATTGTAGCAATCAATTCAAACATACGTTTCAGCTTCTTCACAGAGCAGTTTTGTTTAGAAATGAGATTCCTCATAATGTCAATGTATATGATTTTTAACCTCAAGAAAACAATGTATACATTTTATTTTTTGTGCTTAGCACTGGACCTCGGGCATATTTATCAGGCACCCACACATCCATCAGCATGTACTGAAAAAAGAAAAATTTCTGCTGAAAACTGAACCACTTTCCATATTTCTATGGGCTTTTATGTCATGCACAGACCTAAAATGGGTGAGCCCTCAGCATAAATATCAGGTATAGGAGTGGAAGACCCTAGGGCTTCAAATGTAGTCCACTGGCTATGCTTTCATACACCTGATTTAAATATCTCACAATCCTATCTCCCAGAAGTGATTATAGAAGAGTATTGAACTTTAAAATCAAGTCAGTTCCTACCTTGTTGAGTCTGCCTGTGAGATTAACAACAATCTTTCCAGCTCTGTGGTCATCAATGATCTCAAATTCACCTATGTAACCTGCAATTTAAAGAGGAGCATTAAGCATATGCGAACCTCTCCACTGTTCAAACACAATAATATACCTGGGAACCAAAATATTATGTACACGGTATACTGTATTCATATTCAGAACTAGAGATCCATTTCCCATGATGAATACTTGACTATTTCACTGAGAGGCCTGAATGTTAAAATCATAGAATCAAGGTGTTTCCCTTTGGGAGAGCCAGCACATAACTGAAATTGCTAATAATGGGCTTCAGAGCTCTGCTGTGACATGTATCTTGTCAAACACTCAACACTGCCGGTCCTTCTCTGAACCCCTTAGAGAAAGGATGAGACGGAAGTGACATTATTAAAAATACTGTTCATACTGCGGATCTAAAAGAGTTAATCAGTTGAGCGAGAGAGATTCTGCTTCCCAAGCACCTGGGAACTCTTTTGAGAGAAAGAAAAATCAACTACAATCTAAGACATATGAAAGGTTTATTCTGGAGTCACTTTGAACTCAAATCTAAATTTAATTTTGAATGTTCTGTTGTTCAGCTTTTTCTTCTGCAGATAAAAGGCTGAATGTACATGGCCAAGAATCTGGATCTTTATAAAGTAATGGTGACAATGATAATGATAATATTATTTGTTTGTTTATTTATACCCCACTTTTTCTCTCCACAAAGACAGGCAGGGCAAAACATAGTCTTTGTCTATAAAAGCACAAATCAAAACATACACATCTTTTCCAGCCTATCATACACAAGCTTTCCTATTCATTCTGGGGACTTACCATGCTTCATCATCACAGTTAAGAACCGGACAATTACTTTAGAGCACGGTCTTATGAGAACTTGACGCTTTCCACGCTTTTCTGCATTATTGATACTCTTAAGAGCATCTGCCAAAACATTCATGCGCACCATGATGCCTGTGTGGAAAAAAGAGAAATGGTTAACTGAGATGCAGAGTTCTTCATGTGTATCAGAGATTTCCATGCCAGACTGCTTATGAACACTGGAAGCAGCATAAATTTATCAGCTTTCCGCAGGGCATGTAAGACATATCTATTTCAACGGGCCTTTGATCTTTGATTATTTTTAAATTGTTTTAAATTGTGTTCGATTTTAGCCTGTTCTTGTAAGCCGCTCCGAGCCCCAGGGGAGTGGCGGCATATAAGTTCAAATAATAAATAAATAAATAAATAAAAACACTATGCAATGAAAAGAATCACCAACATACATCTTTTGAACAAATGAGATCTGTGGATTCTTGTTTGTAAATAATTAGCAAGAGTTACAGAGAGTATGTATCGTGTTATTGGAACATGATCACTATGAAATGCAAATTTGACTGCTTGTGGGCTTCTGAGACAAAATTAAGTTACTGTATTTTTATAATTCTTTCAAATAAGGAATTATAAACAATTCTTATTTAACTGTGATTGCCATATATGTACGTCTGCAACAAGCTTTATATATTAAAAACACAATGTTAACACATAGATAAGAGTTCCTGCTTACATTGATTAAAGGCCAAGTAATGCATTTTCTCAAATATCTTTTGAATTAGTTTAAAGCAGATTCGAGTTACCCATAGCACATCAACACCGTTCATTAAAAAATGTTCTTCTCTCCCTTTTGATAGATCCATCTAGCTCTTGTTTGAAAGCTACGGATTCTCACTTGCAACTGACAAAACTATATAAAACAAGTAACATGTATCATATCCCTAGAAAGACCCACACTGCAATACGTATTTGCTATCAATTATACAGGGCAAAACAGAGGCACAATGCATATATTGAGAACCCAATAATTATTCATTACTTCAGGTAACATTAAACAAACACAGACAAAAAGCCCTGGCCACCAAGTTCCCTAGCCTATTTGGGTTGACTTAATACAAATGTGTTTGAGCCTAAAGGACTATACCCAAAGAAAAAACACTAACCAAATAGCCACAATGGCAATATAGGGCACCAGTGTTATTTTCTAGGCAACCTCTGAACATTTTGGACTAACTCTCAGGTCCATTGGTCCAACTGATGGGAATGAGCACTGCTCAGCCTCTGTAAGAAAGATGTCATCTTCAGGAAGATCCTGGGCGGATGCATCTACACAATGGAATGAATGCAGTATGATACCACTTGAACTGCCATGGCCCAGTGGTCTGGAATCCTGAGAGTTGTAGTTTGATGAGACACAACAATTTTGGCAGAGTAGGCTAAAGACCTACAGCTCCCATGATTCCTTGAGCCATGGCCATTGTGTGATGTCAAGTGGCATGGATTCTGTAGTGAAGATTAGAGTGGCACAACAGGTGGGCCCTTCTAGATGTTTGGGACTCCAACTCCCAGAAGACCCTATTGCCAGCTTGTTCAAGAATCAGGGGTTCTAGGAGCTAAAGCCTCAAACACCCAGAAGGACACCGATTGTCCTAAGTCTTGTGGAATTGTCTTCAATAGACTGACATAGCAACATACAGGCAGATTGTGAGTTATAAACGTCCAACTTCTAGTTAAAAACGGGACCGAGACAAGAAGTGAGAGAAACCTTCCCCTTGGAAGGGAAATCCACTCCTGGAAGAGTTATTATCAAGGGGAAAAGGAGTCTCCACTGAAGCTTTGTCTCCAATCCTTGTTTCCACAACAAGCCACATTTCTCAAAATCCAATTCTCACAGGGACAGGAAGTGAGGTGATACCAGTGTGCAGGAAACACTTTCTTTGCAAGCTTTTAAACAGGGGCTAGATCAGGCAGGGCCAATTCTGTTCTCCAGGTGCTTCGGACTTCAACTCCCACAATTCCTAACAGCCTACGGGCTGTTAGGAATTATGAGAGTTGAAGTCCAAAACACCTGGAGAGCCAAAGCTTGCCCATGCCTGGGCCAGATGATCATCTGTCAGGGGTACTTTGATTGTGCTTTTCCTGCATGGCAAGGCATTGCACTAAATGGCTCATGTGGTCTCTTCCAACTCCATGAGTCTATGCCAGAGGGCATAACCCTTCCCAATGCTATCCAAAACACACACTCACTCTCTCTACATTTATGTATGTATGGAGCCCCCAGTAACTCAGTGGGTTAAAGTGCTGAGCTGCTGAACTTGCTAATCGAAAGGTTGCAGGTTTGAATCCGGGGACCAGCGTGACCTCCTGCTGTTAGCCCCAGCTTCTGCCAACCTAGCAGTTCGAAAACATGCAAATGTGAGTGGATCAATAGGTACTGCTCCGGCGGGAAGGTAATGGCGCTCCATGCAGTCATGCTGGACACATGACCTTGGAGGTGTCTACAGACAACACTGGCTCTTTGGCTTAGAAATGGAGATGAGCAGCAACCCCCAGAGTCAGGCATGACTGGACTTAATATCAGGGGGAAACCTTTACTATGTATGTATATGGCTGCTGTAAACAATGTCTGGGTTGACTTACATACAAATTCAACAGAATTAACCTACAGAACCTCTCATATTCATAACTGCCTGCATTTGGAAGGTAATACATCCCCACCTGCCTGTCTGCCACAAACACAAAATAAGAAATAGGATGCAAGCACCAACAGAAGCCAATGGGGCTCCCATTAAATGGCCATCTGTCAGGGATACTTTGTTCGTTTCCTGCATGGTAGGGGTTGGACTAGATGGCTCATGTAGTCTCTTTCAACTCCACGAGTCTATGAGAAGAGGGTGTTACCCTTCCCAATGCTACCCAAAACACACACACACTATATGTACGGCTGGTGTTGCACTGAAACAATGTCCGTGCTGCGACTTACATTAAAAAATCCAACAGAATAAACCTACAGAAGCTCTCATATTCTTAACTGCCTGCATTTGGAAGGGAATGCATCCCCACCTGCCTGCCACAAACACCTAATAAGCAATGGGATGCAAACACCAACAGAAGCCAATGGGGCTCCCATCCCAGCCCTTCCGTCTCTGCGAGAGAAACCAAAGGCAAAGTTTTGAATGGCAGGAGACCCCCCGCCCCCTGCGGCCTACTTCTCCCCAAAAGCCTTTCTTTCCCAGGCAGCCTCCCAGCCTGCCTGCCTCCTTCCCTCGGCCCCCCGGCCTCCCTTCCCACGCCCCCCGAGACGCTCCGGAGCGGTGCCGAAGCCCCCAAACCGGTCCCGAAAGACGAGCAGAGTCCGTTCTTTCTACTCCCGAATTCAGATCGGGACAAGGCCACGGGATGGACACGATACGAGGCAGATGCTCTCGGGGAGCCACCATGGTCCACTACTCACCCGCGCAGCAAGATGGCGGAAAAAGGAAGGCCGAGCGCCGGACGCGGGGAGTTGTGGGAAACCGAGGCCCCGCGCACCACGGCAACTCTCGCGAGGTTTCACTTATTCCCGCGTCACTTTGAAAAACGGGGCGGGGCCACGTAGTTGATTTATTTAATTTCCCAGAAATGAGGAAGAGCTCTCCGTATGAAGAGGCTGCAGTGTCCTTTGATGGATTTAATCTGGATTGTTTTTGATACTAATGTTTGTGGGTTAAACCCTTGTGCCGGCAGGACTGAAGACTGACAGGTCGCAAGTTCAAATCCAGGGAGAGCGCGGATGAGCTCCCTCTGTCAGCTCCAGCTCCCTATGCCGGGACATGAGAGAAGCCTTCCACAGGATGGTAAAAGATCAAAACATCTGGGCGTCCCCTGGGGAACGTCCTTGCAGACAGCCAATTCTCTCACACCAGAAGCGACTTGCAGTTTCTCTAGTCGCTCCTGACACGAAAAAAGTACTTAAGGTGCATGTTATGCTAATGTGAGCCGCTTTGATCTACTTATGGAGAGGAAAAGGAGAATATATAAAAAAACATTATGTATAATAATATTATATACTAACAATAATATTATTCGAGTAGGGTATAGGACAGAAAAAGGAAGATGGGCCGACCAAGGGCAAGATGGATGGCATTCTTGAAGTGACTGGATTGACCTTGAAGGAGCTGGGGGTGGTGACGGTCGACAGGGAGCTCTGGCGTGGGCTGGTCCATGAGGTCACGAAGAGTCCAAAACAACTGAACGAATGAACAACAACAGGGTATAGGGCAGGCATGGGCAAACTTCAGCACTCCAGGTGTTTTGGACTTCAACTCCCACAATTCCTGGCCTCAGGCCCCTTCCTTTTTCCCTTCAGCTGCTTCAGCCCTATTAATAATAATAATTACTATCCTGTTACAGATACACCTGGGTATAACTTCTAAATGTTTATTCCATTTGCAAAATTGAAATGGTACATTGAAGCATCAGGCAGCAACGGTGTCACTATCTCAGCCAGTCCTATGGACAAGTTTGGATTTCTGTATAAGGGATGCTTAACCTGGATAGGCAAGAAAACTTTGGTTTGTCCAGAGCCTGGCCTGTTGCAGAAGTGGGAGAAGCCTTTAGAAATCAGTGAGAAGTTTTATTTTACTGTTTATGGCAGAGGTTCCCAACCTGTGGTCCATGGCCCACCTGTGGTCCCCTAAAATACGGTCTACGGCCTCACTGTTACTACACAACTGGTAGTAACTGGTAGTTGAGAATGACTGGTCTCCCGAAACCTGGTCTCCCGAATGACTGGTCTCCCGAGGCAACGGCGATGTCAGGAAGGGGGAGGTTGATTTCCTGAATCAACACCCCAAATAATCAAACTGAATCTAAAGTTGACCAAAAACTGATTCGTAACCCTTTTGGTACTAATGTTGGAGAGTGGTCCTTGGTCAAAGTAGTCCCTGGTTTTAAAAAAAACGGTTGGGAACCACTGGTTTATGGGGTTGTAATTAGATAGTTGTTTGTCTGTCCACAAACTGAAGACAGTAGCAAATCCTGAGCACTAAAATATTTAATAGAAGTTCCACTAGTGATGTGGTTTGTGTAGTGGCTCCCATACTTTGGACCAGGCATGGACAAACTTTGTCCCTCCCTCCAGGTGTTTTGGACCTCAACTCCCACAATTCCTAACAGCCTACCAACTGTTAGGAATTGTGGGAGTTGGAGTCCAAGACACCTGGAGGGCCAAAGTTTACCTATGCCTGGTATAGAGCATTCTGCTCACAGCAAGCAAAAGCAACATAGTCTGGCTGTAAAGCAGACATGGGCAAACTTTGCCCCTACAGGTGTTTTTGACTTTAACTTCCACAATTCCATCTCACCAAGCATATTTTTTAAAATTATTGCCATCTGGCAGGCGGTACAGGGTGACAAAGGGAAGGACAAACAGACTGAGAGACAGCTTTTATCCTAGAGCTGTTGAACTTCATGGCTTCGCATTGATGTGGCATTGCAGTGGTGGTGAGAGTGGGATGGGATGGGTATGTTGTGTTTTGTAATGTGTGCTGGGGAAAGCAATTAATGTACAATGGCAATAAAGTTATTCTGTTCTATTCTAAATTCATACCAAAGGAAAAATATCTAAGGACTACATTTTCCCATTCATGTACAACTAGAGAGAGGCTCAGAATGAAAAGGTGAAAGGAATGATCTTACAACAAAGGAACATGCATTCTGAAGACTTCCATTCTCTGTTATCAATTAGGATGGGAGGAGAAAGGATAGAGTGAGAGAAAACAACAAAAGACGTTTAGGAATGAGTGGGAAGTACAGCCTTGCTTAATTCTATCTGTCGTCTTCTCATCGAGGAATACAGAGTTGGGTTGAATTCCAACAGCAGCCACAGACAGGGTCCCATTAGCTTAGGCCTCCTCCAGCGGTTTGGGCTTCCAACTCCCAGAATGCTTGACCATTGGACAAGCCGGCAATAGGAGCTCCCAGGAGTTAGAGGACCAAACAGCTGGAATGCTACAGGTTGAAGATGCCTGCATCAGCTCAATGTTAGGGCTCTGAAAAAATTGGCTATTCTGAAGTGAGAGGGGGTTGACAACTGTTATGTTCAATAAAATATCACTGTCTTGCACTTTTATTTATTTATTTGTTTAGGTGTCTAGGTATTACACATTTATCAGCAGTCTACACATCAATGCAAAAGAACAATGCTAAGCAAAACAATAACAACTGCATGACATTGAATCCCACTCCCTCCAAGAATGTGCCCTTCTCTCCCTACCTACCCACCCTATTACACTTTTTTCTTTACACACGACATCACATTCCTACTTCAGCTTAAAGTATTTTGTGTAAAATAAATATGCAAAATAAGAGAAAGGCAGAGCAAATAAAATATACAAAAGATTTTCAGAGAAATGGATTTATGTTCCTCTTTCTGTATTTAGCTGAAAGCTTTTAATTTCCCTTTTATACCATTCTCCTTTCTCTGTAATGTGCGCATGACTTGCTGGCGAAGAATTCAAATAGACAAGAATGGTCTATTAATGAAGGTGAATGAGCCATGCAGCAATTAATGGGGAATTCAGTTGCATTCCTGCAAGCAAACTTGTGAAAATAATTCCTCTTTGATCAGAAATTCTAATATCGATTAGGGTTTGAAGCCTATTTTTTGAATAGCCAAATTCTTAGATCTGGGCAAACTTATTTTTAATCATTCACAGTTAGTATTACACTTTCATGTTGGTTCTAGGCAGATAACAAGATGGAAGACATTTCATTTTTTGTTGCTGACAGTCACAGTCATAACTACAGGCAAGAAGAGTAGGAACAAAAGAGGAATTAACCTCCATTGGAACATTTTGTGTTAAAAAGAACTATAATGAAACTATGTTGGCAGCTTAGAATGAGACAAAGCTACACCTGTAAGGCAATAATGTAAGCACCAAGTATCCTGGTATGCTTTTTCCAAAGAATAAGAATGCCTACAAGGTAATAAAAAAAGAGAACGTTTCAAGGTTTCCCAACATTTCTATATTTCTTTAAACTGGCAATAACACTGCTTATCCATTTACAATTAAGACAGAAATTTGTCTTTTAAACACCAACTTAAGATGCTTATTGTGTTAACAGGTTACAACTTTTACTTAAGAAAAGTGAATTATTAGTTAAAACAGCATTAAGAAAACACAACTCTACAGAGACTCGCTGACATGGGTACATCAAGTATTTTCAACATGTTTTTGTTTATAGACATTAAAAACCTTCAAGACACGCAGCACAATATTCAAAACTATCACAAATTAAATAACAAGCAAGAAAGTAGACTGTTCATGCATTCTAATTTTCATTTTCCACAGTTTCAGTGCAGTAGGTTGTATACAGAAATAATGACAGCTTGGGTACTAGAGTTGAGGAGCCCTGTTTATTTAAATTGCCCATGGCACATAACTTTCTAAGTTTTTTGATGTTATCATACAATACATCTATGGACAGTCCAGTGAATCTTCAAAATACTAAAAAAAGAAGAGGTTTTAGCTAGTATCTTTCCACCAGAAGCAGAAGCAAAGGCTATCTTCAGACAAATACCACCACCAATTATTATTGATGAACAACCTTATCACATTATGGTGTTGCTTAGCCACACTTACTATAAGAATGACTGCTCATGTCATAGCAGACTGTATTCATGTGTGACTGAAAGACCACACGGTTTCTACTTAAACTGTAGAAGGAATCCCATTTAAGGTTAAAAGGCGATTACTGAAATGAAAACTTCTATCCTATTAAACACACAAGAATTCATTTAATTGTTCCCAGAACATAAAATCAGTGTAACAGAGCTTCATTCATTTTTCTTCTCTTTGTGRTTGAGGAGTTTGTTGACCTCCCTTTTTGCCATTCCGGCATACTTTGAAATGATTCCATGTTTGTTTAATCCAGGAAACAACAAGAAGCAGCTCACAATAAGGTAGGTGAGGAAGAGATTATGAACTTGCTGTCTAATCCAAGCAATCACAGCCAGAGAACACAGCATTGTCATGAAGTACATTTTTGGCTTCTCCTCCTTAAATGTGAAAAGGCGTTTCCACCAACCGACAATTCTACGACGTGTTTTTATCAGGTTGCTGCAGATTTCACGTTGTTGTTGTTCGGTAGTCCATTTACTGGAACCAAAAATCCGAGGAGCAAGAGCAGGTACCAGATAGTCAGCCAAACAAAGCAACATAACAAAACAAGAAACACCTGAAAGAACAGATGGATCCAAGTAGTAGATCATCCTGTTGAAAAAGAAAAAATAATTTTATCCAGTTATCATTTGGATTCAAACACTTAAAAGAACAATTAGAGTAATCTGGGGGAGAGAAAGAAAGGGGAGAAAAAGGGGGAGGGAAGGAGGAAGGAAGACAAATCAGACAGTAAGAAGCATGGCTGGGCTGGAGGTTGACTTGCCATCTTCCACTTATTGTGCAAACATCTATTGAAGAAGCAGTGAGAGGAAAGTTAGAAATTGATTGGATTCCTTTCCTTCCACAGCATTTAAGGGGGAGGAACACATTGTATCAAAAAACTGTACTCCTAATGGCTGTTTGCATTTTGAGAACGACATATTTTGACTGCACTTGATAACATTTCACTTGTCCGTGATATAGTGATTAACAAAAAAGCCCACTTAAAATGTCAAGTCGACATCATGTCCATATTAAATAATAGCTCTCTAAGTTTCAGCCTTACTCTTTTACACTGGGCTTTGTTTCACCCATTCTTCCCCAGTTCCTGCTGCTGTCATCCATTCATAGTTCCTCTGCCTCTGCTGAGAGATCAGGTGTCTCTGACTCTCCCCAACTGCCAGCCAACCACCACTCTTCCTATTAGGCTGCAAAGCAGCGAGAGAAAGAGTTATTTATTTATTTATTTATTTACTCACTCCTTTTGTATACCGCAAATATCAGCCAACGGCGACTCTAAGCGGTTTACAGTAAAATGTGCAACATTGAACAATATATGTGACAAACAACTACAAACAATACACATAACGTCATCACGCCTCGAATAGAATCAGATCCAAATCTCACAGTCGTTTTACCATTCCTTGTTCAGTACGCCGTCTTTCTGAGTCAGATGTTATTGCATGCTTATCCGAACGCCTGTTCGAAGAGCCACGTCTTAACCCGCCTCCTAAACGCCAATAGCGAGGGGGCCTGCCTGATCTCCACTGGTAGGGCATTCCATAGCCGAGGGGCCACCACCGAGAAGGAGTTGTATCATCACCTCTGCTGAGAGCCCAGCTACTTACTCTTGGCTCTTCTTCAACTGTCTCTAGTGAGATTTCTTCCACTGGCTACTCAAACATGTCAGCTGATTGTGATAACTTTGAACAATTAGTGCATGAACCCGGGAATTTTTGTTTTGGGCTAAACTGTTGACTAAGCATATTTTAAATAAGCAAAGACTAAACATATGAAGGTTATTGTGGATTTTGTTTCAGCTTTAAAAATGGCAAGGAGATATGACTATTGTCCTCAGTTGTTTCTTTTTAAAAAGGTCTTCCAGTTAATAAGCCCTTTAAAGAAACCACAATGACTTAAAATCTGAATATATTGGTTTCTACATCAACACAATTTTTCCAACTACATTTTAAAAAATTACATGTACATTTCACACAACGAGATAATGCCAGTTATTCTTGGGTAAGTTAGCCACAAACTCGTTTATAAGAATTTTCTAGAAGATAATGTTAACTTACATAAAAATGAAGGAAACTACAGCAATGATGGCAGGTGGAAACCATGCTTTTTCCCAGCGCAGGATTTTGTCAGTCACTAAAATCACTTCACCCCATCCTTGCAACTGCTCCTCCAAAGCAGCTGTTTCAGCAGCCTGTGAACGTAAGCATTAAAACCATTAGTACAATCAATACTAGTTTTATTAGAAGTCACCTGACTTTGCTACTGATAATACAGCTGTTTGTTGGTGCTTAAATCTCCAGAATTGATACTTTTTAGATTTTTGCAAATGTGTTTCTTTTATTTTGAATCCGGACTTTTATATGAAAAGTTGCACAAATGCCTTATTTTCCCAATTTAAAAATAGCACTGCGACAATATTTCAAACAGGATTATACTGCTTAAACCTATTTCTACTATAGTGGCAAATGGGGCATTAAAGGAAGGAGTGAGACCTTTTATTAATTAACTATAATTTTAATCATTTCACTATTTTGATAAATTGCTTATGGTCTACCAGATAAATGTATTTATTGGCAATGTTTACTATTGGAGAAGTCAGCTACAAAATGCCATGGTTCAGGTGCCAAAATAACTTATCCTGACTTTTCTACTGTACTGTATAGTCTGTATCTACAGCTTGAAAACATTTTAAAATATCCGAATGGCAAATCCAGATATTGCCATTTTCTATAAAGGACACCATTCTACTACACCAATGTATAAATGGGATTTTGAATATAATTAGATTTTGATAGACGCTGGAGGGGGATCCTGGAAACAAAGTGCAGAAGATACCTTGATTTGTTAGAGGTGAGGAAGTTTCTTTTTTCACTCTAAGCAAGACATCTGTTGGTCTGGCCCTGACTTCCCTCAAATTCCTTAGAGCAGTGTTTCTCAACCTTCCTAATGATGCGACCCCTTAATACAGTTCCTTATGTTGTGGTGACGCCCAACCATAAAATTATTTTCGTTGCTACTTCATAACTGTAATTTTGCTACTGTTGTGAATCGTAATGGAAATATCTGATATGCAGCATGTATTTTCATTCACTGGACCAAATTTGGCACAAATATCCGATACACCCAAATGTGAACACTGGTGGGGTTGGGGGGGGTGGTGGTTTTGTCATTTGGGAGTTGTAGTTGCTGGGATTTATAGTTCACCTACAATCAAAGAGCATTCCGAACCACACCATCAACAGAATTGGGCCAAACTTCCCACACAGAACACCCATTCCTTGAAGGGACTCACTGGTGCAAGTCTCCTTCCAGCCTTGCACATTCTCTCTCACTCACACATGCGCACCACACTGCCATGTGCCTAGCATGCCTGCTCTCCCCTCTCTGCTTGGAGTCTCAGAAACAGCTCTCCCCTTGGCTGAGAGGCTAGCTGAGAGGCCGGCCAATCACAGCGGAGGAGGGCTTTTGGTGGGAGGATTTGCCTTCTGTTTCCAAAAAGGAAGAGAAGGACAGGTGGAGAGATCTTATAATAGTAACAACTTTATTTTTGTACCCCACTTCCATCTCCCCAAACGGACTCGGGCAGCTTACATGGGGACAAGCCTGAGATTCAACATGGTTAAAATATAACACAATACAATTCATAAAAGCAATTTCAACAGTATAAAACAACAATACATAATACAATATATAGCAACCATCTAACAACCATCAGTGGTCTGAGTAGTGCACAGTTCTGAGCTCGGATAGGCAGGTTGGTGCAATCACTTACAAAGGACGGGGATAATGGATAAAGTGCTGAAGCGAATGCCAAGATTAGAGACTGGGGGGGGGGTAATATAAAGAGAGAAATATGTTTCTAATTGGGGAATAATGGTAATGTGCAAGAGCTGGTTTTGGATCAAACTGGGGGCCAAAATTAGTTGGGGAGTTATTTAGTCAAAAGCACAGTGGAACATCCACGTTTTTAGTTCTTTATGGAAGGTGGACAGGGTGCTTACTAGTCTAATCTCTACAGGAGAAGAGTTCCAAAGTCAGGGGGGTCACCACCGAGAAGGCCCTCACTCTCATCCCCACCAACCTCGCTTGTGACGGGGACGGAAGCAAGATGAGGGCCTCTCCAGAAAATCTTAGAGATCACGTAGGTTCATAGGGGAAGATGCGGTCACGAAGATAAGCAGGTCCCAAACATTTTTACAACATACGGAAGCCTTCTCTGCCAAAGGAATTCCTAAGACCATCAGAAATATGTTTTCTGATGGTCTTTGGCGATCCCCCTGAAACCCCTTTGCGACTCCCAGGTTGAGAAACGCTGTCTTAGAGGATGTTATTCTTCTAACATAAATATCTATGATCAACTCTACTACTACTAATAATAATAATAATATCCAAATTATAGTTACCATCTGCAGAAGGCTACCTTACTGGGATCTGCACGCATTATTCGCCGATACATCACACAGTCCTAGACACTTGGGAAGTGTCCTACGTGTGATCCAATTCAATAGCCAGCAGAGTGTCTGCTGTGGACTCATCTTGTTGTGTTTCAAATAATAATATCCAAGAACAGGTTATACCCAATAGTTAAAAGACACATAAGAAGTGGAGGCAGTAAGAAATTTAGCAGACCCAAGAGTAGACATGGATGATTTGATTTTCAACTCAAGAAAACCTAACACAGCACAAGTGGACTAGAATAATTCCTATAGCCATGTTCAGCAACCTTCTTGCTCAATGCTGTGTTTACAGCTTCATCTGCCTATCCCCTCCGGCTCATCTGGCAGCCAAGGTGCCCTGCGTACTTCTGCTCCTATCAATGAGACAAGCAAACAGGCCAGCCAGGCGTTTCCAAGGGGGAAGATGACAATGCAGACTTTTTGGAAGAACAAGAAAAACAGGACATCACTTTTTTGTGGGTTTTTTTTTTAAAGCTGTGTGGCTAAGCATTTTTTTATTGGCACCACTTGTTAGAGGAAAGAGCCAAAATGCAACCACAATGACAAGAGACTCAGGAAAAGATTATGGCATACATTTTATAATCAGTGGCAGGATTGTTTTTTTAAAGTCTGCAATATGAACACAGGCAGTCCCCAAGTTACGATCAGGAGAGGTTCTGTGGGTTTGTACTGAAGCTGAATTTGTATGCATGCTGGAACAGATATGTTTTAAAGTATAAGTCCATATACATACATATATATGTGTGTGTGAGAGAGAGAGAGAGTGTTTTGGATCACATAGGGAAGGGCGAACACTCCTGTGGTGTTCTGTTGCTGCTTGTGGCACTGTTTTAGAGGATTTCGCCTCCTTTTCTGTCCCTATGATAACTGGGTTTTGAAAAATGTGTCTAGTTGTGGAAATAACAATTCCAGATAAAGCTTCAGTGGGGATCTTGTTTCCCCATGATAATAACTCTTCCATGACTAGATTCCCCTCACTTCCTGTTGTCTCAGTCCCATTCTTAACTGTGGGTCATTTGTAAGTTGGGTGTTTGTAACTCGGGTACGACCTGTATGTAGGAGGGAAGAGGAGGCTAACCTACTTACCCTATGCTCATTTATCAGAAAACCTACTTGACAAAACATCTTTTTCTCCCTTCTCTCACTTCATGCATTAACCTCTCCCCTGATTTTAAAGCATCCTAGGAGTTTCAAAAGGCAATTGGAAATGCACCTCCACCTGGCATACCTTCACTCTGGCCCATCAAAATCAAAAGTTTTATGCCTTAAAGATGAACATGTGTTATTGGACACAACCTTTCACAGGACACAATGTTCTGGTGTGCCTCTGAGTCCTTCCCCACTTACAGCGATCCTAAGGTCACAATTTAGCAAGATCTGTTCAGAAGGGCCAGGCCAATAACACTTGTTCATCCTCTCAGCCACCAGGTTATTGGTGGCTAAGAGGGTGACCTGCCCAGTTGGTTTCCATGGCTGAGCCTCCAGAGCCCTGGTCCAATGCTCAAACCATGAGGCCACCCGGACTCCTCTCATAACCAGCCGCTTTGGGTCTCATTAAGAGAATAAAGAGGGCTATAAATCAATGCAGTAGTAATAACACTCTGTAACACAATTTTTGTTCCTGGGTTATAAATGGCATTTTCTAATTGGCTCTAATCACTATGTTTTAAAACTAGTATCAAGTCAATACAGAGCGTATGGTATAGTGGTTTTTAACTCTGGATATGTTTCAATGGTTTTTAACTAGGGATTTTAAATATATACTGTTTATATTTAATCCTGTTTTAATGTTTACATATTTGTATATTTGAAATCGTGTACAAATGCTTTTATGTTAAGCCACTGTATAAATATGTGAAAGGATGTAAAAAGGAAGAGGGAGCAGGTTTGTTTTCTGCTGCCCTGGAGACTAGGACTCAATGGAGCAATGGGCTCAAATGACAGGAAAGGAGATTTCAATGAACATGAGGAAGAACTTCTCACTGTGAGAGCTGTTCAGCAGTGGAACTCTCTGCCTCGGAATCTGGTGGAAACTCCTTCCTTGGAAGATTTAAAAAGATGCCGGATGACCATTTGTCAGGGGTGATTTGATTGTGCTGTTCCTGCATGAAGGTGGAAGGGGGTTGGACTGGGTGGCCCCTGGGGTTGCTCCTATTATTATTATTATTATTACTAGAAGGGCTGGGTGGCCATCTGTTGCGAGTACTTTAATGGTGATTTTCCTGCATGAAGGCAGAAGTTAGTTGGACTGGATGATCTCTGAGGTTTCTGCTATGATGATGATTATTATTACAAAGGCTGGAGGGCCATCTGTTGGGGGTACTTTGATTGTGTTTTTCCTGCATGGCAGAAGGCAGTTGGACTGGGTGGTCCCTGGGATAGCTCTTATTATTATTATTATTATTATTATTGCAAAGGCTGGATGGCCATCTCTTGGGGGTACTTTGATTGGGCGTTTCCTGTATGAAGGCAGAAGAGAGTTGGATTGGATGGTCTCTGGGGTTGCTCCATTTATCTATCTATCTATTTATTTATATCCTGCTTTATCTCTCCATACGGACACTCAGAGCGGCTCACAATAAAGGAACATTACAACTTAAAATATACAAACATACAACAATAAAACAGTATATGTGATTAAATATTAACAGTAGTAATTCTATTTAATACATTAGCATTACTATATTACAATATGATTATCAATATTATATGTCTATACAATATACTATACTATTAGCCTAGCACAATATTAGTATTACATATTACTATATTCTACTATACCACTATACTGCAATACTATTAGTAATATTACATGTAATATATAATATACAATTATTATTATATCATTATATTGTACTATATTATTATACTACAACATATATAATACGCGACCAGTATATTATACTACAGGTATTAGTATTATATAATATAATGTATTATTAGTGTTATTATTAGAAAAGCTGGATTACCATCTGTCGGGGGTGTTGTGAGGGTGCTTTTCCTGCAGGGCAGAATGGGGTTGGACTGGATAGCCCTTGGGGTTTCTGCTATTATTATTATAATTATTATTACTAAAAAGGCTGGGTGGCCATCTGTTGGGGGTGCTTTGATGGTGTTTTGCTTGCATGAAGGGGGTTGGACTGGATGGCCCCTGGGGTCTCTTAACTGGGCGTCTACTCTACTATTCGACATGGACCTAACCGCGCAACCCAGAATATATACTCCGTGCCATGATCCCTGCATTCACCAATTCTACTGAAAGAGAGGCCCTGAAAGCAAAGGGCCATTATTCAAGGCCAAGCAAGATCTGGGCCTGAGCCCGGAAACGAGGCCTCAGCCTGGACCCTTAGTCTCGCCAAACCCGCCCTGGATGGGGACCACGACTGAGGCCACGCCGCCTCCCCCTTGCCTTGCCTAGAAGAGAGAGAGAAGAATAGACCGTTCACCCACCAGCTGGTTGGTGCTCCTGTTGTCGCCTTCCGCCATTTTGTCCGCCTTCGACAGCTCCAACCGTCAACCGCCCGGCACCGCCCCCAAGAAAGGCAAGTCTTTTCTCTCACCTCGCCTCCCATTGGTCAGGGGAACCAAACCCCACCAGCCAATCAGCGTCGTCTTGTTAGCCTCCGGGCCAATCGCCTACCTGTTTACATTTTCAAAACGAAGGCGCGGCTCCCTGTAGTGTAAGCCTAGGCCAGCTTGGGCCCTCTCTCCAGATGGTGTGGACTTCAGCTCCCACAATTCCTCACATCCTCAGGCCCCTTCCTTTTGCTCCCCAGCCCTTTAAGGTTGGGCCGAGGCTGTGAAGAATTGTGGGAGTTGACGTCCAAAACACTGGAAAGAGAGCTCAAGTTGGCCCAGGTCTGCTTTACAAAATTGGAAAAGAAGCATTTTGTTTCTTATCAACCACAGGCACCACTACATAGAAACAAAAGGTTTCTGAGCCACTTTGAACTGGGGAAAAGCTAGGAAATGGCAAACACCAAATGCAAGCCTTGAAGGAAAGAAGGAAGAAAAAGGGAAGGAAGGTAAAGAAATAAAAAGGAAGGAAAGAAAGAAGGAAGGAAAACGGGCAGGAAGGTAAGAAGGAAAAAGGGAATGAAGGTAAGAAAAAAGGAAGGAAAGGAAGAAGGGAAAGAAAAACGGAAGGAAGGAAAAAGGGAAGGAAGGGAAGAAAGAAAAAGGGAAGGGAAAAAGCAAAAAAGGAAGGACAGAAAGAAAAAAAAGGAAATGAAGGGAAGAAATAAGGAAGAAAAGAAGGGGGTTGGTCACTTCACAGGATGAACACAACACCTTTTTGTTGTCGTTTGTATTTTGGTCATTGGCCAAAACAAAATGTTGATATTAAGCAGGCGTGAGACTTTTGAGATACCCAAGTGTGATGAAGTGTACATTTTTTTCCTGCAGTTATGTATTATTATAGACTAGCTTGGGGACCCAGCGCTGCCCGGGTTATTTAAGAAAGGAATTGTGTATCAAGTTTGGTCTTTATCAGTTATTTATATGACTCGCAGTTGTCTCAGGAAGTTAGTGAAGGTACTGTGAGTCCCATTATCTGTGGTCCATCCTCCTCCAAACTGCTCCAGGATGGAGAGTGGGTAATGGGGTTTTTGTGTGCCAAGTTTGGTCTTGATCGGTCATTAGATGAGTGTTGCAGAGGTCTTGGGAAGTGAGTGGAGGTACTTGAAGTCCCATCATCCATCGTCTGTACTCCCCCAAACCTCACCAGAATGTTGAATTGGCCATGGGGGCTCTCTGTTCCAAGTTTGGTCTTTATTCGTTTTTGAATGAGTTTCGCTATGGTTTCAGGAAGTGAGTGAACGTACTGCAAGTCCCATCCTCCATCGTCCATCCTTCAAACAGCACTGGGATGTAGGGTGGGTCATGGGGGCTGTGTGTGCCAAGTTTGGTCTTAAACGGTCATTAGATGAGGGTTGCAGCAATCTTGGGAAGGGAGTAGAGGTACTTGAAGTCCCATCATCCATGGTCTGTCCTCCAAACTGCACCAGGGTGTAGAGCGGGTCATTGGGGCTCCGTGTGCCAAGTTTGGTCTTGATTAGTCATTGGCGAGGGTCTCAGTGGTCTCAGAAAGTGAGTGAGGTCCACCTCCATTTTTTTCCAAATGACACCAGGACGTAAAGTGGGTCATGAGAGGTCTATGTGCCAAGTTTGGTCTTGATCAGTCATTGCATGAGGTTTGCAGAGGTCTCAGAATGTGAGTGAAGGTACTGGAAGTCGCATCATCCATCGTCTGTCCTCCTCCAAAACTGCAGCAGGATGTAGAGTGGGTCATGGGGGCTCTGTGTGCCAAGTTTGGTCTGTATTGGTAATTTTCTGACCCAGCCCCTGGCCTTTTCCTTTCCTCTCTTTGTCATCTCGGAATCTTGGAATTGAGGCTGGCCAATCAGAGACCATATGCAAATTTCCTTCTCTCATGTCTCCGTTTCTGTCATGAACCCTTTTCTCCACCAGGGGCTCCTGTAAAGCTGGCCAATCAGAGACCATATGCAAATAGCACCACAGCGGCAGCCAATCAGAATCTTGGAACTTTCAGGGTGGCCAATCAGAATGCTGGCACATACACCGCCACACCGCCACACTTTTGTCCTCCGCATACAAACTTTGACTTTTATTATATACATAGATAAGGGTTAGTAATGGTAAGTATATAGTATTGCATAATATTGGGGGATGGTAACCCGCTTAGCTTGCTTTGAGCTGAGTTGCTATGGAGATAGGGGCGGAGCCAACTGCCACTTGGCAGGGCAGCCATTTTGGAAGCAGGCAGTCTGTGGTCGGTGAACTGCAGAACTGGTTGGTTCTTTCCTGTGTAAAGAACCAGAGAGAATTCTGTAGTCATAGAACTACAGGGAAAGGCTGATGCTTCCTCTTCATCTTGGAAAGAAGTGACGAGTGGAGTGCCACAGGGTTCCGTCCTGGGCCCAGTCCTGTTCAACATCTTTATTAATGACTTAGATGAAGGGTAGAAGGCATGATCATCAAGTTTGCAGACGACACCAAATTGGGAGGGATAGCCAATACTCCAGAGGACAGGAGCAGGATTCAAAATGATCTTGACAGATTAGAGAGATGGGCCAAAACTAACAAAATGAAGTTTAACAGTGACAAATGTAAGATACTCCACTTTGGCAGGAAAAACAAAATGCAAACATACAGAATGGGGGACGCCTGGCTCAAGAGCAGCAAGTTAAACATGAGCCAACAATGTCATGTGGCGGCAAAAAAAGCCAATGGGATTTTGGCCTGCATCAATAGGAGCATAGTGTCTAGATCTAGGGAAGTAATGCTACCCCTCTATTCTGCCTTGGTTAGACCACACCTGGAATATTGTGTCCAATTCTGGGCACCACAATTGAAGAGAGATATTGACAAACTGGAATGTTCAGAGGAGGGCGACTAAAATGATCAAGGGTCTGGAGAACAAGCCCTATGAAGAGCGGCTTAAAGAGCTGGGCATGTTTAGCCTGAAGAAGAGAAGGCTGAGAGGAGACATGATAGCCATGTATAAATATGTGAGAGGAAGTCACAGGGAGGAGGGAGCAAGCTTGTTTTCTGCTTCCCTGGAGACTAGGACACGGAACAATGGCTTCAAACTACAAGAAAGGAGATTCCACCTGAACATTAGGAAGAACTTCCTGACTGTGAGAGCCGTTCAGCAGTGGAACTCTCTGCCCCGGAGTGTGGTGGAGGCTCCTTCTTTGGAAGCTTTTAAACAGAGGCTGGATGGCCATCTGTCAGGGGGCTTTGAATGCAATATTCCTGCTTCTTGGCAGGGGGTTGGTCTGGATGGCCCATGAGGTCTCTTCCAACTCTATGATTCTATGATTTATATTAAAAGTAACTGTTGTGGAAAAGAAGGGAAACCCTAATAAGCATCTTTATTGTAACAGAACCATCATAAAGGATAAGCGTGTGCCTGAAATAACCTGTTAAAGAAAGATCTCTTTCTAAAAGAACTAAGTTTAAGACCTGTTTGTTAGAATAATTAGACCTTCTAAGAGTTATTTAAGGACTGTTATGAACGTGACCATTAAAGATCTGTACCTCTAAGAGAAGAGAAACTTTGAAACCATCACATTTCTGTACTTCAACAAACTTGTTAGTTTCCTTTTGAAGTCAATCCTGACTCTTTTCCAAGTCAAGTCATGCTACATATTAGAGAAAGACCAAAGCAACATTACAAGCTATTGGTTGTGTCATCAATTTAAAAAGCCATCACAAAGAGGTGACTCCTTTTTCCAACTTTCTACATATATGTAACAGTTATACCTATACATCCTTACAATTTGGTGGCATCGTTGCAAATTAGTGGCCAAGCCTTTACAATTAGTAGCAGTAATATATTGGCTCCTTCACAAGGTGCTTGTTTTTTTTGTTTTTTTTAAAGTTTGTTTATTTTTCAGAAAGGCAGGACATATATACCTCTAGTTCAAAATGGAACCAGCTTTGAGAAAGCTCCGGTTGAGAAAGTTATTTGAATGTCTGCCTGCATGCTCAGAAAGGTGGCTCCAAAAAGATTTGAACTTAATGTGCCTCAACCATGGAGGCAGGCATTAGCAAATTTAACTTGTATATGTCGATTTCCTATTATGATGTCCCTTCTGTCCAATTATGTTCTGCATGTGGCCTCAAAAGGAGAACACTAAAACGTGGTTTCACAATGCTGCCCAGGTCTAATCGGCAAGCATAATCGTATTGGGTTGGCCGGGATGTGACAGCTAAGGAGTATTTGAACTAAGCAGGAAAACGGGAGGTGAAACCATGCAAGCCATTAGAGTAAGAAGAAAAAACACCCAAAACCAGAGCCTTTCTCTGGTACAATTGGTTCAAATCAAGCTAATGTCATTTATAATCAGCCCTGGGAATTCAGTGATTTTGCTTCGGGAATATGTTGGAGAAGGATCGGTGTCCCGTTATGACTTGGGTGTTTAATACATTCAGAGTGAAGAGTGTGTTAAGTGTGCCTTATGGGACATGAGTTTTGCAATGAAATACTCCTCAGAACCTCTGAGGATGCCTGCCATAGATGTGGGCGAAACATCAGGAGAGAATGCTTCTGGAACATGGTCATACAGTCCAAAAAACCCACTGCAACCAAGCAAACACGTGTTGTTGTTGTTGTTGTTTTTAAAAAAGCTCATGTTTGGTGGCAGAGAAACAGCTCTCCCATTTTCAATATAAAATGAATGCAATACAAAAAATAAGAACACAAGTAGATTTCTGAACTTTATTACACAATGCAGTAAAGATTCCATCTCCATACACTGTTCATTTCTGGCTAAAAGAACAACAACACACGAAGCAAGGGAGTAGCACTGCCCTGTCCACACTTCCAGGAAACAAGAGGCATAATCTCGTCCCGATTGCATTTGGATACAGACCGAGGAGGTTTCATACAGAAGGGAAAACCAAAACGCACTCACCAATTCCATGAAGATGTTGGGCTGGAATGCATTGACTCAAAGGTAAAACAAAATACACAGGCAGCACACAGGACTCATTTAGGCCCAATAAAACCAAGGACAACAGGAGCCTGTGTGGAAGATGGAGAACAGCATGAAGCCATTCCTTTATGAGATGTTCAGAGGAAGCCAGAAGACTCCACCTCACCCCAATCCCATTTGAGAGGATGGAAGTAACTAGTTTCTGCCCCTTCTACTTGGCCTCAACATATATATGGCGGCACTCTTCTAAGCAAAGGCTTCTAAGTTCCCTTTTAGATAAACAGACTGAAAAGTGAATGCCTCTGTCTGAAAAGAGGTTTAAGCGTTCACTCCAGATCATATTGCAAATCCTGATTTGTCCTCCTTAATGGCTTATAAAGGAAATGCACAAGATAACAACTGTATGCAGGGGAGGCCCCTAACCCCACCATTTCAACCTCAAATTTTAGATGCAAAAGGAAGATACCTCTACCTTAAATGACACCACAAAGTTATGGCTGCCTTTTGCTGGAGCCAGGAAGCAGCCCGTTCTTTCCAATGGCAAATCCGAGACAGGCTCATTAAAGTTACTGGACATTTTTATGAACAGGAAGTAAAACATTGAATACATATGGAAACCGACTGGTTTAAAGTGCCATTTTAATAGCAACTTCTTTCGCATCCACCATTCAAAAGTGCAAGGTCGATTTAGTTAAAAGGTCTTGAGAAATTCACAATGAATGCATTACCAACACGACCTATTGGAAGTCATAAGGAAAAGCAACTTCATACAAATCTTTGTACAAATTTCACTTGAACAAAACAAAGAGTCTTGTTTTAGTTTGCAGTTTTGTTTTTCAATCCCCAGCCCGAACTAAAATACTATATATTTCCAAGTGTAAATCAAAATTTGAAGTGAATCAAACAGCATAAAACTACCTTCACTAGAACGTCACTTTATTGATTTTTCTGTCATCAACAATGCACTTAAGATAATGTAATCATGGGGCTTGTTTTTTGGTAAAAGATAATGGTTACATTGGAGTAGCTATGTTTACAAAAGAAACTACAGCAAATCACAATAGAATGAACTTTTCGAGGGGAAAAGTTGGAATTACGAAAATGCAGATACAATGCAAGCAGAGGGAGGTGCACATTTAAATAAAATGCCTGTGGAAGATTCATTACTTTGAAATGCACAGTGAATCTGGGGGAACTGTACATGATAGAATCACACACACAAATCACCTGAAAACAAACAGAAAAGTCAATTTGCATTTGATCACAACTCAAAGGTAACTGCTTAAATGTTCAGCATTCCCTGTGCTTTTGAAATTATGATTTAGCAAAAAAATTTATTTGACTCAACCAGTGAAACACAAGGACTGAAATTAAAATATACTGGAAATATACCTAAGTTACAAGAATAAACCAGAAGTGGGAAAGAACTTTTTCCTAAAAAAAAAAAAAAGACAAAAGCTCTCTCTTCTCAGAAAGTTCTTTCAATGCAGCTGACATCGAGCTCTTTCCGTTTCAGTCCATATCTGAAGTTCATCTTATGTAGCATTTCCCCCCAATTTTATTTTTTTATTTTGTTTAAACTTTTGCACTAACTGGTTGACTCAACCAGTGCCGATGCCAAGCAGCCAGAGTGACTCAAGAAACGCGATCTCGCAAATCTTCCTCTGCGGCCCCCCTTTTGGTGTGTGTTCGGTTTTGCCCCGGATTGTTCACATGGTCAGGCGGAATGGGGTTCCAAGTGGCTCTGTGGCCTTTGGAGTGCCCCCCATTTCCCTTTCTGCGGCTCTTACCCCCCGACACGTTGGCAGTTCTTCTGCAGCAGAAAGACAGCCCTGCTGTGCTGCGGCGGTTCAGGCTGCGGTGGGCTTCCCCCCTTGGCCCTGCGGGGTCCCTCCAGGCCATTGTGTTCAGCGTATCCCTGAGTGCAGCCACTCTGCAGGACTCCCTCCCCCAGGGCCCCGAGAGGGCCTGGGTGGCCTCACGTTGAGCCCCCGAAAGGCACCACCACTGACCGTGGTGCTGCCGCCATGGATAGACGCCTGAGGCCGAGTGGATTCTGCTGGAGGTCTGACTTTGCGGAACCAGGCGGACCTGTTGTCGTCATCTCCCTGTTCATACCCAGGCTGTCCAACCTTCATAGAGCTGAGCCAAGTTATCTAGATTAGTCGCCTCCTTAATCACATAGTCGACCTAGGAAGTCACAACAAGAGAAGTTAGATGTCTGAGGTATAATTTCATCTTCTAAGGAGCTTATAACCTCTGTATCTGAAGGAGTATCTGAGAAAGCAAGTTGACGCTGGCACAATAAGAGGTGTTTTAACGAGCTCTGGTATATTTGTTTTTTCCCTACTCTGTCTTTTTGAAACGGAGAACTGAAAACACAGCAGGACAAGCCCTGAGTCTACCACACACCATAGGGCTTCTAAACAACTCAGGATAGAGTCTAGACAAATTATTTGGGGAAAGAACTGTGAGTACATCTGACTTAAACACCTTTTGAAATTAGTACTGACAACAACAGTTGCTCAGTTCCTCAAGACAAGGTTAATAAGATTAATGAACCCGTTCTATTAGAAGCCTTTGATTTTTTTCTGTTTTAATATGTGTTGTTTTATAACCTGAAGTATATATCTTATTTGATTTTCAGTTTCCTTATCTATATACCTAAAGCAGTGGGAGGGGCTACAGGTCACGTGACTGACTGTGAGAGTTTGCAATGTTCAGTTTTAAACAAGATGACAGGGAATGTCAATTGAGCCTTGAGTCTGCTAAAAGTCGGTTTTGAGCCTTGAATGAGTTTGAGTATAGAAGTCTGTCAGAGTGCAGAAGCTCATGTTAGGAAGTTAGAAACTGTTGAGGCCCATATTAAAGAGAGCTGCATAAAACAACATAGTCTGTGAAGAAACTGTTAAATATTTTAAGTTCAAGATAAAAATTCTCTGAAACATTACTGAAGACTTTGAATGTGCCTGCATCTTTAATTACATGAAGTTATCAGTAAACAGAACTTGTTATCTGTAAAAGTCTGCTTGCATCATTGTCTGCTGAAAGTATCAGACAGAAACAAAGTATCTACATGCCCAGCAACCATTCATTACCAATAAACTCTGCTACCCTGATTAGGTTGTGATCCTAACAGTTCATGATCTATACCACCGTTGGTCAGTGATCGTAACAGGTCATGACCCATTCATTATTCCCAATAGGCTGTTTATTATGAAGGAGTGTTCTTGGAGTCAGATATACCAGAGGAAAACTTGCATTACCGAGATAAAACAACATACAGAAACTACTACTAGTAGTACTACTGCTATGTTTCCATTGACACATGGAACCTTTGAGCCCATCTGAAACACAACTAAGAATAGCAAACTGGGACAACGCCGCTTTTAAGGCGAATAGATGCAAAACAGTTTTAGGAAATGCAGAATTCGTTCCTGTATCTTTACAGGTAATGCTCACATCATGGGCTATTAAACAATATCATAGTGGCTAAGCTTAAACCTAGCAATCTGGCACTTTATTATTATATACTATTACATATGTATATTTAATATTTGTTAATATTTACTTTTTATTTACTATTAAACTGTATAATAGGGGCCAAGCTTAAACCTAGAAATCAGTCACTTTATTACTATTTATTATTAAATCTTTATATTCTATATTTATGACTATTAACTTTATTTACTATTTAATTATGTAATAGTGGCCAAGTTGAAATCTCACAATCAGCTGCTTTATTACTATTATTAAATCTTTATATTTTATATTTATTACTATTAAACTATGTAATAGTGGCAAAGTTTAAACCTAGCAATCAGCCACTTTTTGTTCTTATACTTACAGGGTAACAGAAGTCTCAAGCCCACACAGATACACGAAGGACGATTCATGGGTCACTGTACTTGTCCAGCAACAACACCAAACAAGACCATATTTTTTAAAAGTTCATCGTATAAAACCGAGCTGAGGGGGTTATCTGAAGTAAATTATACTTTGAAGGGATTTGAGAAGAGAACAGGGATTGCCCATGGACTCACCTGTTCAGCCACAGACATTCTCCGGTTGGGATCCAAGTCCCGGCCCTCTAGCTTGGCTTTGACACGCTTCCACACACTTACTGCATATGAATTCCGCTCTTGCACAGCTTTAAAAAAAAAAAAGGGGGGGGAACACCTCCATTTTAATATATCTGATATAAAACATTCAGATGCGTTTTGCTCATTGAAAAGTAGAATGTTCTACATTATTTTGCAACTTACCTTTCCCTGTTTTAGGATCTCTGATGGCCTTTTTAGGGCTAGACACAACGCTTTTCCCAGTCCCTGCAATTGTACCCGGAGGAGTATCTGCTGATGGAACAAGGTTCTTCTGAATTACCTTCCTTGTATTCTGTGACATGACCTCTGGCTGAGTTTTCTGCCCTGTATTACTACGGACCGCTATAAACATATAATTTAAACAAAGCAATATTGAAAATGTCATAAAAATCAATCAAAAGTTATAATATAGGAGAAGGATAGGTAGAACAATATATAGTAAAAGTAAATGTTTCCCCTTGACATTCAGTCAAGTCAAGTCCGACTCTGGGGGGTGGTGCTCATCTCCATTTCTAAGTTGAAGAGCTGGCATTGTCCATAGACATCTCCAAGGTCATGTGGCCAGCATGACTGCATGGAGCACCGTTACCTTTCCACCAGAGTAGTACCTATTGATCTACTCACATTTGCATGTTTTCGAACTGCTAGGTTGGCAGAAGCTGGGCTAACAGCAGGAGTTCACCCTGCTTCCAGAATTTGAACCACTGACCTTTCAGTCAGCAAGTTCAACAGCTCAGTGGTTCAACCCACTGCATCACCAGGGGCGCATATTATAATATGATAATATTATATTTTTTCTTAATATATAACATTATGATAAGCTGTTATAACAATATAGTACAATGCAGTAATGTATAATAATATGATAATTGTATAATATACATTACATATAATATTACTAGCAATATTGCAGTATAATGTGTTATTATTTTTGATATAGATCTGGATTTTTGGGGGACTTGGGGGTTTGTTATTTTTGTCTTTGTTCAGCTTCTCACAGCATTGAATGTTTGCCGATATCTGAGGTAAACCGCCCTGAGTCCCTTTGGGGACATAGTGCGGGATATAAATAAAGTTGTTGTTGAATACAGATTGGTTTTTTTTTAAAGTGAAAAACAAGATCCTGACTTCAGATTCCTGGCTCAAACAGAGGGAGGGTGAAAAAGGGCTTATAGAAGGGAATAAATTCCCCATAAGATCACTACAGGAGAGAGAGAAAAGGATTTATCTTCATGTTAATACTTTATTTATTTCACCATAATTTTTCTTCTTTCGTTTGATGCCCATAGGTAATGAGGCAAATATTATTTCTATTTTGAGATGAACACTTGGAAAGCTTCACAGTACTGGAAATGTTACTTCTTAAACAACAACTCACAGAATACCTTGCCAACATAACCACTAGCATTCAGGGAGTTGTAGATTCTGGAAGGCTAGTGGCAAAGAGTAGTCTTAATTGTTTCTCTCTCAGAGTTCCTAATCAAGGGAAAAACATCTTTGGAAATGGGGATTTATTATCTGGTAACCACAGAGAAAACAGTCAGAACCTAAACTACAACAGCTTTGAGTCCCCCTCGGCGTGAGAAAAGTAGTATACAAATACTGTAAATAAATGTAAATAAATAAACCCTGGAAGGAGGGTGGATCCATTTTTCCATAGTGGAATTGTTCCTTGACATCTGTATCTTTCAGGAAGAAGAACCAAACTAGTGGGAAGGCTGCCCTGACGCCAATGAAAAGCGAACGATGATGATTAATGTATTTGACAAGTTCAAAATATCTAGAGGACTAATTCACCTGCAGCAAATGTTGGCTGACATGTCGCAACAGACGTTGGGCTTGAGCATTCATTGGGTGTATCCGTGATTAAGGGCGATGCAAAGCTTACTAGGTTGTTGTAGACACTAGGAAAAATAAGAAAAATCAATAAACAGATGTATGCATTTCGAGGTCCGCAGAGAAAATCCAGTATAAGAATGCTGTATTACATAAAACATGTTTTCCTATATCTTGAGGAAATGAGGAGACATTCAAATATTTCATACTAATCAGTATCTCAAAATACTCCTTAACCTGAAGTTGCTCTCAAAGATTTTTGTCTCTCCGGACTAAAGAACATCCAATAAAGTTTGCATTGAGGATTTTATCATTTTCTATTATTCTAGTAACTAGAATATTTCCATTAAAAACAGGCATGTGTTCACCTTTAGTAAATATACAAAGAAGCAATCACGTCTGCCTACCTTTGACTCTGGGTTCTCAGTTCTTTCAGAGTTGGAGTAATTTCTTGCAGCATTTCAATATGCTCCTGACTGCGGACCTGACCCATCGCCTGAACTAATGTAAACAAAACTGTTTGAATATTATCTTGCCACAACTTATATTCTCCCAAGAACTGTCTGACACTATTCTCATAGGGAACATCTTCGCCATCAGCCAGAGCCGCTTCTTCATCCTGTAATAAAGAAACAATCATTGTAACTTATCTTTTGAGATGTGACTTTAAAGTGCAAGAATGTGTATATGACATTTGCCAATAGAACACCTTCCTCTTCCAGTTTAGGGCTTATATAATCCAGTTCCCACAATATGCTCATGTATGGTGTATCACAGGCATGGGCAAACTTGGGCCCTCCAGGTGTTTTGGACTTCAACACCCACCATTCCTAACAGCCTCAGGCCCCTCCCATTTCCCCCTCAGCTGCTTAAGTGGCTGAGGGGGAAAAGGAAGGGGCCTGAAGCTCTTTGGAATGGTCAGAGTTGAAGTCCAAAACACTTGGAGGGCCCAAGTTTGCTCATGCCTGGTGTATCAGGCATATATGAAACATAAATGAATGTCAAGTTCAGACTTCTGTCCTGACTCTTTAGATGTACATGTATGCAAATACAAGTATTTCCAAATCCAAAACACTTCTGGTCCCAAGCTTTTCAGATAAAAGATACCCAATTTTACTTTAGAGATCACCTTTGCCATAGCTTTCAGCAGATGCTTGACATCTCCCAGTTGCCTGTTGTGCCCGGTTAGCACACTTTTGATATTATCAACCAGGTTCTGAATGGTTTCACACACAGTTTCGATCTGCTGCTCCTTTTCTGTTTGCACAGTCCTCTGAGTCGATGTGTCCTGGGACAGCTGCTTGTGAGCAGAGATGAGCCACTCTGAACTACCAATGGGATGCTCAGCATTGGTGCCCTACAGTGAAGAAAGAGTTCACCAAATGTTTAAACACCTCGACAAGCAGGACTCATTCAGAAAGCTCAGTAGCTGTTGGCTAATTACTCGTCTTCAGTAAATCTTTAAAACTCTTATTAAGTTGACAAGGGTGGCCTCACATATACTACCCTAAGCTAGTATCCTAAGAGGGGGGGGGGGGGGTAATGCATTTTTAAAGGCCATTTTAATGTATTGGCTGTATTTTAATTTTGTTTTCAAACACTGTTATTATTGAATTGTTTTTAACTTTTGCATTGCTCTTTTTAAACTGTTTAGTGTGGGTATGTTAGCTGCCTTGAGTCCCCATGGGGAGAAAGGTGGGATATAAATAAAGATAACAACAACAACAACATGCTTCTCTATAAATAAAATGTGCATAAAATCTGAAACAAAGTTTGGGTGGTTAAATCTATTGTACTACAACTGGCCATTCAGACATCGTGATAAACGATGATTATAAAAGAGACTTATACATGTAACAAAGGCTGAGTTGACATGATGTAGTTTGCAATCAGACTATCTGAACCACAAACAGATGTGAACTGGATTTCCAAGCTATGGCTTCTTTTGATGTTTGGTTTGTTGCCTGAACTGACAAATCAAAACTGTAGTGATTGCCCTGCTCTATAATGGCAGGAAATCAGAATACTAAGCAACCAGAAAATCTAAGTAAAAAAAACTTTAGAGCTTCACTGTACATTTGAATGTTCTAACTATGATTTAGGTACTAAGCTATGGCTGAAAACAGGGTTTGATTAAATATCCAAGCACTTTAGAAGTGTAACGAGGCAGACATTTTTATCCTTAAGAGGACATGTACTTCCCTTGTAAATCCTCAACTATGTCCCTTACTTCGTGATTCACATTAACTATGTTTTTGAATGGATTTGTAAGAATATTTTGTCTCTAGAAACCAGACTTGTTTAAAATGGAGAAAAAAATAGAGCACAGAGGGGGAGGAAAGAGCCATTTAAATCCAAGATACAGTTCCAATAGCCTGGCTAGTAGATGTAAAACATTTTATTCCGTCTCTCTCTCTCTCTCTCCTTTACTTACCACTCTGTGAATTAAACGAAGTTCCAGCTCAGACACTGTGCTGTTAAACTGCGATGCAAATGAACACATTTGTTGGCAACGTTTGACAAGTTCAAACAAGGCAGCATCAAGGTTTAAGGCTTCTGCTGTTCTGGTACGCAAACTTTCAAAATGAATGATGTTGCTACAAAGGAAAGTAACCTGCAGGAGAAAGCAGGATGAAAAGAAGTCAGAAATCAAAAGTTAAAATTCACTTGGATTACTTTGGAGAAAAGCACTGAAGAATTATCAGATCTAAAAGAAATAAAGTATACTTCAAATATAATTGATAGTACCTGATTGGCCCTTTGTGTTTCTTTGAGAACAAGATTTCGTCTTTCAGCAATTGTGGCATCAAAATCTTGGAGAACCGGCGCTAAGGCTGGATTCGCCCCTCCGGCCCATTTCAGGCGCTGCTCAATACTGGCCTCAAGGGCTGCCAGCTTTTCCTGAGATGGTACAAGAGGGAGAAATAATAATAATAATAATAATAATAATAATAATAATAATAATAATAAACATTACATCCTAGCATTTTTGTTTATACAATGCAGAACTGACAGTTACACTGTGGCATCAGACATAGTTTAAATTTAATTCTGAAAACCCGTAGGGCATCTTCCTGTATTCTGAAAAACAATCAGCAATTTAGAAAGAGAGACTACAAAACAGTAATAAGCAGCAGCTTGTGAAAGTAAGCAGGGCAAGTTTTAAATTGAAGGTGTAGGGCGGAGACCATAAAAACAGTAAATACTTCATTTCTTAAACTTGGAGACTACAAAATCATTGTCCAAGAAAAATAGTTTGTCTTTGATTACTATTCTTAAATGTCTTACTTAGCTCCGCAATGACTTACTTAGCTCTCTTAAAAGATAAGTAAAGATAAAGTCCTGACATTAAGTCCAGTCATGTCCAACTCTGGGGGTCGGTGCTCATCTTCATTTCTAAGCTGAAGAGCTGGCATTGTCTGTAGACACCTCCAAGGTCATGTGTGACTGCATGGGGCACCATTACCTTCACGCCAGAGCTGTATCCATTGATCTACTCACATTTGCATGGTTTTGAACTGCTAGGTTGGCAGAAGCTGGGCCTAACAGCGGGAGCTCACCCCTTCTGGATTCGAATCACCAACCATTCAGTCAGCAAGTTCACCAGCTCAGCAGGTTAACCCACTGTGCAACCAAGGGGGCTCTTAAAATATATAAACATACTATTTTTTCATGCTATCTTTTTAAGCATTTCTCACTACTTACTCCTCTACGAAACAATTGAAATTGTTACCTGAACTGCTGCAATGGAAGCTTCAATCTGGCTAAGTGTGTGAAGTTTCTTTTTCATACTGGCTAAAATGGCAGACCGAGGAGGAGGAGTGACTGTCATGGCTTGTGGACGACTGACGAGGAGATCTTCGTGCTGCCACTTTTGAAAGAAAAAGAATTTTAAACATCAGCCTGACATGTTGGAAATTGACTGACAATGTCCATTCTTGTCTGTAGGAGACATCTTCGACAACCAAGGCAGAATCCTCATGGGAAGCGTAGGGTTAAAATAGCATTACTACTTCTAAAAAAAGGCAGAGCCCATCAATACACAAAGGCAAAGAATGGCCTCCTGGAGAAAAGGCAGGGTATAAATAATAAAGTTAATAATAAAGAATAGGAGAGGATTGGTAAGCCAATGCTTGATCTCCAGTAGATCTTTTCCACAGTTCTAGTATACTTCTATTCCCACTCTTTTGTGCCTCCAATATCTGCTGAAGTGAACACGTACCAAAGTAATGAATCTAGGATACAGGGTTGCTATAAAATACACATTATTGCACATTAAATTCTCAAGGGGCATCCTGAGCCATACAAAACAACAATTCCCTCTGACTCAAAGCAGTTCTCATAGATGGTTAGTTTTCCAACGTCTGGAGGAAAGTTGCAGAAGTGAACTGCTCACCTACCTGGAACATAGCAATATGCAGTTGCACTCTCTGTAGGCTCGTCTTACAAGAGGAAATGCTGGTTTCAAGTCTCCGCACCAAGTCATGCTTCTTCCATGCAGTATCATATGAACTGGCCAACACCGTTGCTCTGTTCATAACCAATTGTGAGTATTTGCCAATTTGGATGTTGTGCTCGACCGCTTTCTTACACAAGTCGTCCACCGAGACCTTGCTTTCAGCCCCAAAATCCTTGGCCTCTACTTGAGCTATTATATCCACACCAAGGGCGCTAATGAAACTGCACAGTGTCAGCCCCAAAGCTTGGTTTGGGAGGCCAATTAAAAGCTGCCGGACAAAGTCAGCTGTGAATGCTTTAATAGGTTTGGCCATTTGATCTTCATTAAAGCAACAGTTCCGGTACAAAGTTTTCACGTTGACCATCTGCACTGGTCCATTCACGGTGTTTTGATCTTCAATTGAGCTTATACCTTACAAAAGAAGAGGATTACAAATAATTATAAGACCCTAAAATCCTCAGTACTACTGATTTCAAACACTACAGAATGTGGTATTCTATGCAAGAGAAAATGGTTTATGCCAATAAGTATAACACCCATTTTAATAGAATTTTGATGCAATTGTTAAAGTATTGTATCAGAACTTGGGATCTCTATGTTTAAGTCACAATGTTCCTCCAGTGGCTATGAGCTGACCTACCTCGCAAGATGCAGATTAAGTTTTGATCTCTTAAGAACTGCATAAAGAATCTGCAAACATTTAGTAATGTGCTGTCGTTGTGTGTCTTCAAGTCATTTTTGACTTGTGGTGAACCTAAGGCAGAGCTTTCCAAACTGTGTGTCGGCTGTAGTGTATGTAGTGTATGTAGTGTGTGTCGTGTGAATGTAAAGAGAAACCTCTGAGTCTATGTCAAATAAGCAACAAATCATATATTTTAAAATATATAAATGAAAGGTTTTCATATGATGGTGTTGCGTTCCCATAAATGTCATTATTACAAGTGATGTTTGTGTCCATATCTCGTATTAACCCAGGCATGGGAAAACTTTGGCCCTCCAGATGTTTTGGACTTCTACAATTCTCAACAGCCTACTGGCTGTTAGGAATTGTGGGAGGTGAAGTCCAAAATACCAGGAGGGCCGAAGTCTGCCCATGTCTGGTTTGCTAGTAAACCTGAATGACTGTCTCACAAAAAGACTGATGTCTAAAAAGCTGTGTCATCAACATGAAATGTTTGGAAAGCTCTGCCCTAAGGTGAATCTATTCTGGGGTTTTCTTGGCAAGATTTGCTTAGAAGATTTGCAAGATTTGTCTTTGCTTTGAGGCTGAAAGAGTGTGATTGCCAAGCAACCCATTGGTTTCTGTGGCCAAATGACAATTCAGATCCTGATCTATACAGAACAGTGCTCAGATCACTACACCATCTTAGTAAGTATATGCAACTGTCCAATAATAAATGATGGAAATAATAGGTTTTGGAGGGAAATTCAAAGAATAGGGCATGTGTAATCATAAGATACGAGTTTCCTACAACTGTTTGTTTGTGTCTATATTCAGTGTTAAGTGTGAACTAGTTGTTTCATTTCATTTTTCTCACAAGGAAATTGATATAAGAAATTGTACCTGCCTTCTACACAAAGGCTCAGGATATAAAATAATGCTTGAAACAAAATGTTAAGGAAAAATGGGGTCATTTTAAGTTTTTACCTGAAAGCGTTTTAGAAAAAGTACCACAGAGTCTAAAAAATTCTTTTATCGTTTGCAGCCTTTTCAAAAAGAAGATCTCTTCTAGAACTTGTCGATTGTTATCATCGTCAAAAAAGTTAACTTGGGTGCTGCGGGCTTCTCGGATGATGTCCACCTTGCGCCATGCCACGGGGATCTCCATCTTGTTAAGCTGATTGGAAATTAAGCAAAGAATAAGTTTGCTTGCCTTCTATATCTCTTGCTTTACAAAGCCAGCCAAGTCTGCAACTCTAGTATACCTTTTCAACTAATAATCCAAATGCTGTTTCCACTTGAGCAAACATTCCATCAAATGCTACTAATAGCATTTGGCCTGCTGTCATTTTGGGTGTTTCGTCAACTGAGCCATTTCTTGGTTGAATCAATTCACCATACTGGGCATGAAGCAACCTAAAGAAAGAAGAGGGAAGGGCAGTTAGAATGTTATATGGAGCACTGGCTGTGAAGATCCAATCATTCCTTAGAGAAGCAGAGACTACATACATCCTCAGCTCGCCCTTCCCCATCTTCTTACAACCAATGACAGGCAGCTAGGTATGACAGATCGCCACAAAAATGAAGACCAGAATAGATATTTATAATCAATTGTGTGGAGCTAGATGTTTCATTCTTCAAAGACATGGGTGGATCTTCATAGTAAATGATTAAAGCAGGCATGGGCAAACTTTGGCCCTCCAGGTGTTTGGACTTCAACTCCCACAATTCCTAACAGCCTCAGGCCCTTTCCTTTCCCCCTCAACTGTTTAAGCGGCTGAGCGGGGAAAGGAAAGGGACTGAGGCTGATAGGAATTGTGGGAGTTAAAGTCCAAAACATTGGGAGGGTCGAAGTTTGCCCATGCCTGGACTCAAGCAATATCTCTGTCTGTGACATGCCTGACCTAAAACCACATATATATCTAAGGGGAAATGATCAAGAACAAAAAACTCATCTTTGCATTTACCTCTATCTTGTTTATTAAGGTAAATGGATTTGCCTGTATGGCTGCTCTACATATCTCTTGCAATGGAAACGTGATTTTAAAAAAGGTTGCAGGCCGAGTGGCAACTAGCTGTTTTAGGTGAATCTAGACCTCTCGTAAACTGAGCAAATATACATCTTCAACCATGTAGCCAATAACAACAATAACAACTGGTTGGAGCACAAGCCCGAAAAAGTTACAGAAAATAAACACATCAAACTACTCTGGGACTCCCGAATTCAGACTGACAGAGTTTTAGAGCACAATACTCCTCGCCTCACGATTGTGTTAAAAAACCAAGTATGGATCGTCGATGTCGCAATCCCAGGCGACAGCAGGATTGAAGAGAAACAACTGGAAAAGCTGACACAATATGAGGATTTAAAGATCGAACTGCAAAGACTCTGGCACAAGCCAGTCAAGGTGGTCCCAGTGGTGATTGGCACACTGGGTGCAGTGCCTAAAGACCTTGGCCTGCACTTACACACAATCAGTGCTGACAAAATTACCATCTGTCAACTGCAAAAGGCCACCCTACTAGGATCTGCACGCATTACTAATCTTGTTGTGTTTCAAATAACAACAACAGCAACAACTTTATTTTTATACCCCGCCTCCATCCCCCCGAAGGGACTCAGGGTGGCTTACATGGGGTCAGGCCCAACCAAACAGTTAAAACACAACACATTAAAATGCATATCAACAAAATAATAACAAAAAGCAATGTAACAAAATAAGAACAACAACATTAAGCTGCATATAAAACAAACATCAGAACCAACAACCAATAGCAAAGTTCAATGTTTCGTCGTGGGTGGGCGGACTGGTGCCACAACATTAGAGTATAGAGCAGGTAGTAAAGGGCAAATATCATGTAGCAGCAATAAAGATAAGAATGATTAATCATTAAAGATTTGAATATAACAATTGTAAAGTGCTTGAGGACAAGATTTTTGAGTCCTAACTAGGGCCAGCTATCCAGGGAATTGCTTAGTCAAAAGTACAGTGGAACAGCCACGTCTTTAAGATGGATATGCTTTTCTCCATTGCCAACTAAAAGGACAAACAGGGGATATGAGCCCAAGACACAACTTGCTCATAAGGTATCATCAGCCACAAGAGATGGGTCAAGGCCATGAAATTCACCACCCGCTTGTTGTGAAAAAATGGTATCTTCAATGAGACCCTGGACATTATTTCTGGAGACAGGAGCTCAGCTGATCTAAGAGTCTATGAGAAGCCTTAAAGAGAACAACAACCTCCTGGGCAGGAAAAATTGTTTTTCTTTAGCTCAATCAGGAACAGGATCTGAAATCCTTTGGTCTGTTTGAGAACTAACTCTAGGCAACAATAAAAACCTCATAAGTAGATCTCCAGGGATTCCTTGAACCTTGAGAGAAGTTACCAGGATCATCACTTTTAACGAGGAGACTTTAATTGATATGTGTTTTTAAATTGATATTGACTGTTTTAACTGGTTTTTATATTTATATTAACTGTTTTAATTGTATTTTATGTTTTGGTGCTCACTGTAAACCGCCCTGAGTTGCCTGCGGCGGAGAGAGGCGATATATAAGCATAGCAAACAAACAAATAAATAAATAAATCATGAGCTTCTGCACGAGAAAGGTAACCCAATTGAAAAAACAAAACTTTAGAGCTATTTGTTAATTTGGATGACCTGGAGCATCCACATATATATGCCTCTTTCAGATCAGTGGAAGTACTCTTGTAGATCTCTTGGCTATCTGAAGCAGTTCTTCTCAGGCTGGTGTAGGGGACCAGTCATTTTTGTCTTTTGTTGTGATAGTGACTGGCACCATATTTTTGTATCCCTTTTGTAACTGAGACAAAATGAAAACATCTATGCTGCTATTTACCTTGCAACATCAATATAATGAGTGTGCACATCTTCTTCGAGTCCCATGGCTGCATTTCTTAAGTAAGCTTGAAGAGACTCAACCAGACTTTGCAAAGGGACATCAGTAATTTGTTCAATGAGATTATCGAGTTCATTAAGCATGCTTTCCAAGGTGTATTCCCCTTTCATTAAACATCTGAGAGCCTCTGGGAAAATGATTTGACGGAAATTTGAATTCAGTTCCTATTAGAAGAACAAAGAAATGTGTAAGGATTAAAAGAGAACAAAACTAAATCATTCTTTATTGTGACTTCTCAAAGGATAGTAGGTTGCTGATTAGCTTAAAAAGTAACAAGTGAAACACTGAGCTTTAAATGCCTCCACACTTGATCTGAGATGTTTTTAAAGGGTTCTTTAATTGACATGTAAAACTAGAATTGATCTTGAAAAAGAGCTAATGGGGAAGAGCCAAATAACCTTTAAATGGCCAATAATAATAATAATAACAATAATAATAGCCAGGCATGCTTCCTAGTCACACACACACACACACTCATACACACACAGAGAGAATGCCTTGGGACCTTTAGTAGCCTGTGTCCAGAATATACCCCATAGAATCTTATTTTTATTTACGTTTTAAATCAGAAGTGCTTATATTAAATTATATTATTAATTTAGAATACAAAGGACAATAAAATCTTTCACATTGACCGTTGTGAAATCACAAGTTTTTTTACAGTAAAGCTCTATACCAATTTAATCAGAAGCAAGCTCCCAGTATTTTCAGTGGTCTTATTCCCAGGTAACTCAGAGGTTTATTTCACTCACTTGCTTGAATCCTTAAAGGACAACTAGTATTTTAGTGGATTTAGTCATCTGTACTGGTTGAGGATCCCTTATCTGGAAATCTGAAATCCAATATGCTCCAGTAATCCACACAGATGGCTGTGGTAGTAACACCTTTGCTTTCTGACGGCTCAATGCACATACACTTTGTTTCATGCATAAAATCATCAAAAATATTGTGCATCAAATTATCTTCAGGCTATGCTCATAAGGTATGTATGATTTCCATGTTTAGATTCAAGCTCCATTTCCAAAATCTCATTATGTATGTGCAAGTGTTTCAAAAGCCAAAGTGCTTCTCATCCCAAGCATTTCAGATAAGGGATATTCAACCTATATCATCACACCACAACAAGGGTTGTAGTTAAACATGAGTGTTTAAAAACACATATTGAAGATGTATTTCACCTGAAGTGATATGTAAACTCCATTTGCTAAATGGATGGCTTCTGATGCTTCAGATGGGTTAGGAATATCTAAATCCTGTGGAACTAGGTGACACTGTTTTAGCAACTGCACCAGGCAGGTCACATTCCCGCTCATACTACACAACTCCTCCAAGAACCAGGCTCCATCTCTTGAGGTCAGGTCGACCAGTTGCTCTCCAGCGCTAGATGCAGCGCCTTCCATCATTAGATTGCGCCTAAAAGGAAGACATTTGATTGTTAATTGTTACAACACTTATCTCCAATTAATGCATTTCTAATATATGGCCAACATCTGGAAGTGTTCTCTATATAATACAATGCTGGTGGAATTGAGAACTTCTTCCCCTCAACCTTTAAGCCATCTGTCACAGGGTTGTCCAACTCATTTTCCTCGAGGGTCACATCAGCCTCATGGTTGCCTTTAAAGGGTTGTTAGATCCATGGACAGAGAATCAATGGATACAGAGGCCAAGTATATTTTTTTATCCCTTTAGTTTTTATCCACAATGGGTCTCTAAATGTTACTGAACGACAACCCCCATCCCTTTTAGTTATCTGCCATGCGGACTGGGGATAATGGAAATTGCAACCCCACAGGTTGGGGAAAGGATAAAGGGCATTTTAAAGCCAGACATCCTATCCACAAGCAGAAGTATCAGACTCTACGAGAATTATATCATTGGATCATGGGCAGCATCCTTTAAGATCTTTTCAGAGATCTGAACAGACATAAGCACATTTCTACATACAATCATTTCCCCCCAAAATTATGTCAAGTAAAATTGATATAGAAAGAAAAACTCTAGAAAATCTATTTCTGAAGGAGGGACGAAATTAGAATCTACTAACAGCCTCTGCAATTGTTTTAATAATTCTCTCACCTGGTAAGTGTACAGAGAGCAGAAATGATAACACTTGCTAAGCTCAGCGAACCCTCTTCTCCATTCTCATGTAGGAAGACCTTAATACAACGCTCAATTTCTTTTAATTGCTCCTCACACACTGGAACAGTGACTGCTTCTTGCTTCAACCGTTCCACTTGTCGGATAAGCCTGCTGTTGATATCAGCTGCGTATCGTTGCAAGGTCATTTCTGTAGTGGTGATGAACTGGCACACAGCTGGAGGCGGTTGGGGAGCATATTGGATTTCATACCTGAACAACAGCAATGTTTTTTAAAAGTTACAAACTTCCCGATCGTAAGAAGAGCTGTTCAATAGTGGAACTTGCTGCCTCGGAGTCCGTTGGAGGCTCCTTGTTTGGACGCCTTGAAAAAGAGGCTGGGTGGCCATCTGTCAGGACTGCTTTGATTGTGCTTTTCCTGCAGGGCAAAAGGGGGCTGGACTAGGTAGTCCTTGGGGTCTCTTTCAACTCTATGATTCGACATTATAAAGTACTTATTCTTCTGTATCTTTTCTGTAATTTAAGGTCTTGCCAAGGAATTTCCCTATGTTCTATTTGAACATGTAAAAGATACAGCATAAATGGAATGTACAGAACTACTGTCACATTAAAAATGGAAGTCATAACAAGAAACTTATTTCATTGCTTCCAATATCAAGTCTCTATTAGAACATTACCTTTTAAGAATTTGTGGAGAAATTATTAAAAAGTAATGTTTGCACTTCCCTGTCTTTTGGAGATTTTTCAACTGACAACTTACTTCCGGTAGACATCCTGGCAGTGTTCGATGGTCATGTTAACAATAAGTTCTTCCATCCAGGTCTTCCACTGCTCAACACGGTGTTTCTGGAACACTGTTTTGGGGTACTGAAGAGCAACAGTGGCATAGTTGTGCAGCTGTTCGAGGCATCCACGCAGCACTGAGCGCCTCTGCTGAAGCAAAGCCCCAACCTCTCCCTCAAGCTGCTCACACTGGCTGATTAAGTGAGCCTGGCCAGCGTTCTGGAGGAATGCGGTTGCCGGGACGTAACTTGGAGGGCCTTGGAGAAAACACAGACAATCTGTTGCAGCAAAACTGTTCAGAAATGGTCTTACTAGGCAAGAGGGTATCAATACAGTCCTTGCTTGAACACTTTCAATTATCGTATTTTCTGGCGTATAAGACTACTTTTTAACCCAATAAAATCTTCTCAAATGTCAGGGGTTGTCTTATACAAGGGAGTCGTCTTATACGCGGAAGTAGTTTTATACACGGGAGTCGTCTTATAGAGCGGGTGCTGGAACTTCCAATCCGAATTGGAGACTCTGTGGTTGCTGCATATGGTGGGGGAGCTCAAAAATGGCAGTGGTCGCGTCCCTGCCGTATACAGCGACTTAATGAAAGCATTAAGGGTGACGCTGTACAAGTACGGTAGAAGAAAATCCATTCATCAGGATTTGTGGACTTAATGTGGTCCCGATGGTGAGGTGAAGGGGCGCCTCACCAGGAAGGTGTAAGTGAAGGGTGGAGCAAGCTGCAGGCATCCAGGGCGCCCGGGGTATAGAAAAAAGATATAGAGTGGCTCTGGGCCCAGAAAAACACAACTCTTTTACCTGTCTGGCCCGCCCTTGTATCCTATTACCGTACCTCCTCCTCTGCCTCTCAGATCTCGCTCCTGAAGACTGCCGTGAAGCGGTGCAGGTGCGCAGGTGCGAGATCTGAGAGGCAGAGAAGGAGGTACAGTAATAGGAAAATGACCATACTGAAATCAAATCTGATGCTTTTTAAATGTTTATTTGGTGTGTGTTAAAAGATGGGTAGTCTTATACGGCGAGTATATCCCAAACTCTATATTTTAACTGGAAAAGTTGGGGGTCGTCTTATACACCCAGTCGTCTTATATGCCAGAAAATACGGTATATGTGTCAAACTTAATGCCCGCCATGTCATTCTATGTGGCCCTCCTACAATTTCTGCATTCCTCATTATTATATATCACAGCTAATAGGATATAGTAACATCTGGAAGGCTGCAGTTTGTTCTGTTTAGTCAGGATATTCAGGTTTGATTTGAGAAACAAGGCTTGTAGATAGGATTCCTAACATTAAAAGTTCCTTTAAGCTTTCTCCCCAACCTGAGAGCCACAAGTGCTAGTGTGTTGCAATTCCCATTATCATAGAATTAATTAACCACAGTCCACATCTCCCTTTAACGGGGAGATGTATCTGAGCAGCTGTTTATTAGTCTTAGTACTGAAATGTCTTGGTGAATATACTGAAAACAGATTAATATGACCCCAAATGAGGTCCAAACCCCAAATTTATTTACCCATTATTTATTTATTATTTCTTTACGGCATTTGTTGCCCACCTTTCTCAGCCTTATAACGACTCAAGGCAGCTTACAGCAACTGGCAGAATTTGATGTCATACATTCATAAAGTACAATTAAAAACATTCAACATAATATTATAAAAACCATATAAACCATTAAAAATTATTTAACTCACATTTTTTAAAAAGCACCAAATGAGTCAAGCCTGTCCATAACCCACCACTTCCCTTAGCCATTTACTAAGCCAAGCTTTCAAAGGGTTTAAGCCATACCTAGATCCATTTGAGTGCTAATCTCCTGTAGGAGACTTGCAAGCTGAGTAGCTTCCAAGTTAGTGAAAGCAGCTTGGTAATGAGATAGCCACTGCTCGAATTCATTCAGTTTCACCTGGATTGCTTCCTGTATGGCTCTTTGCTGAGTCTGCAGCTGTGTGTGCTCAGAATACCTGCATTAAAAGGAAGTAAGAATTTCAATCGGTTTTTATTTATGTACTTATGGGACACTACTGTCTTCATTTTATTCAACTCAGTTCACTTCCTTCAGAAACACATTCGAAGACACAATTCTGACATTTAAAAAAAATGATCAAATTTGACAGCGTATCTAATTCTACTAGCAAGTCTGTAGAATTTATTTAACATTTAATTAACAAATTAATAAATCCAACATGCTATAGCATAATTAATCAGGATTTAAATATTTTAAAATTTGCAGTTTATTAATTTTTTTGCCGTGAAGCAGTCAATTAAGCTTACAATTTATTTCTCCAGCAGAACACATGACTTTCTGCCTTCTGAAATCTTTATATAGACATAAGGTTACAAATATGAAGAAAAGTCTAGACAAGATCTGAATATTCTTATTACACCCAACTTCTTAAGATTAGAAACAGGGCCCATCAATAAAACATTCTGATATTCACCAAACTAAAATAATAGAAAGCAAGAATGATTATACCTGTGCTGCAAGGTGTGAGATGGATGATCTACCCCTTCCGCTCCCTCCAGGTAGTCGCTTTCTTCTAATAATTTGCCGTGCAATTTCTCAACATCGGTCACCTCCTCTTGCACATTTAAATACTCCTCTAAACTGCCATCCAGTTTAGGAAGGACAGCTAGCATTTCATCTCTATTCTTAAACCAGTTGACCTGTAAACAATTATTACAATTTAAATAAACTAGATTTCAGTGTTACTAAAATGCAAATGCACAGCTGTCATCTCTTTTTAAATGTTGTCTTTAATATACTTACAAATGAACAAACCGTGATTTGAATTCAAAAAAAGTGTTTAAAATATTGCAAGTAAAGTAATTTAAGTAACTAATGCCAATAAAATGTACACACTACGCTCACAGTAAATAACACATTTAACACAGCTGAACATACACATTTGGAAGCAGCCTGAATCTACCTTTATTTCGGCCACTCTGGAAGAGAAAAGGCTGCGTGTGATGTCTCTCTCCATTTCTCTCTTGCTTTGCTTGCTTTCCGCTTGCTGCCCTCCTCCGCCATACACGGCACCAGCAAACCCTGCTTCTCCCCCTGCGGTCCAGTCCACAAGCGGGTCATAAACAAAAGCTTCAAGCAATGTCAGCAAGGTTTCTCGCCCACGTCTCATAATGTGCAGAACCTATTTTTAAAAGACATCAATTACTTAAGTTATACACTAACTGTTCACAATCCTTTTACATGTTATTGAAAAGTTTTGTCCAGTGTCTGAAGACATTCAGCAGGGGCAGCAAAACACATCTCCCTAGAAAATATATTTTAAAGTTACAATTGTTGCTGAAAACCAAATGCGAAAAGACTCGAATAAACAGATATTCACATTTACAGCACCCAATATCCCATTGCCTACCTGCTCACAAGAAAGTCTGAAAACTCCTTCTACTCCAGTTACTCCAAATGCTGTTTCAATGTTTTGTGTCATTCGGAAAGGGACTTTCTCTGGCACCCGAAGGCTCTTTCCTTTTTCAAAGCAAACATTATAATCGATGTGAACAACTTCTCCGGTAGTCATATCTATCAGAACATTATCCAGATGTCTGTCTCCAAGACCGATGATGTAGCCAACCATAGACATAACTGCCGTAGATCTTGCATAAGACTTGAGGGGAAGAAAGAATTCCATGTTTATAAATCTGGTTTCCTATCACATAGGAAAAATATAATCTAACTGTAAAACCACTCTACAAAACAATAATGTCAACAAGTATACCAGTTGCTTATAACATGCAGCCCTTTATACATGCCTCTGGCTGTTTCTGTGCACCCAGTCAAAAGATGCTTTTGCCCCCAAATGCAAAAAGGAGGCACAGGGGGCAATTTTGCCACATTTCTCCTGTGTGATTTTAAGCCTAGCTGGAGCCTTTTAAAAAACAGGAAGTGACTTCCAAGCCTTCGACAATTCACTTCTTGTTGTTAAAAAAAAAAAACCCTATCCTGGATCTATAGTGGTCTGGGAACATGGTGGAAATACCCCTAACTCTCAGGGGGGCATTTGGAGACATTCTGAGAAGAAACTTTTGAATTTTTGCTAGGGACCTCTGTGATAATAATGAGCCTCCCAACTCTGATAGTTGCCCCAAAGCTTATCACAGCCCCATTTGGGATCCTCAAACTGAAAAATCGGTGTAGCTTGCTACCTAAGTGGCTGTGTTAGGCATTCACATGAATTCAGGAGAAAAGAAGGAGTGCCAACAGAGGATATTCTGCTACGTGAGGCTAAAAACCAAGTATGCCAACATGGCATGAAAAATATTGAAGATGCCCTACGCCCCGCAGTATCAAATATTCAGCCAAGATGTAATCAAAAAGCACCCTCATCTCATTAGTATGCAAATTGGCTTTAATCTTTTCTAAATGATAAAACTATAGCTATACCAAGAAATTTATTTTATGATTTATTACCAGTAAAGGTTAAAAAAAAACAGGTGAAAAGGGGTTGGAAGTCTTGTATAATCGCAGTCAGGCACAGGTCAGGCACAGGAGCTGGGAAGAATGGATTGTGGACTTTTCTTTTTGTTGCTATGTGCCTTGAAGTCAATTCCAGCCTATGGAGACCCTACAATATGGCTTTCTTGGCCAGATTTTTCAGTGGAAGTTTGCCATTATTGTCCTTTAAGGGCAAGAGAATATGATCACACAATGGGTTTCCATAGCTGAGTGGGAATTGGAACGCAGGTCTCCCTACAGCACACAGCTATTTTTTTTATAACTTGCAATAGATGAGAAAAATTAGATAAGCTCCTGCTCTACACCCTCCCTAAAGCAGACTGTGATTTAGTATAGCCTCTAATCTTATTATTACTGTATATATAAGCCGACCTGAATATAAGCCAAGGCACCTAATTTTACCACAAAAAACTGGGAAAATGTATTGACTCGAGAATAAGCCAAGGGTGGGAAATGCAGCAGCTACCGTAAATTTCAAAATAAAAAAAGATTCTAATAAAACTAAAAATAATAATAGAGTAAAAAATAAATGTAATAATAATAAGAGTAAAATAACAAATGTAATAAAACAATAGAGTAATGTAAATAAAATAAGAGTAAATTAATAAACCTAGTAATAATAATAATAATAACCCAGTAAAAAATGAATAACTTTGACTCGAGTATAAGCCAAAGGAGGCTTTTTCAGCCTTAAAAAACGCCTGAAAAACTCGGCTTATACTTGAGTATATATGGTACATGACACCCAAAGTCTCAATACAAAGCAATGAAGTCATAGGGGTCTATGTCATTCATACACAAGGAAGTGTGTACATATTAGATACCGTACTTATTCAAAACACTTGCTAGTTCTACCTTACAGGGGGTTTCTACCTACCTGTGTCACTCTCCACCACTCATCAGGTGTAGTACATGATGACCACAGTTCTTTTGCAAGGAGATTGGGTGGTGTTGTTTCCATCAGTTCTTCCAAAACAGACTTCATGACATTGAGAGGCCAATCTCGGCGAGACACATCCAAACTAAGCCCAACAGCCTTCAAAGCGGGTCCAATTTTACTGTAGTACAATTCACTGGGTCTAGGTACAATTCCAGGATTTTGAGGAGTCTGATAGGAATCTTGAGCCTAAAAATATAATCCATTAAATGCAATTTGCATCCTTCAAATCTGAGGAATATTTCTGATCGTTTATTAGAAATATTATTCTATATATTTAGAGCCTGGCTAGAAGATGATTTGTAATAGATAAAACAAATACTCAATTTTTGGTTGGCATATGATTTCAAAAAAGTTATTGTGTCATATTTGATTGGCACTGGAACACAAAGCAATTCATCCTATTGACTGAAGTCTTGGGCACATTCTTCCAGATCAAATTTTTGATCCTGCCTTAGTAAATCATAACACCTTAATGGGTTATATATTAATATAACTTTCATGTGAAAGTATACGTAGATAGATAGTGTCAGGCTTTATAAAAAGTTTTACCTTTTGGGCCTGTAAAGCAGCTTCTCTCTGCTGCCACCTTTTATAAAGTCCAAATAAAGGTGTGGCTCCATCCACCCACTGAATGAGGCCTGATCTTGTTCCCAGTGGCGTGACAGAATAATGCCTGGCATGAAATCGAGGTGTCTCTTGACGATTTATGGTAGCAAACATTGTATTAACAATTGATAAAAACTGCATGATCCGCTCGTCAAGATGCAGGTCTTCCAGTCCTATATGGAAAGGTAGGTGCTTACAGTTATGTATGAAATAGCAGAAACATCTCTTTGAGATTACACATCTATGTGGACACATATTTTAAAAAGTCAGGCAACTGTTCACAACAAAGAGAAATGACTCTGAATTGAGCTACTAGAGTCAGAATCTTCTGAGGAAGAGAAAACCATGCCTAAACACAAGAATGCCAAGCAACAGGCAAAAGTTAAAAGGGGCAATTGTGGCCCATGAGAAGAGGATTAGGTCCTCAAGCCCTTCCTCTGTTGTTTTTTTTTAAAGACTAGGGGGAAAAGCCAAAGTCTTTGGCTTGCACTTTAATCCCTCTCATCGTCCTTAAAACTATATGAAGAGCCAGTAGTGATCCCCCACTTTAATCCATGAGAATCCATGAGAAGGTATATCATTCTTACCTTTGAACAGGTATGGGTAGTTTTTCCCATCTGAACCCAGAAAAAGTAGCTTTTTGGGCTTTGTTTTTGTAGGAAGGATGGTAATTGTGCTCCCCACGCTATGAATAGTGACGGTGTCTCTGGCAGAGACTTCTCCGGGGAGAGCAATTTCTGTGTTGGTCATGGCAGCCAGCCAGGGACTGATTTCTTCAAGGCGCAATATATAACTGGCCCGCTTCTGGGCTCTCTGCTGAAGATTGAGCATCACCTGTTTTCCAAGACACAAGTTTAAAATACAGTCCAAGTCTCTGCATACTTGCAACTGTTAGTAACAAAAGGGCAAGTCACTTCAGAGAAGTCAACTATTTAATTTATCATAGTGAAATTATACAGCTCCTCCAAGTACTTATTACAAAACAGGCATGACTTTTGAGTACATATACAGTGACAGAACACTTGGCAAGCTTGAAACACTCTACCTCTTTAAAAGGGATCCAGCTGCTTCCTGGCTTTGCAGGGTTGGATGGGTTCTTCAGTTTCTCCAGGGCATTTTCAATGGAATCACCATAGTTGTCCTGGAACCACTTCTCGTGCGGCGTTTCAGCAGGAGCGGCAGTAATACTCCTCACATGTTCCAAAGCAAAAACTATGGGTTTCATCAGGGCGGTATGCTTTTCACGCATGATAGCTATTTTTTCTTCTCTAAAAACGCAGTGGGATTGGGACAAATATTACTAGGATTTCAAGAATACTAGTACAAGTGTTTTCATAAAATACTAGTGCTAATAACTAATAATGTATTTAATTTTTGAATCAGGCCTCCATTTACAATGAATGCTCAAAGTGACTCCCAACTAAAGTATACAATGCTACAATATTAAACAAAAGGCTAATGACAAAGTAATGTTCTGGAACATGGCAGGTTGAATTCATTAAGAGTGACTTGTTTGTTTCTTATTAGGGATGTTAGACTGATGTCTTGCATTAGCAGTGAATCAGGCTAAACCACATCCCTCCTCCAGCTCTGATTCTGGTTTCTGAGAGGAAAGACATTCCACTTACAGCACTAAGCAAATCTTACTTGCGTAGAGTGTTGTTGTTCTGGACTCTCTTTACTTCATCTTCTAGCTGCTGGATCCGCCTAAGGACATACATATGCTGTTGCAAAAGGACCCCCAGCCAAAGTTCATCCCAAAGGACAGTTACTCTGCGCAATTCTGCCACGAGCATCTGAACCTGGATTGACATCAATGCAAAGAGAAATGGTGGCTGTACAATATATCACAGGATATATTCCCCAAATATGTAAAAGTAATTTCCTCCTGCATGGAGGTACTTAATTGTGTATCCCTTGTTTGCAAGTGTAAATAACATAAATAAAACTGCAACTATACCTGTAAAACCATGGTTGGATTTGCAGTGGATAACTTCTCTACAATTTTGCTGTAGCAGTCCTGCATCATCGCTTGGTCCTCATTCAAGCCCATTTTGGTTTCATCCTTTATGCTCTCTTGAGAAGCTGGTGGGCTTCCTCCATCACATTCACTACCCAGCAATTCTTCACCTTGAATGTTACCCAAAAAGGTAGGGATCGCAGAGGGAAACTTGCTCCCTAGGTTAAAAATAATAATAATAATAATAATAATAATAATAATAATAATAATAATAATAAATCTTTATTTATATTCCGCTTTTCTCCCTAAATGGGACTCAAAGCGGCTTACAACATTATATAAATGACCATACAAAACAATATGCATATGTAAAATGATAACATGTAAAATGAATTTACAATAAGAAATAAATAAACATATTTTAAAACATTTGTCTAATACAATTGTTCTGGGCAACTCAACAAGACAGATAGTAAACATTAGCACAACTCAATAAAAGTTAGCCTTCCTGACATTACAACTAAGTGTCTTCATCAAAAGCTTGCACAAACAGGAAGGTCTTTAGCTGCTTTTTAAAGGTTTTGAAAGAAAAAAAACATATTCATTTCTCCTAATTCAAATCACATATTAGTTTCCTATCCCTTCTGCTCACACTGGGTGAGTCTATATGAAGGAATCCTAATACTAATAATGCTCAAAAACTACAAGCAAGGCATGGGGCACTAAAATGTCTCTACCATAAACACAACAAAATCAAACTTTTTGTAATGATCAGAAATGAGATTAGCACAGTTTAAATCAATTTTATGCTGATTTTAAATATGTCTTAATTTTTTTCCCCATCATGTCAACTTTTAAAAATATGACGAATGGTACATTACAGTGACTACTGTAAAGTCTGCACATTTCGCATCATATTCGTGTAACACAAGCCAACAATTATTTTTCATCAGATATAACTTTAGGACATTCCTATAGTTTTTTGCACTGAATTCAGATCTGTGTTTATTTTTTCTCTATCACATGTAGTTTTTGCAATGAGGCTAATTGAATAATACATTTACGCATTGATATCAATAGAATCTAATTGATATCAGTGCATAAATGCACGATTTGATTATCCTCATCATAAAAACTACATGTGATGCAAAAAAAAAAAAAAGCACAGATCTGAATCCAGCACAAAAAACTCTACTAGAAGGACCTAAAATTATACCTGATGAAAAATACTTGTTGGCTTGTGAAAGTAAATATACTAAACAATAAAATTACCAATTAACTTAGGAAATGAAATACTTGAAAAAAGTGCCCACGAAACATACCTGAAGCTTGAGATTCACTGCTAAGTGAAATAGTACCAACAATTGCAGGGTACAATATTAGATGAGGAGAATCTTGAGCTACCCGACAGAGAAGGTTGCAAATACTCTGGCGGACATATACTTCGGGGTGATTCAGTCGCGAGAAGAGTTGAGGAATGATACCTTCATAAAGATAAAAAATGGTGGCCCAAATCAAAGTTTGTACATTATAATTCAACTAGCATTTTTATATTTTACAGTCTAAACTCAATTTTTCTGTTAACTCTGTTTAAGTAAGTAGTATCATTGTTATCTCAGACAGTCGTATGGAGTCTACTTTGTGTCTTTCAGCCTTCTTGCAGATACCAGCACATAATTCTAGACTGATCAGCATTTTCATACCTCGCCATGGGGCCGTAGGTGTGGTTTCTAACCCATGTTCTAAATACTGCCTAAGCTCTCCGGCATGTTTCACAAGCAGCCTCAATAATCTCAATGTTGCCATCACAATGACATCGTCAGTGCTCTGTTCTGAAATGTTTCTTAGATGCAGCCTGGGATCGTCTTCATCCAGAGGAACCTGCGTATTGAAAGAACCCATGCAAAGCGGTTTTCTTCACAGACTTTAAAACAGAATAAAGACCAAAAGGATTTTGCTTGCAAAATGGGTCACAACGCTGAGCATACCTGACCAGCATTCAACTTCAGGAAAGTAAAATAGGCGCTACACGAGAGTTTATAAAGACTGAAGATTCTGTCTACAACTTTTCTCCACACTTTGATCAGGCCCTCAGTTGAATTTTCATCAAGGTCTGAAAGCCAGGGGCAGCTTGTCAACAACTGATGCCAGATGACATCAACCATATCATCTTCCTCATTATCTTCATTCTCTGCAATTTGAAGGGTTATATCTTCATCCTAAATGCAAATCAAAAATATATAAATGGGAGATCCATTGTTTCTTTTCTACTATAATTTTATCTTCTAATCAGTTTACTGATGGCCAATATGCTAAAAATGCACAAAACAGATCCTCAAAATGATGATACAAGAATATAGCCAGATTTCCATATCCACAGATTCAACCATCCACCACTTGTATTTAAAAAAAAAAATCCAAAAAGCAAACCTTGATTTTGCCATTAGATATAAGGGACTTAATTCTACTATATCACTGTATATAATGGGACTGAATAATCTGCAGATTTTTGTATCTCTGGGAACCATAGAACAAAAACCCCATGCAGATACTAAGAACCCAAGGTATTTAACAAAAGAGATAACCAAGTGATTAGCTTCAAGACATTCAAGGATTTATGAATGTCTGGCTATTTCAGATGCATGTGAATTTTAAGCCTTACATGTCTCTTTCAATTTCTGCTAAGACAGCATCACTTTGACCATGTCTACTGTCAGATTTCTGACTTGATTTTCTAAACATATTTACGTGTGAAATTGAGTGACAGACTCACAAAGAGCTATTTTTATAATATTTTAATATTTTAAAAAAAAACATTACACTGAAAGACACATCCTCATTCTGGCCTTTTCTCTAGATCAATGTTTCTCAAACTGTTTTCCTCCAGGTGTTTTGGACTTCAGCTCCCAAAAATCCCAGCCAGTTTGTCAACTGGAATTATGGGAGCTGAACTCCAAAAACATCTGGAGGAGCACAGCTTGAGAAACTCTGCTCTACATTGCTCACTTCCAGTCCACAATTTTTCTCCTGTCTCTTCTTTTTCGAACCAAGGATTTTACTTCATCTTCAACCCCCTTTTCTTTACTTTTTTTCAGACAACTTTTTAAAACCTATTAATGATGCTACAATATAACCAAGGAGCATATAGTAGATTACAGAAGGCATAGATCGGAAATCCAGCCTTTGGTTACCAATGGAGATGGAGTGGGTGGCCACTTTTAAGTTCCTGGGTGCTATATTGTTAAGGAGGACCTGAGCTGGGGCAGCATTTATACTGTGGCATTGGCTAAGAGGGTCCAGCAGAGACTGTATTATGTAAGGCTTTTAAGAAACCAACAACTGAATGAAAAACTGCTGGTGACTTTCTACTGCTGTGCTATAGAGTGTGTTCCAACCTACTGCATCTGTGTCTGATTTGCTAACTGTACAAAGCAGATAGGAAGGCAGAGAATGATTGGTTGCCATCTTCCCTTCCTCTCCTTTTTGGAAGAATGTTATCATTCTCAAAATATTTTTAAGGATCCATTTCGCCCTGGATATTCCTTTTTTGAATTATTACTACCTGGCAGCTATTTTCGAAGCTGCTGATACCAACCTGAATCCCAGCGGGTCGACACACTGCTTGTCCAAGAATTCCATAGATTTTCTCTCTGTCTTCTTCTGTAATATTTTCTGGAAGCAGGCTTTGAACTTCGGCTTTCTCTCTTGGCAGCAAGCGAACACCTCCTTGACTAGAAATCACATATTTTATCTCTTCAAAAAGTATGTAAGCTAACTTCTCAAAGTGTGAAAGAATATGTTACAGAACCGCCAATGTATTATTTCAAGAATAAAATAAAAACTCCATGGTAATCCTTTCATTTCCCAAATCGGCTACCCATAATATACCTATTGTGTAACTCGTCCCTTATTTCTTGAATTAATAATAAGCTTTTTATATTCTTAGACAACTATATACATGAAGCCCTTTCATATACTCAACTGATTTTGTATTTGACCTGTTTAACAAATTCTGATATATTTGGACAGAACAAAACATCAAGTATTTAATCCATCCAAAGAACAAATTCTATTTGATAAAAACGTACACCAGACCAGAACCATCTATAATTTATCAACTTTTATATATCTGAGGAATTCAGGTGTATTAACCAATAGCTGACAAGGAGAAATGGCAGTGTCTTGTTCTCACTATTCCTGCTGGCATGCACGCCTATACTTCCTAGGCTATGAGAAATGGGAATCATTGGGGCACTCTTCTCGTCTCGGCTCATGAAGGCGAGCTTACTCATTTCCTTGCTCTACTCATCTCCCAAGGCTCACACATTAGGAAACAAGTACAGTTTTGTCAAAAAAGGTTCAAAGATTAAGAGAAATATGTCATAATGATTCCGTCAGAAAGTCAACTGCCTATAATCATTAGCGTGAAGCACATTTCGAACTTGTTTAGTGTTTAAGAGCAAGATTTACCTGGCATTATCAACCACCTTTCGGCCCCATCGGTAAGCCCAGCTGGCAAGTGCAGCCCACGATTTAGCGACTTCTGGTGCTTGAGCAGAAGACAGGCGGTAGAGCTGCCCCAAAATGAAGTCAGGTTCTCCAACACCAATATTGACTAGAATGGAGAACAAAATGTTGTTAATGTCTTCTATATTTTCAGTTAGTATTTATATATTTGAAATATTTAACAAAATGTTTTGAGAAACAGAATGGAGAACAAAACACGTAGCAATAATTTTAAAAAGTACATGTGACAAGGTTAGAAGAAGCCCGAATGGCTTGATTTTTACATGCCTTTTTATTGTAATGCCTCTGCTTTTTAGGGTGAAGCCTAGACCTTTATGACGTATATGTTGCCTAAGAAATCCTGAAGCATTTTTAATTTAAATTTACTGGATTGATTTGATACATAGTATGGCCGCTGCAATGAAATCAATGGAGCTTAAGTTAGTTGTGATTTATCTGTAGCGATATGAAAATATGCAAGTTGCTTACCTGTAACTGTTTCCTCGAGTGGTAGTCTGTGAAATTCGCACATAATGGGTTTTAGTTCTCCACATGCGCAGCTGTTCGGAACCTTCTAGAATCTTATGAATGAAACATTTTGGCAGAGACCCCACCCACTCTCCCCATTGTGCCCGAGCGGGGCGGAGCCTTAGTCCCATAGCCGCCAGCAGCAGCTATGAGAGGAAGGCATGACCACTGCAGGGAGGATGGGCGGGGATGTGCGAATTTCACAGACTACCACTCGAGGAAACACAGTTACAGGTAAGCAACTTGCATTTCCTCTTCGTGGAGTTTGTGAAAGACGCAGATAATGGGTGATTAGCAAGCTACTAACCTTTGGAGGCGGGGTCATGCGACGCAGGAAAACAGCACCACTCGACCGAAGGCTGCATCCTTCCTTGCCAGAGCATCCAACTTGTAGTGTGTAGTGAATGTTGACGGCGTCGACCAAGTTGTCGCCCTGCAGATGTCATCAATGGGAATGCCTGCGAGGTGGAAACGGCCCTTGTTGAGTGAGCACAGACCTGCTGAGGGGGCTCCTTCCCCGCAAGCTGGTATTCTAGTCATATTGTTGAGACAATTTATGAGGCCAACCTCTGCAACGATACAGGCAAGCCCAGCGGGTCTTTCTGGTACTTGAGAAAGAGCTTGACTGATTTTCTGTGTAGAACAGTCCTGTTAGTGTATAAGGCCAAAGCCCGCATGACGTCGAGGGAGTGTAGAGCCACTGCCAAAGGGGAGGAAGGATTAGGGGAAAATGCTGGCAAGGAGATATCCTGTGATAGATGCAAGCGAGAGACTACCTTTGGCAGGAATGAAATAGCTTGATCATGGAGTCATGAAGCATGACGGGCCTCCTGCACGTCGTCTATGCCATGAGATGGCCGCCAGGTAGCACTTGAGTGATGATAAAGATAACCCTTTATTGGACAGGTGAACCAGAAAGTACAAAATAATTGGTGTGGGGGCCGTAAGCGGGTCTGCCCCCAATGGCTTGAGGAACTATAGGAACCGAGACCATTTGTAGGTATAGGCCTTCTTGGTTGCTGCTTTCTGGGCTGCATTGATTACACTGTTCTACAAATTTTCAGTTTTTCTCAGTCGGAAATGAAATGTGCCGTTTCTTAATAAATTTAACATGCTGAATTCAAATATAATAATTAAATGTGTTAATTGGCTCTGGTTTTTATGCAACAGCTATTTCAATTTTCTCCACAATAGGTAATTCGTTAATATTATGATAATGCGCCTAACCTTACTGCATGTATATAAACCGTGAATATTTACTAAATTTTAGTCAAATTATATTGCCAATAGTTTATACATGAGAAATATTTATTTAATTAGTCTATTGTTTATGTTTGTGCAGCAAGAAACTATATTAGTAGGCCTAATGCAGTTGAAAAGTCTGAAAGTTTAAATGTCGCTTTAATCGTGACTTTCGTTTATATCCTGTTTGCTTCTCTTGACTTTTCTTTTGTATTCAAGGAAAGGATTGTCTCTTACAATGCTCCAGCAGTAGTCTGACAGCATTGACGGAGTCCATTTACCTTGATATCTTTTTTCCATAGTGCTTTATTTACACATGTGCGAGGCATAACTACAGTAAAAAGAACAATGTAAAACGATGTTTAACGATACTGTCTCAGTCTTCAACTGACTGACCCTCACCGTTCAAAAGTCTGGCCTTATATAGGGCTTTCTGGCTTTTGCACACGGCACTAATACTGCATCATCAAACTTTCTAGAATATTCTAGAATCTTCCATAGCGTAAGTCGCAACATGCATTTTTTCAACCATACGTGATCACGTGATTGCTTCTATCATAAAAACTAGAGCCAATATACATTTTTAAATGTCATTTTCGTTTTCAGCACCCCAAAATCATAAAAGAACAACTATTTTCAGGCCCGCAACTTTTTCTCCGTTGAACAGTGTTATCTGTTGCACTGCCTCCAAGAGTGGTGTTGGGGTCGCAGCCTCCAAGCTGTGAGTTGCAGGGAGGCTAGATCTGGGTGGTGGACGCGACCCTCCTGGATGGACGGTAGATCCGGTCTGGACCACAAACGGAGATACTCCCTGCGAGAGGCTCGGAGAAGGGCGAACCAGTGCTGGCGAGGCCACCATGGGGTGACGAGTATCGGGTCCGCCTCGTCCGCGATCATCTTAGCCACCACCCTGGATATTAGAGGAACTAGAGGGAGTGCATATAGCAGGCCCCGAAACCATGTGTACATGAAAGCGTCCCCGATGCATCCCGGTACTGTTCTGGAGGGAAGTCTGGCACAGAATGTGCCGCATTGTTTGTTCACCGGCGACAAGAACAGGTCAACATCTGGCTGGCCCCAGTGACGGGCTAGGAGATTGAATTCTGCTCAGTGGAGTTGCCACTCGTGGTTTGAGGTTGGTGTCTGGCTGAGGGCGTCGTCAAGGAGATTCTCCTCTCCCGGGAGGTGCACCGTAGTGAGATGGATCTTTCGTGGAATGCACCATTCCCATATTGCCACAGCTAGGTGGAGAAGGCTGGAGGAGCGTGTTCCGCCCTGTTTGTTGATGTAAAATCCCACTGTCATATTGTCTGTTAGCAGTTGTACTGTATGTCCGGTGATCTGGGGCTCGAACGCACGCAGGGCTTTCTGTACTGCCAAGAGTTTGAGGTAATTGATGTGGTGGCTTGCCTCCTCTTAGTACCACTGCTCATGTATTGTCAAGTCCTGGAGGTGCGCATCCTTGCATCGAGGCATCCGTTGAGAGTCAACGGGACAGACGAGGTTGTCTGAAGGACATGCCTGAATGGACGTGCTTTCTTGGTGTCCACCATCGAAGGGAGGATAGGATGTGTTGCAGTGGGTGAAGCCGTGTGTTTTGGCTGTCGGTTTGAGGTCTGAATACACACAGAAACCAGTGTTGCAGCGGGCGCATCCTGAGCCTTGCGAACTTGGTGACAGATGTCGTTGAGGCCATGTGCCCCAGCAGAGATTGGATGGCCCATGCAGAAGCATATCACCGAGCGCAAATGTTGTCCACAGCAGATCTGATGGTGTGAAAACAGTCTTCTGGAAGCTAGGCCTTTTCTTTGATGGAATCTATTGTCGCACTGATGAACTGGACATGACAAGAAGGGCTCAAATTGGATTTTTCGAAGCTGACCATGTGTCCTAGGCTCTGTAAGAGAGACAGCATGAAGGCAACATCAGAATGGAGGCGTGACTGACTGCGCCATGAGTAGCCAGTCATCTAAATATGGAAACATTACGACTCCTCTCTGGCTCAGGTAAGCAGCTACGACTGCAATGCATTTTGTAAAGATACGGGGCGCTGTTGCAAGTCCAAAAGGGAGTACGTTGAAAGAATATAACTGGGTGCCTAAGGCAAAACTAAGAAATCTGCGATGATCTGGTCTAATTGAAAAATGAAAATATGTGTCCGTCCTGCAGATCAATTGTTGCAAATCATGCTCCTGGTCTTAATAGTGGGAGGATAGTCGAGAGGGTGACCATCTGGAATTTGCGAGGCTTGATGAAATAACTGACATCCCTTAAATCTAGTATGGGGCGGAGGCTTCCGCCTCTCTTGGAAATTAAGAAGTATCTGGAAAGGAAACAGTACTTAGCCTCGGAGAATTTGAGTTTGGAAATAGCTCCTTCATCCAAAAGAGTTTGGGCAAGGGGTTCGTTATCTTAATGTTTCCCACTGGTGGATATTGTTGAAATTCTATGGCATATCCGTTCTCTACTATTGAAAGAACCCAGGAGTCTGTGGTTATCCTTTTCCATGCATGCGCAAAAGGAGCCAGGCGATCTCAAAAGGCTCCTGCAGGAGGGCTATTGCAGGGTGTGAAACTGTCGAACAAAGAACAAGACTCAACGGAGTCAACTGTAGAAAATTGAACTTTTGTAACTGAGGTATGTATTGAAGAGTTGCTTCCGGCCTGCTAGCTAGAAGCGTCGCCTCTGCCGCTCAGTTTCTTTACCTCCTCCATGTTGTTGACTCTTGTATGGTAGTGGAGGTTTTCTGGCAGCCGTTGTAGTGGAGGACTGGTACTGGCTGAATGCTGGGGGGCTGTAATGTCTACGGTGGTGCTGAAATCGATTCGCTCAGTATGGTCTATGATGCTGCGAAAGGTAGGGAGAGAAACTATACCTATGAGCTGTCTGGCGCATTTTCTGTGTGTGTTCTAATTGAGAGTCTGTATCTGGTTTAAAAAGCACAGCCTCATCCATAGGTAGATCCTCAATTACTGTTCTAGCTGATTGAGATCGTCCTGATGCCCTGAGCCATGAGTGACAGCGGAGGGCTATGGCCATTGCTAATTGCTTGCCTGCTGCATCTGCCATATGCTTGGCTAGGTCTTTCTGAAAGGAGGCCAATAATATGGCTTCTTGTTGAAAGGCTTTCGCCATCATCTGCTCATTGGACGGGAGGAGATCAAAGTTGCTGCTTTGCTCCATAAATAACCCTGGTAGCCAGCCATGTATGCTACATAATGCGCCATTCTGGATGCAAGGCAGGCTGAGGCATAGATCTGTTTCCCTAGCGCCTCTAGCTTCTTCCCTTCTTTGTCTGAGGGAGTTGTTTGGGATCTTTGGGAGGGACGCGGTTGACTGACATCCACAGAATACAAATAATGCAAATAAATAAATAAATAGTAATGCAGTTCCCCAATACTAAAGTTATCTCAAAATGACACTTGTTACTCAAGTTTTAGAGCTCCCATGTCACATATATATGCAAACAAAGCACAACTCCAACATGAGACTTTTTCCCCCCTACCTGTGGATTCACTTTCAATTCTGGGATAGTCTTCTTCTATGGTATTAACAGATGGTAAGTCAATCAAACTATAGATGTTTTTAGACAATGTAGAAAGGCCAGCGAGATTTTGTTGCTGCCGCGCTCTGTACACTTGCTTCAGCTGTCCTGAAATCTCCTTCCAATCAGCTTGGATCCATTTGGCGAGCGTAAGGATAGACTTGGCAACAGCATACTCCGCTTTGGCAGATTTACAGAAGCATATGGCACATGAACTCAGCATTTCCATTGCATGAGTTGACTGACCTGAAAATGAAATTTTGTGTAATTGTATTATTATTATTATTATTATTATTATTATTATTATTATTTAAAGCTTACGTTTTATTTATGCAAGTTTCAGAAAAGGACAAAATTCTTTAAAACACATTTCTTTTGTATATCAAGCAAAAGTTTCCTGGCAGCAAACTGTGGAGATGAGAAAGACTACAAACGTCATCTAAAAGGTGAAGAAAGACTGTCTGCTACTGGCTACCACTGCTGCTGGCTACCACAGCAAGCGTATTCCTCTGGACAGTTAAACCAGGCAATCCCAACTGGATGGCCCCCCAAAGAGGGTGTGCCTCCAGGGACAAACCAAGAATGGGAAACTTGGAAGTCCCTGAACAGACTCAGAAGTGGAGTGGGCAGATCAAAAGATAACCTAGGAAAATGGCACAACCTAGAAGAACCCTCCGCCTGTTGCAACTGTGGAGCAGAACAAACAACTCAGAACCTGTATGCTTGCCCACAATACCCTGCCTCATGCACAGAGGAAGAACTGTTTCAAGTTATAGACAACACGATCGCTGTTGCCCGGTTTTGGTCTAAAATTATTTAGCTGCTTGCATTCCCTCTATTTTATCAGTTTTATACTAATTTATTTATGCAATGTTTTAGACACAAAATAAAATTAAAAGGAATAATTGTTAATACTCTTTCAGTTCTGAAACCCAATGTAAAATGTAATTACACACACGTTTAAAAAATAACTCTTGTTCTTCTAATCTCAAAGAAATGCATTAAGAAGATACAACTAAATGTAAATGTAATTTCTGGAAAAAATAAATAACACTTACCTGCTGTGTATAACAACTTTGTTTTCTCAATTTCTAGTTCAGGGCCCCATTTTTCATCCATCTGAATGGGTGCTGACAGTTTCTTAAAATGGTGGACTAAATCTTGGGCTGTTGTGGTTTTTCCAAGTTGAATTTCACTGCACTGAGCAAGCAATCGTGTAGCCAGGGCAACATTCCCACGTTTCCTTGCAAATTTTGCAGCAGTAAGCCCCAGTTCCATTAAATGGCTTCGAAGTGGAATACTTTGCTCTGAAAATATACAGAGCCAGAAATCTTTTAAACAACATTCACTTTTAACAAGCCACACAAACAGTACTGCTTTGGGCTCAATTTACACATTTACTCAGGTAGTTTTAGGCTTAAGGAGATACTTTCACATATCTCCTTAAGCCTAAAAACTACCTGGAATATATGAAATTGGCTCTTCCATTTTTATTGGTAGCCTGAGGGGAAATAGTTCATGGACTTCCAAAAACAAGTTTTAAAAAACCCAGAAACTTTAAAAATGGATAAACAAAAACATGAATCTGACACTGGTTATTCCTTAAACATGTAAGACAGAGAGGCTTCTACTTTAGCATGCTATTTAACGATGAAGAGTTGTTAGCCTGGAATATAACAATGCAAATGATTTGATACCACTTTTGAGATTAATTGACAAGAAAGAGGCTGGTAGGATAAGCTTTCATAGACAACCCTATATACTCATGTACAAGTCTAAAAAAATCAGCTTAAAAACAACTACCATATTTTCCGGCATATAAGACTGGGCGTATAAGACGACCCCCAACTTTTCCAGTTAAAATATAGAGTTTGGTATATACTTGCCGTATAAGACTACTCGTCTTCTAACACACGCCAAATAAACATTTAAAAAGCAACAGATTTGATTTCAATATGGTAATTTTCCTATTACTGTACCTCCTCTGCTTCTCAGATCCCGCACCTGCGCACCTGCACTGCTTCACTGCAGTCTTCAGGAGCGAGATCTGAGAGGCAGAGGAGGAGGTGCGGTAATAGGATACAAGGGCGGGCCAGATAGGTAAAAGAGTTGTGTTTTTCTGGGCCCAATGCCATTCTATCTCTTTTTTCCATACCCCTGGCTCCCCGGACGCTTGCAGCTTCCTCCACCCTTCACTTACACCTTCCCGGTGAGGTGCCCCTTCACCTCACCATCGGGACCGCATTAAGTCCACGAATCCTGATGAATTGATTTTCTTCTACTGTACTTGTACAGCGTCGCCCTTAATGCTTTCATACAGTTGCTGCATGCAGCAGGGAAGCTGCCACTGCCATTTTTTAGTTCCCCCCGCCATATGCAGCAACCACAGATCCTCCAATCCAGATTGGAAGTTTCAGCACCCACTCTATATGACAACTCCCAGCGTATAAGACTACTCCCGTGTATAAGACAATTCCCACGTATAAGGCTACTCCCGTGTAAAAGACGGCCCCTGACTTTTGAGAAGATTTTTTTGGGTCAAAAAGTAGTCTTATACGCCAGAAAATATGGTAATCCACAGGTCATATAAAAAAACCATAATTTTCACCCCCAAAACTGCCTTTGATTTAGATATGAAATCAACTTATACATAAATATATATGGTAAGCACTTGAGAACGCACTTGAGGAAGTGGACTTAAGTCTATAAAAGCTTCTGATACCAGTTTCTTTCTCTCAGTCAGTCTAAAGCTTTACAAGACTCTTGCATACTTTAATATCTATTACCTTTAAGTTTCTCAAGCAATTGGTTCTGGTACATGGTATATCTCAAGGCGTGCATCCATGGCCTCACATCTTGCTGCTTGCATGAACGCAATGCTTCACTGAAGAGAGGAATGAGACAATCCTGTAAAAACACAAATAATTAGTGCTTGATAGCTCTCCAGGATATTGAAACACCTCTGGCTTCCCCAGGGTTTAACAAAATGTTCACTCCCAAAATTACAACATGCCTAGTACAGATGCCACTTATCATCTCTCTCTCTATCACTGTTTGACATTTATTTTCTAACAGTACAAATTTGCAAATTTAACTTGATTTTATACTCCTGTTTAATTCACTGGATTTATGCCCGTACTGTGGAATTTGGCTCCCTGAGGGGAAACAGAATACACTTCCAAGAAACTTTGGTGGGACAGCTCAATGGCTCCTCCTATATCTCGAAAGGTTGCCAGCTTGTTCAAGGGTGTGCTCCATTACCCTGAATCTAAATGTCAAAGCATTGAGATGAGTTAACATAATCTCTATCCTTAGCTAAGGCCGGAAGAAAAGGGTGAAATCTCAGACTTCCTCATAAATACATAGGTCATATGATCCCTGCTTTTCCTGGGCACTGAAGGATACAAACCATTATATGATACCTCACAGTCTTTCCATGCCTTGGCATAGCCATTTTAATAAGTATAATTATTGTGAATAATCAAGCCTGGGTTGCTGGGAGTTTTCCGGGCTGTATGGCATTCTCTCCTGTCATTTCACCCACATCTATGGCAGGTTTCCTCAGAGGTTGTGAGGTCTGTGGAAACTAGGCAAGTGAGGTTTATATATCTGGGGAGTGTTCAGGGTGGGAGAAAGAACTCATATCTGTTGGAGTCAAGTGTGAATGTTGCACTTGGCTACCTTAAATGCTTTGCAGCCTCAAAGCCTGGCTGCTTCTTGCCTAGGGCCATCCTTTGTTGGGAGGTGTTAGCTGGACTTTTCTGAGTGTTGTTCTTTTTTTTACTGTCCTGATTTTAGAGGTTTTTTTAGTACTGGTAGACAGATTTTGTTCATTTTCATGATTTCCCCTTTTTGTTGAAATTGTCCACATGCTTGTGGATTTCAATGGCTTCTCTGTGTAGACTGACATGTTGGTTGCCAGAGTAGTTCAGCATTTCTGTGTTCTCAAATAATATGTTGTATCCAGGTTGGTTAATCACGTGCTCTGCTATAGCTGACTTCCCTGGTTGAATTAGTCTACAGTGCCTTTCATGTTCCTTGATTCGTGTTTGGGCAATGCTGCATTTGGTGGTCCCTATGTAGACTTATCCACAGTTTCATGGTATACGGTAGACTCCTGCAGAGGTGAGAGGATCCCTCTTGTCCTTTGTTAAACGTAGCAATTCTTTTTACATGGTCTGCCAGCTTCGTTTTCTACTTGGGTGATGGTTGGAGCTTTTATGTAGGTATTTATCTGTGTATGTAGGTTTTCTGTAAACTGTGTGGCCCAATTGTTGATTGCGGATGACTAAGACATCTAGAAATGGCAGCTTTCCTTCACCCCCCCCCCCCCCCCCCCCCCCCAGCTGATGAATTGGACGTTTGGATGGATGCTGTGGAAGTGGTCCAGGAACTTCTTTAGTTCTTCTTCTCCATGGCTCCAAATGGTAAAGGTGTCATCCACATATCAGAACCATATAGTGGGCTTTTTTTGTTGCTATTTCCAGGGCTTGTTTTTCAATTCTTTCAATAATCAAGTTATTCCTTCCCTTACGACCAACAATTCACATGGTTAATAAAAACTGTTATATAAGTGTCAGATCAAAACTTCTCAATAAGCAAAACAGGCAGGATATTTTGAGCTATGCTTTCTTGAGCCAGCATACTTACAAATGATCCAACCTCTCCTGTAATACTAGTTGTTTCTGGGTGGCAGAGATTAGAAATATTGCATTAAAACAAGGGTAAATTTGATGGCTCCCTAAACATGAAGAAATTCATTATGGGACAAAATTTCACGGGCTTGAGTCCATATTTTCAGGTGTAAAACATTACTCGCAGTTAGCATATTCCATATGTTTCTCTATGCATATAAAGATGCGGCAGCCCAAAAAAAGGGTGAATTCACACAAAAAGTCACATTACACTCTGTATGAGAATCCCTGGAAAGCTTACAAGGTTTAACTAGTGGTGTCTTTTCAAATAGAAAATGAAAAAAAATCCTCTACTCTCGCTGCAGAGTGGCCCTCTCACCCCCACACTCACATACATTAATGCTATGTGAAATCACAGTATGCTTCTTGAGCATGCAGAGAAATATACCTCTGAAGAAAGCCTATTTGACACTGTATTTTCCAAGGCAGATGAACAATATAGCTGGAGTGCACTCAACACTGGCAAAGACTGAGACACTGTCAGAGTGGCAAGTCTTAGAGGTCCAATGGCAATCCGCGAAGTCTGTTTCAAATATTTTATAAGGTTCCTGAAATAAAAGTTTATATGCTATAATGTCTTGTTAAAACAACAAACAAATCTGCTTGTACAAATCAAGTATACAACTCTCAAATATAAAATTTACAAATAGGCAGCATTAAAGTAGGTTTATTGATACAGTGTATAAATCTACTTTAATTTATAAAAATGAGAATAGTACATGGTTCTACCATATCTTCAATATTAATGTATCAGCCTTACACGTATATATTGTGCATGTTCTAATGTGCTCTTCTGAAGTGGAGACTGGGGTTAGAGAGAACCCACACATCAAAAAACTAGTCTTTAGTTATAGTTGCCTTAATAAAAAAGCACAATTCTTCTCCTCTTCTAAAAAGCAGGTAAGATAAATTAGCATTTTTAAAACTCACTCAGTAATAGGTTGCCACTTTTGCTCCTGCTCAATGTGATTAATCGCCGTTGCCAAACATACTGAGCTTCGCAGGAGCTGAACCTCAATTGCTTTCTGAAGTTCTCTTGGATCAGGGGACAGCATGTTAGGAAGAAGCTTCTTCATATCTGTTAAATATTATGAACACATCTAAATATAACAGTAGTGGCTGACATTTCATTAGCTTTCAATCCTGTTCCCACACAAATATGCAAAGCTAACATCATATACTGAGTGAATACACAATGTGGAGACTGAGAGCTACATTGAAACAACAACAAAAAGGTATTATTGTGCGTGCAGAGGACATTCTAAAAGATATTCTACGAAATTTCTTTTCCCCTAAAATTGAAGCTTCAAAAACACGGTGCGCTTTAGATTTAATAGTGTCTTACATTCAGCAAAATATGGTATTTCTCAACCAGCTGACAAGGAAAAAGAAGGAAAACTGAGGGAGAGAATAAGGGTCAATGGTAATAATGGATTGGGACATTAATTTCCTTCTTTGGACAGCTGGTATAAAGGCAGTAATGCAATGACAGTGAATTACTCCACTGACCTTCCCAAGAGTCATAAGTACAGACTTGGAAATGTTTGCATGTTCAACAACTGTCAATGTGTACCTATTTTTTCTTTGGCTCCTCCAATAAGTAGGTTGATATCTTCCCCTGGAAGCAATTCTAGTTGTTCTGTGCATTCTGCAAGCTCTCTTGATCCAAAACTGCTTAAAGACCTGCAATACAGTTTTAATGCTTTTATGTATATTTTCAAGATGAGGCTAAAATCAAACCAGAGGTTTTCTTCATCCCAGTAATCACATATACCAAGAAGATGTTAGTCCAAGTGTTGAGAAGAGCATGTTGCGTATCTGTACTGTGTTTCTTCAAGCGGTTGTCTGAGCAGTCACACAATACGAGTGAACCTGAAAACTCATGATGTGATGCACAGAGACCACAAAGAAGAATCCCTAGTTCTTTAAATATAAAATAACTGCTCCTATCTCCTGTATCAGTGGACAGAATGACTGTTGTTTTAGCACAGCAGGTTAACCACCAGCTGCAATAAATCTTGCCAATCGAAAGGTTGGCAGTTCAAAGCTCAGGGGTGAGTGCTTGACCTTCAGCCCCACTCACTGCCCATCTAGCAGATCAAAAGCAGCTGTGAGTAAATAAACAGGTCCTGCCATGCGGGGAAGGTATTTTAATGATACCATAAGGAAATACCAGAAAAATGCCGGTGATTCGATCAAAAGGAGAAGGTCTGTGAACAGGGCTCTTCAGCATGGTGGATGGAGTGACAGCACACAAACACACACACACACCGGTATAATCGAGCACAACCTCCAAGACACAGAAGATGGGAAAAACCTATACACCCCTATCTATGTACTGTGTCTGTCCTGTTAGTGTCTAACAGCATTAAATGTTTGCTGTATATGTGTTGTGCGATTTGCCCTGAGTCCCCTTCGGGGCGAGAAGGGCGAAATATAAATACTGTAAATAAATAGATAGATAGATAGATAGATAGATAGATAGATAGATAGATAGATGCTCTGCAGCACAAGATATAAATACACAATTCATGAAAAGGAATATTTTCATTTTACTTCACTGTCATGAATGGTACCTGTGTTGTTCAGAAAGGTAAACTCAAACTACATTTCTTTAAAATAAATGTCTTTATGAGGACTTCAGCAACTTTTGATTATTAAAATAATCTAATATCTGGGCATAACCCTGTGGTTAGTGATCCCTGAAGCAAAACCAACCCAATCTCCAATTACAACACTGCAGTAATGAGAATCTAGAAATTAAAGCACAACATTCAACCAGATTCAACACACAACATCTCCCCATTTGGGCTCAAGATGTGGCAGAGGTATATCTCAAGAAATTGGGGGCTATCAGTATATGGAAATATTATTTTGGTAGTTTTAAAAAACAGAATTGAAAATGTGGTCAAAAAGTGTTTTCTCCGGGCTCTAAAACACTCCCCACCCCTGCAGTGTTTCCATTATACAAGACATTAGGTTTCAGAGAAGAAAACTAGAAGAAGGCTTCCGTGATCTCTTTTCTACCAAAGGTTTCTTGAAGAGGCTTCACTGGAAGAATGCCGCAGTTGTTCAATAATGGAAACAGAAGCAACAACCAAGAGAAAATACAGAAACAGAGGTATTTTCCCAACATCACATTTCCTCTGGGACACAGTAAACAACGCTCGAGCCAAGCTCTCTGTGGACTGTTCTGCAGACTTCACCCTGATTAGAATCGTCCAACTATCTGCCTTCACATTAAGAACAGCTTACGAACTGATTGCAGTTTTCTTACTTCTGTTTCTCTCTCCTCTTCAGGCATATCTAACAAGCCAAACCCAGTTCTTGTAGCAATCTCTAGTAATCAATGATACTTACTTGATATAGTTGAAGTCTGCTTTTAAACTGACGGAAGCTGTACTGCTGTTTTTTTTCAGGTCATGGACTGCATTCTGCCATACTTGCACAGCAGACCAGTCAGCAATGGAAATGTAGCACTCACAGGCTTTATTACCCAAATAGTTGATGACTTCAGGTGATGAATCATTTGGCTTAGCCAGTACTGTTTTTCGAGAATCCCCTGTGAAAAGAGAAGTTCAAATATTTGGCCTTTTAAATAACAGACTTCAATATGGAAAGCCTGTGTTACTTGCAGACACAGAATATCGAGGCAGATAATCTGCAATATCTGCTTTGAACTGGGTTATCTGAGTCCACACTGCCATATAATCCAGTTCAATGTGGATTTTATACAGATGTGTGGAAGGGCCCTAAAAATCTATCCCTCCCCTGAGGCTCCAAAAGTGACAGAAAAGACAAATGGCTCCAGAATAAGATACAGAGCTGGAAGATCAGCATCTCTTTCTACTTTGAAGCCATCCCTTTTCACCTTGAGAGGGGTACCTGCTAAATAAAGGTATCAGACCTCATGATGAGGAAGACACACAGTCCAATAGTTCATTATCTGACATTCTTAAAAAAATACCTCAAGTTACTTTCAGGAATACTTACCATTTAGAGAGTGCTTTGGGCTTGCGTTGTTTCCACTGTTTGAATTAGCCAATTTCAGGACAGATTTATCAAATCCTGTTATGTAGCAATCCACTCCTGTCATGGCACAAAGATGCTCCTGGTACTCAGCAGCTGCTTTTTCAAACCTTCAAAAATTAGCAAAAGTTCCAATAAACATTTGACCTATTTTATCCCTCACTAAAACGTATGCCTCTTATTTTAGTTGTTCAAGAAGCCATCATATGCATGCAGTAATTTACCGTCCTTCGGCTTGCTGGGCTACAGAATTAATCCAGGTGAGACTCCTCCCAACAACAGCAGAGGACCAGACAGCGATTCCTTGAATTGCTTCTGGACAGTGAAGCTCACATAGTGCTTCTACAACCATCATGATTGTCACTTCTAATTCATTTCCCTGGGAGCAGGGAAGAGAGAAGAATTACAATTCAGTTCACATTCTTGGGTGATAAGAACATGATTTTAATCCAAAAACCACTTCTATACTCATTGCATTTGCAGCAAGGCTTTTTTTATAGACATCCCTAAACTGAAGTCATTGCATTTCCCCATTCCAGGAACCTCTACACGGAGCATTTAAGATTATGGCAATAGGCTTCAATTTAGAAACAACAAACTGTGCTTCTTTCAAATTGCCATAACACAGTAACAACAAATTGAATTATCAGATCATTATAATATAGGATGGACAAAGGGGGAGGGGGGCACACATGGGAGCTAACAAAATAGTCTTGGATGTCAAACACAGCCTGTGATCACGTTGTCCTCTTCTACCACAACATATTGTTTCTTGGTCATTGCATATACACACAGTTACTTACAGTAATAAAAAACTAGGAAAAGATAGGCAAATTATTTCTTCACTAAAACTAAATCTATTCTTATTTAGTGGCTAATTAATTACAGTTTACCTGTTCGAACATATCTCCTTCTACGAACCTCCAAAGACGCTAAGATCATCCGGGGAGGCCCTGCTCTCGGTCCCACCACCTTCGTAGGCACGATTGGTGGGGACGAGAGACAGGGCCTTCTCCGTGGTGGTTCCTCACCTGTGGAACTCCCTTCCCAATGATATTAGATCGGCCCCCTCCCTCCTGACCTTCCATAAAAAACTTAAAACCTGGATGTGGAGTCAAGCTTGAGCAATAAGTTGGAAAAACTGGGAAGATAATGTTTTAACGACCTCAATGGACTGAACTGGATAATGTCTTAAACCAGCGAACTGTTTTAAAGTGATTGTTTTATAACGGAGTTATTGTATTAAATTGTATTATGATTTTTAATGTACTGTTGCCTATTGTAAGCCGTCCTGAGTCCCTCTCCAAAGGCGAGGACGGGGTATAAATGCCTGAAATAAATAAATAAATATTTATGTACCTTTTTTTCACCCCTGGGGGGACTCAAAGCGGTTTACAAAAAAAAGGGCAAAATTCAGTAGCCTACATACATAAACCAAATAATAAATCAAACAACATATGACTAAGTATAAAATATAATAGGACAAATTCACCATAAGATAATAGGACATTTAAACATGAAGAATAAAAATTAAAATTAATTAATACTATGAAAAATATTTGTCTGGAAATACCTGAGAGATACTGTTGCTCTTCATTTCGGTTAGCAAATCAAAGCCATGCCTGATGGTCACCGCTGGCTGCCCAGCCAATAGCCCCACACGCATGATAGAGAGTCGAATTCGAGTGAGCCAATCTTGGCACGTTTGCCGATTGGTATAAAAAAATGTCCTGATAACCTTCATAAATGAAGAAAGAAATGTTTGTTGTAGGTACTCAGCAGAACAAAACTACAGCACAGAATGATCTGCACTATAACTACCAATTTCTCTATTGCATGATACCTCTCAATGTCAGCATTATTTTCATCATCATAATCATCTTTAATTACTTATTAATCGCCCTCCATCCAAGATGCTCTAGGCAATTTACATAGCAGAAATTATACAGGATAAAACACATACATACAAATATTAATAAATTAACATGAGTCAAATGCTCTAGTAAAAAGCCAGGTCTTAAGTGCTAGAATAAAAGGTCCTAAGTCACGCATGGCTCTCAAATAGAGAGGCAAGGAATTCCATAAGGCAGGGGCAGAAATAGAGAAGGCCCTGCGTCTGGTGCTTTCCAAGTGCACTTCTCTAGGATCCGGTATATAGCGCAAATCGCGTTGAGATTGTAGTGGCGACCTCCAATGATGGGAGAAGGAGAGACGGTCTCTAAGATACAATGGACCCTGGCCATATAAAGTTTTAAAGGTCAGGACCAGCATCTTATACAAACCACGATAATCAACTGGAAGCCAGTGTAGATGCCGCAGCACTGGTGTTATATGGCATTTCATAGGCGTTTTTGTGAGTAACCTGGCTGCAGCATTCTGAACAATACAGAGCTTTCGGGTCGTAGACATAGGAAGGCCAACATATAAGGCATTGCAATAGTCCAGCCTAGATGTGACCGTGGCATGGATGACTGTTGCCTGAGCCTCATCCTCTAACCTTTTTTCTTTTGAGAACAAAAATCCTGAAAAACCAAAACTACACAGAAATTGTTCATATACTCAATTCTTTTATTATGCCAGCAATGTTTAAGAAAGCCGGTAAACTGTAAAATAAAATGTTTTAATGTAAAATTATGCACTTAGACATAATGCTGAACTGAAAGCAGGTTTTTCAACAAAAAAAAATTCAGCTTCCATCTGCTTCAGCATACAGCAGATATGAAGTATGAGTGCTATCAATCAGAATAGATAATAGTGGATTTAACAGACCATCAGTCTAATTCAAATCACATTTTTATGCTATAAGTAGGTCTGAATTGCAAAAAAAAATAAATAAGAGTAAACTCATTAAACCAAGTGGATTTATCTATCTGTTGACTTGCCACTCCACAAATGATTTAATAGATCTCCTCTACTCAATGCAAATCAATATGATCCCAGCCAACAGATACATTCCACAACAACTACCATGAGCTACTGAAGGTAACAACATCATTACCCTGACACAAACCTTGGGTGGAGATGTGAGTGCATTAGCACACCCTTCATACGCATTGTACATCAGCTTCTCCAAGTTCTCTAAGTACTGCAAAAGCAGAACCAATCTCAGCTGGTTGCTACTATGCCCTTCATCATTGTCTGCTGTAGTCCACTGGCTGACATCTTGATCAGGGTTTAGCGTATGGGCTGCAAGACTTCTGATGATGCCTGGAAACATCCATTTCAAACATTTCAAAGCACAGACTAACACCTTCCAAATTACAAATTCCTTAAAAGTAATATCCTCCCAAATAATATAATCCATTAGTTTCAGACAGAATCACAAGTTGACTGCATTTTAATGTACACCTTAATGAATCTGTCCCTACACAAGACCCAATTCAATGCATACTTTAAGTTAAAGACAGTAGCCTGCAGAACCATAATTCTGCAGATCTTTATTAATTCTATAATCACATCTTTTTGACAAGCCACAAGAGGGTAGAATTACCCCAAGAAATGTGAATGATCAGAAGGGGGGGGGGGGGAGAGGAAACAGAAGAAATATCCTTTGGCACCATCATCACACACATCACTATGAAGATATTTTCCTCTTTTTAAGAAACCTTGAAATGCTTGTTTAAGACAAGAGTCTTGGTCCCAATGTTTACTTTTCTACTGGATACCCGTTTTTAAAAGGATCAGCAATGCCTATCCTTGCTGCATTCGACACAGATCCTACATGCAGCTCTAGAAGGAAGGCCAGGAAACTCTCCAGAGTAGGTTTACTGCCATAAAGATCCAGAGAGGGCGAGAAAGAGTCCCAATTATATTACTGTACTCTTGGATTTTAATCATGGTTTTCATCATAAATTTGATGTAAGATCATGTACAGTATTAAAGAATGAATGAATTATGATGACTATTATTATAACAATAAACTTTATTTATAACCCGCCCTATCTCCTCAAAGGGACTCAGGGCAGTTTCCAAACAAAAAAGTGGCAAACATTCAATGCCACAATGAAAACAAACAAAACAAATCAAACCAATAAACAACATCAATATAAACTTATACTAACCAACCAATAAGTAAATTAGAAACAAAATTTAAAAATTAGTTAAAAAGCATAATAAAATATCATAAAACACTTTTACTTCATAATAAAATATGACCACAAAAGTGCATTAAAGTATAAGATGGTTTACAGCCATCAACAGAGCCAGGGTGGGTTTCCAGCATCCAACGAGGTTGTATATTAGGATGTTCTAGTCCTCCTCCACTCCACAGTCTAAAGTGCAAAGATGGGTTTTAAAAAGTTTTTTTAAAGGAGAGGAGAGAGGAGGCAGTTTTTATTTCTTTGGTGAGGGAGTTCCAGAGATGAGGGGCGATCACAGAAAAAGCCCTCTCTCTCGTTCCCACCAACTGCGCTTGAGAAGGGGGTGGAACCGAGAGCAGGGCCTCCTCTGCTGACCGCAGCACCTGGGGTGGTTTATATGCAGAGATGCGATTAGTCAAATAGCTTGGACCCAAACCATTTAGGGATTTATAGGTAATAACTAGCACTTTGCATTTAGCCCGGAAGTGGAGCTGCCACAGAAGGGGAGTTGTTCTCTCTCTATATAGTGCTCAAGTTAATAAACTGGCTGCTGATTTCTGAACTAACAGAAGCTTCTGAACTATCCTCAAAGGCAGCCCCACATGGAGAGTGTTGCAGTAGTCCAGATAAGATGTGACTAAGGTGTGGACTACCGTGGCCAAGTCTGACATCTCAAAGTACGGGTGCGACTGGCACGCAAGTTTTAATCATGCAAAGGCGCTCCTGTCCATCACCGACACCTGAAGTTCCAGGGTCAGCGATGAATCCAGGATCACCCCCAAACTGTGAACCTGCGCCTTCAGAGGGAGTGTAACCCCATCCAGGACAGGCTGTAACCCTATACCCTGATCTGCCTTCCGACTGACCAGGAGTACCTCTGTCTTGTCAGGATTTAATTTCAACTTGTAAGCCTTCATCCAGTCCATCACTGATGACAGGCACTGGTTTAGAACCAGGACGGCATCCTTGGCTTTGAGTGGAATAGCGTTGGATGTTGTCCACATACATTTGATGCCAAACTCCAAAACTCCATAGGATTTAAATATTACTGATATTGTAAAAGCCACCTTTATATCCAACACAACACTAATTGTTGATTTTGTGAGTGCATTAAACTGTTGGTGTCAATGATATGTGATACCATTGCTCTTTCCAAATGTTTAACTTTTTTTCTACTTGTCATACAGGCAATAAGGAGGATATATATATATTAGGTAGCATAAGGATAGCTGTTTCTGCACTCTTCTTTTCTCTAGTATTGAATACATCCACAATTTAGTTTATACAAAACAAAGGCACTGATACGCTTGAATCCTGTCAACTCTTACCCACCTCAAAGCAAATTTGATCTTATATTCCAACAAACATGAATACATTTTTAAAATGTAAACTATTATGGAAGGGGCTTTGTTACACCTTGTGATGTATAAAAGAAGTGAATGAAAAGACACAGACTTTTTACCATGGATTCAAGATTTCGGAGTTTTATACCATGATGTTGAAACTTAAAAAAAAATCAAAACACTTCCACCTCCCCTCCCAACACGGTCTTTGATATTACCTTCAATCGTCTGGAATGTGTCCTGAGCTCTGCCTAGTGGTGTCCTTAACTTTGAAAGGACAGTAAACTGGGCTGCTTCCCAGACAGCCCACTGCCAGAGGACTGCTTCCGTTTTCAACAAATTGCGTGGAATACTTGGTTGGTCACTTTTATCCAGTCTTTGACAACTGTAAAATAGCCTTTCTAGCCAGCTCTCCTTCCTGCAATTAAGATCAGATATTAAGATAAAAAGATAACTGCTAATATCTGAGAAATACTCCACTGAGAGTCATAGGGGTGAGTAGCATAATAATATAATAACATGCCCTAAACTATTACTTATGTAGACAAACTCTGGTCTATGTACAATTGGCTGCGTTCAGGTATAACTGTAACCTATAGTTTAGCAGGAAACTGCCAAGACATGAAGAACTACATCTATGTTGCTGTGGCCTCCAATCTATTTATTTAAAATGCCTCTTACATATCTTATAGATGTGGTGGGCAACTACTGAAGATTGGGGAAAAGACTGGTATTTTTGAGGAATATATTTATTTATTATTTATTTACTCCATTTGTATCCCACCTTTCTCTACCCTGAAGAGAACTCAACATATGGCATCTATTCAATGCCTTTGAAAAACAAACAGTTAAAATACATTAAGTTAAAGATTTAAAATTAAAATTAAATGCACATTAAAAACATATAAAACATTTCAATCACTATTAAAAATCATGCCATCCACAATCATAATCCAGGGCCATTCCAAAAGTCATTGCACATTGCACATATAGCCACTTTTGCTAAGTTCTGGGCAACTCCAAGCTGTTTCAGGGTCGGAAGAATTCTTTTTTCAACAAGTTAATATGACTAGCAGCAAGGGAAAGCTGACAAAAGTATCTTTTGTATTCAACCTTTCAAATCTGTGAATGGATCCATAAATCCTTACCCTGTTCTGTGAGAGGTTCCATACAAGATAAAACTAATGATATCAGAAAAGTCTTGTGGGTGAAATGTATTGCTTGGAGCCTTGCTCATATGACTTCTTATTGCTAAAGAAATCTCTTGTATTTCTGTGTGGTGGTGGTTGCTGTTGAAGGAGAAATATGTGGATTGGGGTGAGGCTTTTCACAGAAACACAAGCTAAAGCATCTTTCATCTATCATACACACACAAGCCTACAACAGATCCAGGTAACTCTCAACTCCTTCTTTCACCCACAATAGCATTCCAGTTTAGCATACTCACAATAAAATACATCTATAACAGAGTAAGATTCATCCATAATGTGGCAAGAGGCAATGCTAAGGGGAAAAAATCCTGGCCTACTGCCCTGTGTCATCCCAGAGTTGTCAAGAGGGCACTAGTAACCTGAAACAACTCCCATGGCAACCTAACCAACAATAGACATGCTATCCCACCACTGCCTCCAATGCCTCAATTTATGCTTTGAAATGGTCAACACTGAAGAATAACATTCTGAAAATAAGTTACAGTATCTTAAGTACAGTATTTGGTTAGCATGTAGTAAGAATTAGACAAAAAAACTTCCTGATGCCCTCATTCCAAAAATTCACTTCATTCCTTAAAATACAACCAAGATTCTTACCTTAATACTACATCTAAAGGAATAGACTTCAACAGTTTTCCAAAAGCTTGCCTTACGCGAGCACCACTGTGAACCAGCTGAACGCGACATACATCCACACATCTGCAACAAATTAGAGAAAAGAAATAAATAAGGGACATGCACAAATTTGACTATGGCATTTTTGTCTTGAAACTAGAGAGCATTAACAACATACCTCTGTAACAAGTCATCTGGAAGAGAAGGTGACAATGCATGTAAACTACTACATGCCTGAAGACAAATATTGACATCTTCCAGGAGAGCTGGTAACAAGGAAACAGTATTATTTTTCACTAAAATAATGTAGCTTTAATTATTTCAAGAAAGATAAATATAAGAAAATTTACAGTTTTTATTCCTTATATCCACACAGTGACCATCGTAAATAATACCTACAACTGAAGCCCTTTGCACAAAGGTAAAGGAAAGCCAATATAAAAATGCTAATTCTTATGTACTACCAACATAAATTTGCCCTGAGGCCCAGGGAACTTAAAAGTCAGGCTAATAACTTGTTCAGAGTCAAAAGAATTCCATATTATTCTTTGAATGTACTGTGTCATAAACTGTTTTTGAAACATCAGCCTTTGTGTAATGTGAAATAGATGCAATTAGAACAATAAACAAACTCCTATAAGGCTCAGGGTAATAAATGTAATGGTTCTTTGAATTTGCTATTCCACTCTCCTGTATCTAAGCCAGTGGTTCTCAACCTGTGGGTCCCCAGATGTTTTGGCCTTTAACTCCCAGAAATCCTAAAAGTTGTTAAACTGGCTGGGATTTTTGAGAGTTGAAGGCTAAAACACCTGGGGACCCACAGGTCGAGAACCACTGATCTAAGCTAATATGTTTATACACATTCTCTCACTCACTATATTTAGAACAGGCTATTTTATTGTGCCAGGCTAAGTCTCAAGAAGAATGAAGAGAGAAAATTATAAAACTTACTGTTTGCTAGAAGTCCTTTGCAAAACTTGTGAAAGGATGGGAGGGAGAACAATGGTGCATAGGTTTCTGATTTCTTCATTAGTACAGCCACTTCCAAAGCCCAGGTCATTAACAGCTTCCTAGAAATGGATATTTCCATTATACATGTAAGTTACATACTTTTATTTACATTACAAATGACACATTCACTAAAGCTTTTTTACATTTACATATGGTAGACAAAGTGAACTACTAAACACAAACATTACAAATATCCAGGAGATGACTTCACCTCGTAATGCCCACATATCTCCCTTTGAATCAGAAAAAAATAGCAGTCATGTGTTACTCATGAATTAGGACTACAACCATACACATATATACTGGCATGCAAATTCTAATTAGCCAAGTGTAGTTTCTCTATAAAAAGAAATATGTTTGGAAAGCGAAATAATGCCATGTTATGAGAAACACAGATGTATGAAATTCTCTTTATAATGGAAGAAACCTCGAATTACCTGGTATCATGTGTAAGGTTATCCTTCTTAAGCAAAAGTCCCAAGAGATTTAGTATGATAGAGAAATGCTTCTTTGTAGCTGTTGTTACAGTGCTAATGACAGCTCCGTCAAACAAGGAAGGAGACGAGGAGCTAAGGCTGCTTGAGATGAAGTGGTCATGCCTGCAGATCAATGCACAATTTATTTTAGTCATGCTATTATCATAAACGAAGAGAAGGAGCAGGCATTATCAATTAATTTTCTGTCTGCAGGAGATAGCCAGAAAGCAGATTACCACTCACTGCCATTCAGGCAATGAAGTTTAACAATGAAAATTTTGAAACAATACTAAGGACCCTAAATTCCTTTCATCACAGCTTTGACTTTACTTTGCCTTTTTCCATTCTCACTAAACAAAATCCTCCTTTGTTTTCACTTTTAAGAAAAGCAGCAACATGTCCCAAAAGATTTATTATCTTGTTCCCCATCTCCTATGGATGAACCTTAAAATGCAATCTGTGGATGCAGAAGACACAGCAGCCCTTTTGTTTGGAGCTCTCATTTCAAAGGCAGATAAGAAATAATGTATAGAAATTAATATGTAATGGTTCACTAAATATTATGGAGACAATGGTACTGACTGTGTTACAAATACAGGAAGGACTCGCCAATGTGCTAACGTTTAAAATGACAAACAGGATTTTCTATGTTATAAGCAAGTAGTTCAACTAGGATACCAAAGGACAATATTATTTATTTATTTACATTATTTATACTCTGCCTATTTCACCCCGAAGGGGACTCAGAGTGGCTTTAGAGAACATACATACAGCAAACATGCAATGCTGACTGAACAATTAACAAAGGACACACATCACAAACAGAAGTGAAGGCAGATTTTCCCATCTTATTTCAGGCAGCTTGGAGGCTTTGCTCAACTCAGGCCATGGGGGGGGGGGGGGGGCTGACCTTCCAATCTGCAGGATTTTTCTGCAGCACAGTGGTTTAGCCTCCTGTGCTATGCCCGGTCCCAATAGTTCCCAAACTGAGACAGACAGACAGACAGACAGATGCTCTTTTCTCATCAACATTACATATAATGAACACCTTCACACCTGGTGCAATGTGAATAGAGAGTGTAGAGCACTGCATACTGGACGGCAGGAAAGTGAACAGCGATATCATTGTGTGCAACCATCAAGTTCTTGCTGAGCAATGCAAACACCGTTGGAGAAAGAGCCCACATCTGCCAAAACAAAGTAATTACAAAAAAACGTTTATGGAAGTCCTTTTCCTAGCAGTTCTACCTCATTTTAGCAAACTGTTATGACTTCTTATAACTGTTGTCTAATGACAAATACTAGACATAAATGGCTAAGACACAAGCCATATGTGAAGGCATTTCTCACAGATAGGATTCAAAGTAAAAGAAAGGGACAAGAGATTAAAGGGGAAAATAAGGGTGAAAATACCTACTTTTTTGCTCACAGTCATTCAACACTTAAAAAACAGTGGAATTACAGACAGGAAACAATTAGGGCAAGCTAATACCTCCCCAAAAAGGATTTTCCCAGGCAGTAAGCAGCCAGACTTTAAAGTTGAAATGCCATTCAGTGCTAATCAAGGTGGCTTATTGTGACATTCACACTTGCCTCAAGCAGACAAGTTTTTTTCTCCCACCCTGGGCATTATTCCACAGATATATAAACCCCACTTGCCTAGTTTCCAACAGACCTCACAACCTCTGAGGATGCCTGTCATAGATGTGGGTAAAATGTCAGGAGAGAATGCTTCTGGAATATGGCCAAACAGCCTGGAAAACACAGCAACCCAGTGATTCCAGCCATGAAAGCCTTCGACAACACAAAACTATATCTATTTGTTGGTTAAGTGGGATGCCCTACTACACATATTTGCCACTTCCCTCAATGATACACACATGGAGTATAGACATGTTGCTCCTCTATACTCCATAGGAAATAAATATTTCAACTTTTTTCTGGTATCCAGCAAATTAAAACTGTCGTTTTGTCCATGATTCTCAAATATTAACTATTATTTACTTCAGGCAAACCAAACAGTTTACTAATAAACAAGACCAACGTAATTAGGCTTTTCATACTAAAGTTTGGAAATTTTGAGCAGATGCCAAGATCTAAAAACACTATACATGTGAGCTCTAAAATGAGATACTCACTCCAATCAATGAGTTTTTTGCATTTCCAATAGTAGTCAGAGCACTGAGGTCAAATATAACCACAAATTTTGCATTAGACACTTCAAATACGTGGTTTTTGAAAGCATCATGCAAGATTTCAGAACACGCCTCTGGAAGTTGCAGGCTGCAAAGAAGACTGTTCAAGGCACAGGCCATTTCTCCGAGAATCAACTTGTAGGCTGTTTCCAAAACAGGGATGTTCTTTAAGCTCAACACGGCTTGATACACCCCATGCGCTGACGCAACAACCTTGAAAACAGAAAAGTCAATGGCACTAACATAAAGATTGCAAAAGTCTGCACTTAGCACAACCGTTAACTCCCAATGACATACTGGCAATTAAGAAAGCATACATTTAAAAGTTATTTAGATCAATATGGTATGATAATTTTTCTGCTCACCTCTTTTTCCTTGTGATAGCGGAGAACAAGTAACTTAGACTGAGGTACAAATAATTTCTCTATAAATTGCGATGGGAGCTTTGTATTTATTTGTTCAACAATCTAAACAGAAAGGCATATGTCAGTATACATTCATTTAGCAAACATTTGGTTCAAAATTATTATCTTGAAAGACTCTGACAACTGTCCTATAAAGCATCTATTAGTATATAGCTGCAACAGATGTGGGATTACTAGCATAGAATAAATTAGAAACATGTATATAGTGAACTAAAAAAATAGTTTGATAGTAGATTTCTGGACTACTCCCTAGCTAACAGCTCTTGCCAAAGCAATTTAACACCTCTAGGATATTAACATATGCCCCCTACCCGTCTCCTGTTAGTAATTCTTAGATTTCTGGAATATAGCCTAAGCTATTTCATAGAATTATAGAGTTGGAAGAGACCTTGTGGGCCACCCAGTCCAACTCCACTCTGCCAAGAAGCAGGAAAATCATATTCAAAGCACCCCTGATAGGTGGTCATCCAGCCTCTGTTTAAAAGCCTCCAAAGGAGGAGCCTCCACCACACTCCGAGGCAGAGAGTTCCACGACTGAACAGCTCTCAGAGTTAGGAAGTTCTTCCTCATGTTCAGGTGGAATCTCCTTTCCTGTAATTTGAAGCCATTGTTTCATTGTGTCCTAGTCTCCAAGGCAGCAGAAAACAAGCTTGCTCCCGTCTCCTTATAACTTTCCCTCACATCTTGATACATGCCGTCATCATGTCTCCTCTCAGCCTTCTCTTCTGCAGGCTAAACATTCCCAGTACTTTAAGCCGCTCATCATAGGGCTTGTTCTCCTGACTCTTGATCATTTTAGTCACCCTTCTCTGGACATCATCTATTTAATCTATCTTATTTTAAAATCTCATATCTCAAAATAGAACCTAATTTTTTTTCTCAGGTCCTAAAAATGAACACACAGAATGATATAGATAAATCCAGATATTATGAGAGTTATATGTACCAGCATCAATAAGTTCAGCACCGAGATGATATAATCAGTACCACAAATCTGACAATTTTCCAGCTGTTCTAATCCATAGGTGATGACCATGTCACAGTGTATGGCCATACTGGGATCCAGGCTACCAAGGAGGACGCCCACACACTCATTGGCAGCCGTCAAGACAGCTTCAGAAAAGAAAACTTGGTTCGCCGCTGTCACACATCTCATGACCCTGTACAGAACCTGGAAAAAAAAGGTGAAACAATCTCATTGAGCCGAAACACTGGTGTGTTGTATCCCTTTCAACTCAGCACACAGAAGATTGAGCGACCTGGAAGGCGCTGAATAGGCTGCGCTTTGGCACCACAAGATGCAGAGCCAACTTTAAGAAATGAGGCTAAAAAGTGGAGTTCACGACATGCGAGTGCAGAGAAGAGCAAACAGCAGACCACCTATTACAATGCTGCCTGAGCCCTGACACATGCACAATGGAGGACCTTCTCACTACAACACTAGAGGCACTACAAGTGGTCTGTTTCTGGTCAAATAATATTTAACATAATTGCAAGTTTTTAACTTTGTCTGTGTTTTAAAATATATTATAACTGAACTGTCAATTCGATTCTGACACGATAAATAAAAAACTCAGCCAAAAATGACAAACCGTTCTGGCACCATTCTGATCACGTTACACCTATAAAAGTGGGCACCAAACTGTTAGCAGCATACTTGTGTATCCTAAGTGTGGCTTACAAGTGGACAGGTCTCTTTTTGGATGGATTCTTTTATTTCTTATGCCAAATCTCCCCCTCCCAAGCAGCTCCCAACCACCAAGGTGGGTCACTAGTGAAAAGGGATTGGGAAGGCAATTTGGACAATGAAGACGTGGCTGATTTTGGCTCCAGGAAGAAAGAAGACAATGGGTAGACTCCATCTGTGAGTGCCGTTTCATTTCTTCTGCCTTCTCAAGCAGAAATCTAACAACCTCTTTATTATACAATTGGTCTCCCATTTTTCCACTCCTCGTTAAAATTGGTTTGAATGCTTTTAACCATTTTAATAACACTATTTAACATAATTTTTGTTCCTGGGTTATAAGTGTCCTTTCCTAATTGGTTCTATCATAAAAACATGAAAAAAAATTATGAAACTGCAAAACTCTGTCTTTGCATCCTGCAACACATTTTGCTATAGTCTTTCAACAAAGATCTCAGAGACTCAAACAATTCAGCAGTTTGTGGCAGCCACAAAACCAAGTTTCTGGAGTAGAAAACCTCCTTTTAAAGTAAGGACCACAGAATTAAACAGGAAATAACACTTTCAAAGCAGGAAAAGAACATTTTCAAATGTTGTTATTTATTTATTTTAAAATAGTACTACATTTAATTCTGTTTAAATGTTTAAAGTCTTGGTTTAAATGATATATTGTGCTATTTTGATTTCTGTTTTCTGCTTTGAAAAAGTGGTACATAATAATAATAATAATAATAATAATAAGTAGCAATGAGATATTTTCAAGACTTGACCAACAAGCTGGGCAAAGGGTGTGAGCCACACGGAACTGCACAGGCAGAATGACGTTTGCTTGATGCAGGATCTTGGCAAGTAATAACATTATTTAAATGTTCACTGTGTATCGAACACACAGAATAGTTTGAAAGAATAAAAAAAACCCAAGGCAAAATGTAATCAGAGTCAGGGACAATGACATTTCCCACCCATTTTAAACAGAAAATGTAAACATGTATGTATCTTGGAGAAAATTTCAATACAGTTCAGACCCCAGCACTGATAAAAGTGAGAATTTCCTTCCCCTCTTTGTCAGCTTCCGTAACGTGGGAGTATTTCTCACCATTCTAAGAACAAGCTTTTATGGCATATGAAGGGATTTCTAGAGAAACTGCCAATTCCGACAGAAGGAACAGGACCAATTAGACATATATCACTGGATCCCTGCTAAAATTAATGGGATTATAAATACTTCTGGATGCAGTATGTTCCATAGAAGAAATACATTTTTCTTCTTATGCTGAAGAAACTAAGAACAGCAATTTTTAATCTGACATGACATTCAGTTATTGTGATTTCACATGTCACGCAGTCTACTGAAGGTTATTCTGCAAGTGTTTTTGACAGAAAGGTTTTTACTACCTCGTGAAAGGATATCTGAAAAGAGGGCATATTTAGGATCGTGAGACTTGAAATATAGACTATATAATATAGATAAAATTCACTTTGAAGGGCCCCTGGGAAGCATTCAAATTATGTTCTCATTCATACAGAGTCGTGTGTTTAGAGGCCAAATATGAGAAATACAGTCTAATCCCTCAAGGGCAACAGGGAGTGACATGCAATGCTTTTGCACCAAAAGAAAAGTTTTGGTGCTAAAATCCAAAGAGATTGGCACTAATCCTTAAGAACAGTTGAAAGTGGACAGTAATTACTATGGTTATTGAAGAAAGGAAACACTGCATTTGTAATTTCAGGGACTAACTAATCTTTTCTTTTTAAAAGAAACTACCTCTTAAATGAAGAAGAATGACCACCCAATCCTGGTTCAAATAACACGTAGTAATAATACAACACATGTACTGCTGTGAATTAAAGTACAAGTTCATTATAATGACATGTTGACATTCACTCCCATTAATGTACCAATCAAAGCCACAAATACTATAAAACAAACGAGGCAGCTCACATCAGTTACATAGGCTTCAGTGATGGGTGGTCCTCGAATGGGACTGAATCGCTCCCCGATGCTCCTCACCACAGTACTGAAAACACGAAGCAGTGCGGCTAATTTGGGCAGAGAAACAGAAGGAGGAGGGATGTCTTCATCGACCGATTCTCCAGATGCCACATGGCCAAGGTCCTACATGGAGAAACATAGCAATATGCAAGGAATCCAAATTAGCAACTCCGCAATGTGTTTACATATAAATCACATTTCTACACCACCACAACCTATAAAACTCAGTCTTCAGAAGTGTTCAAATTCTTTTCAGGAATACTACGATACATCAGTGTGATAGGGACAACAATGTTATGAACACAGAACTTTTCAACTGCTTTAGTACACTTATATTTTGTTTCATTTTTTTGTTGTTTTAATAAATTGTCCTGGATGTTTTGCAGTATTACAGTATAATCTTTTAGATACAGAAAAAGAAACAGAGTTATACTTAAACTTAATGAGATATTAAACAAAGATAATAAAAAGAGCATTCCCATTTCTCTCAAATGAGCCATGAAACAAAATTTCAGAAAAAAATAATATCAGACAGTATACTTTGTTGCATCCATTTCTTTAAATAAAATCTAAATGACAAAAGCAGATAGGAATCCTGCATTTATATAAATAATAGAAGTGAAAATATGTATGTGTGTATGTTGCTGGGGTGTCCACTTTCAGAGACAGGCTCTCACTTCCACAAACAGCTATGATCCCCACCTATAGGAGCCACCAAATACCCTCCCTCCAATGACACTGCAGGTTATAGCGAGCACGTGTACAACCCTTGCGAGTGTCCTCCACAAACACCATACTGACCACCACCCAAGTGAAGGCTTTCATACGAGGACAATTCCATCCTAGATTTTATGTGTTACCTCCACCATAGACATCCCAGTGTTTCTTACTCTCTCAATTGGTGTGGAATTTGCTTGACCCCACCCACTGCCACCCTTTCCTATTCTTTTCTATGGCACACAGCAGACAGAGGAATTTATCAGCAACTGAACATACTAGAGAGGTTTGGAGAGAATTCACCATGATTTATAGGTGTTGTAGGTACTGGGATGTATAGTTCACCTGTAATCTAAGAGCACTCTGGACTCTACCAATGATGGACCTGGAACTAACTTGGCACACAAAACATACTGGAGGTCTTTGGGGTTATTTATAGTACTTGTAGTTCACCTATATCCAGAGCACACTATGAACTCAAACAACGATGGATCTGGATCAAACTTAACATGCACATCTGATATGCTCAAATTTGAATACTGGTGTGTTTTGAGGGGACTTGGCCTGGGCATTTTGGAGTTGTAGGTACTAAGATTGATAGTTCACCTAGACTCAATCAGCACTCTGAACTCCACCAAAGATGGGATTGGACCAAACTTGGCACACAGAGGCTCCATGACCAGCAAAAACTACTGGAGGTCTTTGGGGAAAATTCACCTTGATTTGGGGGAGTTGTAGTTCACCTACATCCAGAGAGCACTGTGAACCCAAATACTGATGGATCTGGACCAAACTTGGCACACATACCTGATATGCCGAAATTTGATTACTGGAGGGGTTTGGAGGGAACGGAACCTTCCTTTCTGGGAGTTGTAGTTCACCCCTAACCAAAGAAACTGTGATCTCCACAGATGATAGACCTGGACCAGACTTGGCACACAGAACCCCCATGACTAACTCAACCTACTGAACCCCACTGATGATGCATCTAGAGCAAACTTGTCCAACATAACAATTTTTAAGTACCGATGGAGTTTTTTGGGGTTAAACTGGCATGATGCCAGCTGTAGTTCACTCACAACCTTATGCATTTTGTACAATTAGAAACTGGCTTTTTCAAATAACCCGGGCAATGCTGGGTCCCCAAGTTAGTTTCTTTCAATAAAATCTAAATGTCAAAAGCAGATAGGAATCCTGCATTCATAAATAAAATAGAACAGCACAAAAGTAGTTTATGTGACAGTAATGTGAACCCCCTCTTATGTTCCCAAAATTCTAGTTCTACACGGTGTTATGCAGATTAAATACACAAAACAATTTATTCTCCATTCTAAAAGAGAATCGCCCATAACCCAACTTTTTACTTTTTTTTCAAAATATTTTCTCTGCGTTTTTACACATTTATTATTAGCTAGGTCTTCAAAGAGAATACATCTTAGCAGATGTAGTAAAGAAGGATTTGTATAACTGGGAGGTGACAGGGGGAAAGTTACTTTAATGTGCAACAATATAGACCTCAGTGTCAACATTCACTACCCTCTCCAACTACACTGCATATCACATAATTTATATAGAAAAGAAAAACTATCATAGTCATATCAGAACATTTATTACCTCAGCATAAGCTTCCATATCCTCTAGAAACTGACCCAGAAGTGTGGTAGAAAATGCAAGGTCAGCCACCCAAAATGGTTCCAGGCTCTGTAACCAACCTGTAAAAGTGCCAGAATAATTAAAACATTAAGACCAAAGGGTTATTTAATTTCCTTAGTTGACAAAAATATTGTAAACAACAACCTCAATGCTTGTCCATAATGCCCTGCCTCATGCACAGAGAAAGAAATGTTTCAAGCTACAGACAATGTGGTCCATGTTGCCCGGTTTTGGTCTAAAATTATTTAGTCACTTGTGTTCCCTCTATTTTATTAGTTTTATACCTATTTATGCAATGCTTTTTTACACAAAATAAATAAATAATTTTTCCCAGACTTACCTGACACTTGCTGTGTCAAAGAAGGCTTCTGAGTGTGATCAATATGCCATCCAACTAATATGTCAACTGTGTCCTTGAAAAGCAATACAAAAATTAATCCACCTGTACTTAAGAATGTATTTATACTGATATGACAAGAGAGACAAATGATCTTACCCTAAAGTTTGTGCTGAATATGTGAGGATAACATCGGGACACGAGAAGGATGCACTTGACACATTTACACAGCAATTCTGGCGTATCCACATTCTCTAGAATAGACTGCAGGCTTGTCATGACGAGCTTTAAAAAGGATATGCACTTGGTTATAATTTTACATAACCAACACTCAGAGATCTAACAAATATGTCCAGAAAAGTCTGCTGAAAAACAGAAAACTGCTCTAGGCAGATCTACTTTGATTCTAAACTTATAAGGCACATACTTCCACAATCAGAAGGTTTTCTGAAAGGAGTTGGGTGGATAGAGCTTTTAACCCTGAATCTTTTGAATGATGTGCAGACAATTATTTCAAATATAATATTTTGAATGACGTGGAGACAATTATTTCAAATATGCAATTTAAATCCCAAGGAAACACATTTCTTCTCAATTAGACATCAGTTTCAGAAGCATCAAATGAATAAGAGATGAGCAGTTATAGAAATGGTGACACTCTCAAACTGATGGCTGATGTCCATTATTAGTCTAGTCCTTTTAAACAATAATGTCATCACACTTCAAATTAAGGAAATACACTAGTAATTCATTAATCCTAAAATTGATAAATGCTCCCATCATGATTATGAAAAGATGGTGAACAGGGCATAATCTTTCTTAAAGTCAATCAAAGATATATATTTTTCTTAATCAGCATAGTCAATCTGTCCATTTCTGCTATTTTACAGATTTTCATCAACCATTCTTCTTGCATTGGGATAACTGAAATCTTCCGTCTCTGACCATATACAATTCTTCTATTTTTTCTTTCTAGATGATAATCTAGCATTCTCAACAAATAAAACTCCAACCTCAAGTTTAGCCTTAACAATATCTTCCAGCATCAAATGTATTTGGATCCAATATTTAGTGGATGGATTCTTTGTCTCAGAAAGAAAACAGGAACCTTTCAAAATCAGTTTTAAATTTTACTATTTTGTCTATTTCTAGTACTGGAAAACTCTAGAGATTCAGAAAAAATATATCTCAGTTACAGTGGATTGTTACAACATATTCTTGGTAGAATAAAATGCATTTCGGAAAGAAAGCACACACAATATTTCAAATTCAGTTTTAATCCATTTTTATGTTATATTATTTATTTACACTACAGCATGTTCATTAAAATCATCTGGCATATGAAAAGCTAAATTCAGTTCAATTTGTGTTCTTACTTGCATTACAGATGAAAAGGCTTTCTTCTCTCCCACAGTCTCCAATGCTTTGTAAGTTGCACATAAATAAAGAAGCTTGACTTCATCTTTAGTGGATGAACTAAATTTGTTAAAAATCCATTTAAAGATCTTCTCCGCTTCATAGCTCAAAGAAGCACAAAGAAGGCCAAGACAGCAAGCTCCCTCCTGTCTCAGTTCCTGAAGCAATTTGCTACTGCAATGATGGGAGGGGAAAATGTTAACAAATTTCAGTTACTGGCAATAAATAAATAAACGAACGGCTATGATCTGGCTATCCCTCTCCAATGACATTATTTTGAGAAAAATGCAGAAATACATAATGTGCACTGGGTTCCTTCCAGTTGCTCACACTACCAAAGCTGCAGCAGCCCTCTAAAACATGCTTCATGAACCCACAGCTGGAAAACTGCAATGTAGGTGAACTGAAGGTATGAATAAATGAAAGAAGATTCCTCTCTCCACATGTGGTTCCATTTACCTTGAAAATAGTTCTCAACTTTCAAGGAACTCCTGCATTAAAAATTATAACAGGTTGAATATCCCTTACCAAAAATAGTTGCAACTAGAAGTCTTGTAGATTTTAGATTTTTCTGGATTTTAGAATATTTCCATTTGCATAATGAGATATTTCGGAGATGGGACCCAAGTCTAAACTTGAAATTATGCTTCATGAATACAGTATCCACAACAACCTGAAGGTAATTTTGCACACAATATTTTTTAATAATTTTGTGCATGAAGGAAACTTGGTTAAGTGATGATGTCAGTCACCATTGTGGATGATTTTGAAGCCTTTCAGATTTCCGGATAAGAGCTATTCAATCTGCATTATCTACCCCTCAAAAATATTGTATTCTTTTAATTAAATCTAAAGCATGCAGCCTCTCAAAGAAAACCTAATATTCCAGAAATTCCTGGCTGAGAAACTCTGGATTAACTACATTTTGCTGCTCCTGTTGCACAATAGATGTTAGCTGGTCCACTGCCTTCCTCTCCCAGGCTGAAGATGCAATCTAGCCACTTTGTGACCTCTGAAAACACTTGTCATTCCAACTTACCTTTCATTAAGCACATCATGTATAGCAGTCAGGATATTATCCAGTTGCTTAACCAGTACCTGAAATAGTCAACATATACACTTTTAGAAAAGTTCTGTTACAGTTTAAATTCAAGTTGCCTTATCATTAACAGTGTAATCACATGCTGCTATTCTATTTCACCTGTGACCGCCCATCCCAAAAAGGGAGAGATTTAATATATAAATTATCAGAAGTGAGTCCTATAATATCTAGGAAACCATTGGGACATTCTATTATTTATTCCTATGAAGGTTCTTCAGTGAGCTAACATGATGGAGAGGGATGGTGAGAGCAAGAAAGAACACTTTGTTTGAGAGACGCGAGCCTGTCAAGCTAAGGAAGTCACAGAAATAAATCTATATCCTTCAGGTGACAAATGGCTTTGAGGTCAACATTTACTTTACTTATGAAATAGCTTGAAGGCATACTTGGCACTGTTAATATTAAGAATAATTAGTCCCAACAAGCAATTGCAAGACAGTTAGCTTCTCAGCCTTTTGGAACTACTTGGAACCTTGAATGATGGAGACGGTTCCTAAACTATGCCTTCAGTTCTTAGTAACAGCTAGAGAGTACTGTCTCTCGTTTTTACCTATATATACTGCTAAGAGTACTTTCCCCAATGCAAGCATCTATAGTATTCTTGTTTTAAGCAGAGATACTTATAACAAAAGGAGAAAGAGAACCCGACCAGATTCTTCTATTAGCTGTGAAGCTGCTGATCTTCCTTAAAGTTCAGTGATACTAATGATCAGTGATCTTGCAATCTTTCCATTAGCTGTGATGCTGAATGTGTTCCCCCAAAACTTCCAACTTCTTAATCAACCACATTCAGGACAAATTAAGCAGCCACTCTTCAAAACTTTCTTCAGTTTGTTGTAGTTTTCAAAGACAAAGCACATTGATCTGTTTCAGCATATGATGGTTGGAGAGTGAAGAATCTGGTAGCAGCTTTGAGATTAGTTTATTTTAGTAGGAGTTAATGTAGATATCAATCTGTGTCTTCAGATACACTGTCTCAAAGATGCTGCTAAATTGCATCATTCTCCAGTCCCATTTCTCAATTTCTTCCCTTTGACAAACAAGGAGCCACTTCTACAACTACAGCCTGAACAAAGGACCAAGACTCATTAGAAAGGGAAAGGTAGTGGGTGGGGGTGTACAAGCAGTCCCCGAGTTATAAACATATGACTTACAGACGACTCATAGTTAAGAATGGGGGTGAGGCAGCAGGAAGTGAGAGAAATCTTATCTACCTCTCAGAAGAAAAATTCATTTCTGAAAGAGTTGTCATGGGACATAGGGGTCTCCACTGAAACTTTATCACCAATCCTTGTTCCCACAAGACAAATTTTTCAAAATCCAATTCTCACAGCAACAAAAAGTCTTTTGAGCAGAGACATAGACAAGAAAATAAACACTACAGGGGTGTTAAACCTTCCCTATGCTGTCCAACACTAGAAAGGATATGTTTTGGCCTGGAATTACACTTTAAAAAGTATCTGCTCTAATATACAAATTCAACTTAAAAACCCATTTTGTTCGTAACTTTGGGACTGCTTGTACTGGCTTCTTCCTTTGTATTTTAAACTGGAAGAGAACATATATACAAGGTTCTCATATCAACCCTGCAACTGCTCCGACACTGATGACAAATCTGGCAAACTGACATCCATTAACCCAAACCTCAGCATGGTGAACCACACCTTCTCTAGGCAGATCCATTTACACAACAAGAAACTCTGTATTCATGTGGTGATAACAGAAGACACTTGATACTTCACCAGTTTGTTCTCTGGTTGCTGAATGAATTCTTTCAGTTGCTTTACAGTCGCCAGTCTTCGGTCTCTGTCATCTTCCCGAGTAATCCTCCGAAGAAGATTTGACAGTCGAGACTCATCAGAGTAAGACAATGATCGCTCTACAAAGGGAGGCATTAACATGTGTAAATGCTTTCCTCCCCTCTCCAAATATGTTTTAAAATTTTAAAATCCAAATTACAACAAAGCAAAATATACATAAGTGTTTTAAAAATCTATCTGCCATATTCCTAAATACAAGGTGGCTCATAAGAGGAAAAAACAAGCACACAAAAAATAGACAAAAAGATTTTTTAATATTTAAACATTATGAAATAAAAAAACCGTTCTAGCACAGGTTATGTGCATAGTCAATTTATACTTCATGTTTCTTTAACAAAAATGAAGCCTGATTTGTGGGGGCTTTGCTACAAGATGCCTTGCTCTGAAACAAATCAAAATACCTTGTTATTGACCAAGAGCCAATCTTATCACTAAAAGGCCACTTATTAACAATAGTCCTCAGAGTTAAAGCATATTTAATCTATCTATCTATCTATCTATCTATCTATCTATCTATCTATCTATCTATCTAACTAATAAAAGTGAAAATATTTATGTGTGCATGTGGTTGGGCTGCCCACTTCCATAGAAAGGCTCCCACTTCCACACAGCTTTAACCCACAGTGCTGTGGAGCCACCAAAAGCTCTCCCTCCAATGACATTTCAGGTTATAGCGGGCACAGTGAACATGTAACCAATGTTCTCCCCAAACACCATACAGCCCACCACCCAAGTAATGCTTTCATTTGGAACAATTTCATCCTAGATTTTACAAGTTTCCTCCACCATAGACATCCCAGTGTTTTTTACTTTCTCCATTGGCATGGAATTTTGCACGATCCCACCCACTGCCTCTCCCTTAACCCTTTCCTACTCTTTTCAACTCTATGTACACAACCAACAGAGCAGAACGAATCAGCAACTAAACATACCGGAGGAGTTTGGGGGATTGACTCCACATGATGGAATTTGTAGTTCACCCTGAATCAAGTCAGAGCACTGTGACCCCCACTGACAATGGACCTGGACCACATTTGGCACACATAACCCCCATGACCTAAGAAAAATATTGGAGAGGTTTGGGGGGAATTCGCCTTAATTTATAGCTGTTGTAGGTACTGGGATTTAGAGTTCACCTGCAATCAAAGAGCACTCTGGACTCCACCAACAATGGCCCTGGACCTAACTTGGCACACAGAACCACCACGACCAACTGAAAATACTGGAGGGGTTTGGGGGGAACTGACCTTCATTTCTGGAAGTTGCAGTTCACTTACATCCAGAAACACTGTGACCACCACCGATGACAGATTGGACCAAACTTGGCACACAGAACCCCCATGACCAACTGAACCTACTGGAGGGATTTGCGGGGGCTGACCCACCATGGTGGGAGCTGTAGTTTATCCTACAGCCATAGATCACACTGAACCCCATCAGTGCTGCATCTAGAGCAGGCAGAGTCAAACTTTTTTGCCTTGGGGCTACATTGTGAGTCTGGCCAGGAGGGCTGGGTCAGGAGGGAGGGGGCCGGGCACACGCTGGGTGGGGTGGGCCTGGGAGAGGGTGGGTCCATGAGGGACCAGGGGAGGGCCCCGGTAATCCTCAGGTTGTCCTCCCAGCATAAGGCGGGATACGCAGCGACTGCCCCAATCCTCAGGCTGTCCTCTTGGCATTATGTCAGGAGGAGGGCAAGACAGGAGGTGACTGAGAGTGCTCTGGGGGGCTCTCAGCCGCCGCATGCCTTCCTTGAGCCGGGGGAGACACACAGTGGCTGAGAGCGCTCCAAGGGCTCTCAGCTGCTATGTGCCTTCCTCCCTCATTTTTTGGCATAAGGACATGGTAGGGTCACCAGGTCTTTCTGCCTAGAGGACAGGGGAAAATGAGGAGGGTCTGAGATAAACACCCAGGGAGCTGCATCCAGTCCCCGGGCCTTAGTTTGCCCATGCCTGATCTAGAGCAAACTTGCCCCACACGATAAAATTTAACTACTGATGGAGTTTTGGGGGTAACCTGACATGATGTCAGTTGTAGTTCACCCACAACCTTATGCATTTTGTAAAATGTTTTAAAAATGACTTTTTCAAATAACATGGGCAACACCGGGTACCCATCAGGTGTAACTGTACCTAATGTTAAGAGATTTCACACGTTCATGTACTTAACAGGACTCTACTTTGGGCATGCATTTCTTGGTCTTACTGTGATAACAGGGAATCACTGCCATCAAAACAGAATTGTTCAGGTCAACACAATTCTCACCCTGTGTTTTCCTCATGTCTTTTGTGATTAAAGCACGATTGCCATGCTGAGCACTGGTAAAATCAGAATTGGTCACATTGTTAATTCTCAGCTCTTGCCCCAACGACTTCCGACCATAAGTATTTTCCCCAGATCCTCCATTGACACTGTAGCCACCTGGAAGTAAAGAGGCCATTAGTTTCTCTGGGAAGCCATATGCTGCAAATGTAGTAACACTGTGCAGACTTCACACCTTTGTGATCTACACTTTGCACATGTAAAACACACCTGCTTTAAAACAAAGAATTCTAAAGCCAAGAATCTGAATACCAGAACTGAAAGAGGCCCAGAGTATTTCCAAACAAAAATCCATGATGATTTCCAGCATCTCCAAGGCTTGCCATTTCAGCTGCATAACTTGGAGATAGCATTCCTACTGTTTACACATGTAAAAAGAAAAAGTAGTCTTTCACGTATGAACTCATACATAGGGGTCATTCTACACCAGCACAGCAGCACTTTCAGAAATCTCTAGAACTAGTTCATGCTTTTGGCAAGAATCCCAACCTCACTCCTTCTCAGCATCTGAACCAAAACTTGGACAATCCAGTTTACAGGGACCTAATATACTGTACCAGTCCACTCTTGACTGGAGTCTGTGATAATTAGCACAGAAAATGCCAGGTTATGAGAAAAGCAGAAAGGTGTCCACAATAGGCTACAAATAATAGTGTAAAGGGTCTGATAGATACTGCTTACACAATCACCAAAGCCCTGAGACCATTTCTGTGCTTATGGGAGGGGGGAGGTTGAAACTTAACTACAAAATGGATTCAGACAGCCTCCAAGAATGTAGGCAAGAAGAAACACAAGCTCAGTTTAACAGACACAGAGTCCAACCTCTTCTTCCTTCTAGATTCCTTAATTAAGCCTAATGAAAGCATTCACATATAAGAAACAGCATACTGGAGAAACCTGGCTTCATTTTCAATTACCTGAAGGGAACTCTGTGTCATAGTGCTTCTTGGGCCTGGACAACTAGCTTAAAGTAGTGTCATGTAAACTGTGAACAACAAAATGTCATATTCAAGAGCTGAAGCAGGGCTCAATTTGAAAACAATTCGCTTGAGTCCATGTAATGCATCTCAGCTTCCAATATTACAGACCTCTCCTAAATATATGATAAAAAGATTATCAAGTCCACAAAACAATAGGAGCACAAACGAAATACAATATAACATAATTGTCGCAGTAGAGACAAGAGACTGACTTCCTTTGGATGTGTTTTCACCCAAAGAATAAGAATGAAGCAGGGACAATCCAGGTTGCTACAATTTTTTCAACCTTTTTGGCTGTTCATCCTTTCTATCCAGAAATTAAAAATGCTTCCAGTAAACATGCCATTATAGAGAATACAAAATTTCTGAACTGAAGTGTTGTAAGCCTAGGAAGATATTCTACTTTTACTATAAAAAAATCATTTAATTAGCTTGTATTTCATGCAAAAGAAAATATATTAAGATTATCACTTTGATAATTCAATTACATATAACATGAAAACATTACTTTAATCAGACAAAAAAAAAAACAGAAGAATCCATAGCTTGATGAACTAACACAGATCCAGTAAAACATATTAACTACTTTGATATTGTCAGTTATGACTCTATTTTTCTCAAAGTCAGTGTTCTTTTTATGTACCTTTTTCTTCATTCTGTATGTCAGTGGAGACTCTGATCTCATCGTGTCTATGTCGAGACACCACAGCTGAATTTGAAGATTGTAATCCATAGGATGAAGAACTACTTCTTTCACGGGAAGTGGTGTATTTTAAATTCTCTTGGTCTGTTGATGGATTGTCAGTTCTGCAAGAGGAAAAATGTTTCAGGTGCTTTCCTCAAGAAATCCAATGTAGCACTTGCTACTCCCAATAAATATAGGAATCAACATTGGAATATTGGAATAATTACACTTTAGGAGAGTTAAATATTCTAAAGGCACCGGATCTTAGAAGCTAAGCATGGTCAACATTAGTTAGCACTTGTATGAGAGATTGTCAACAAATACAATGTTTTTAGGCAATGTTTCAGATGAAGGAAACGGCAAATCCCTAGCTAAGAAAAGCCTATGGAATTCAAGGAATTGCCATAAGTCAACAGGTCATCTGAAGGCACATACATGCACCATCTTTGAATAACGACATAAGTTATTCAAATATTGAATAACTTTTTTCCAATTTGTGCAGTCACTTTTTTTTCAGTTGTAGATTATTACATCTGTGTGAAACAATGCCTGGGGTAGTCTATCACATTAGAACAGATGACCATACGACAAAATGACTAACATGGGCAGATGCATACACATATCAATTAGGTTGAGAATTCAGCCATTCAAGACAGCCCTATATTTCTACTACCCTTAGGTGACAAGATGACCAAGCATCTAGACTTTTCCACCCCGAATGGATGCCAAAAGTATAGTGCAGCTTAACTAAAAAAAAACCTTTAAGGCAGTGTTTCTCAACCTGGGGCATGCGAGGGGATTTCAGAAGGGTTGCCAAAGACCATCAGAAAACACATATTTCTGATGGTCTTAGGAATCCCTTTGGCAGAGAAGGCTGAAGATCTCTCCGTATGTCCCTCTCTTCCTTTCTGGAAACAGACATAAAAGCACTCCTCAGCTGTGCTTGGCCAGCCCATGATCCGTTGTGGGCTGGGTTCAGAGTTCTCTTTGATTGTGGGTGAACTATAAATCCCAACAACTACAACTCCCAAATTTCAAGGTCTAAAATGTGTTTACATTTGGGCATATTAGTCCAGATCCATCATTGTTTGAGTCCAGAGTGCTCTCTGGATGTAGGTGAGCTACAACTCAAGATCAATGCCAACCAAACCTTGCCAGTATTTTCTGTTGATCATGGGAGTTCTGTGTGCCAAGTTTGGTTCAGTTCCATTGTTGGTAGAGTTCAGAATGCTCTTTGATTGTAGGTGAACTATAAATCCCAGCAACTACAACTCCCAAATGTCAAAATCAACCCCCCACCCCCACCAAGTATTCAAATTTGGGCGTATCAGGTATTTGTGCCCAATTTGGTCCAGCGAATGAAAATACATCCTGCATATCAGATATTTACATTGCAATTCATAACACTAACAAAATTACAGTTATGAAGTAACAATGAAAATAATGTAATAGTTGGGGGTCACCACAACATGAGGAACTGTATTAGGGGGTAGCGGCATTAGGAAGATGGAGAAACACTGTTTTAAGGCTTCCTTTTTAATTCTTACTTTGTAGGAAAGTTCCCTTGCTAGTACTCACCAAACACAACCACAGCCTAATGTTTCTACAAACAACTCTTTAACTGACAAATTATTTCAAACTAGGAGTTTCTACAGGAATCCTAATAACGCCCATGGTGGTGTGACCAAGACACACATTGCAAGTGGTAACAATTCTACAAAACACTCAAATGTAACAGATAGATACGGCAGAATTCCCTAGCACATTCTACAAAATAATGTGCTGAAGAACAGATATCACAATCAAACAAAGTGCATTGCAACACCACCAAAATAACATATTTGAGCTTTATCTCAAGTCCTAATTTAATACTTCAAGCGTCTAACACTGGTATCACTTCTCTTGTATAAAATAATCATTTTAAGGATCCAGAAGATAAGCAAATTAAAAGAGCAACAGCCTCAGAACATAAATCCCTATAACAGATAGATTCAAAGCAAGATAAATGCATTAAGTTCCTATATAACAAATGGTTAAAGACAACTATCTGCTTAGTGCCTTCTCCAAACATATGGACAATATCCCACCATTCCACAAGGTAAAAGTCTATTACTATGTAAGAATTAAACACCCTGGTTATTTCCCAGGAAAGAGTCAACGATTTCTGTGTGTGTGTGTGTGTGTGTGTCAGGAGCGACTTGAGAAACTGCAAGTCGCTTCTGGTGTGAGAGAATTGGCCGTTTTCAAGGACGTTGCCCAGAGGATGCTTGGATGTTTGATGTGTTACCATCCTGTGGGAGGCTTCTCTCATGTACCCGCGTGGGAAGCTAGAGCTGCGACAGGGGCTCACCCCGCTACCCGGATTCAAACCACCAACCTGTCGGTCAGCAGTCCTGCTGGCACAAGGGTTTAACCCATTGCGCCACAGTACAATGCAAGTATACATATTGCCATACACCTAGAATGATGTCAGCATATTATAACTAAGTATTGAACATATCCTAGCAGAAACAATGCAAGAGTTTGTTTATTCTCTGGACTAGCCTTTAAGAAACTACAACCACATATTCACAGCATCGTTGAATATTTCATTTAGCATCAAATTAACAGAGCCACAATAATACTGAGATGTTTTGCTTTATCCATCATGCAGATTTATGGGGTTACATGGTACACTGAGGTCCATTCTGCCTTTATGTGATATGATGAAACAGAGGTATCGTGTACACAGAATAGAAAGTACACTTACTATACTAATACTGGAGAAGCAGAAAGAAAAACCAAAATCGAATAAGCTCTGTAAGCTCTATGCTCTATGAGATTCTCTTTTAGTAACCAAATAAAGACAAATAAAAAGCCCATAAGGGATTAATCCTGAAGTACATACAGTCATTCATTTAATAATTTCAGAATGGAAAAAATGATTAAAACTGTTCTAAATTATAAACATTTGCTAAAATCTATTAGATTACAAATCTCATATTTCTCAGATCCATGCTTTACTTTTTGCACAACTTCACTTAGTTTGTCAACTTGCCAGTCTGTTACTCAATGTCAACACAACCTACCACATATCCTGTCTGTTTAGAAGTTTGACAGAAACACTACAATACAATACAAGTGTAACCTGCAAAGTCTTGTTTCAGAAGCAAGAGAAGGAAATAGAAGAACCTAATGAAACAGCAATGCATGTATAAGAGGAAAAAATATGAGGAAACCTCCCCTTCCATGTCACAACTATATCACTCTCCCAGGCAAACACTCTTCCCAGCCTTTAATTCACTGGAAGGTTGAGAACCTTGTGGCCCTTCTTTCAAATGTTGAATTCCAATTCCCTTTGGTCCTACACAACCTAATCAATAGTGAAGCATGTTTTACTGGTTTCACATCAAACTATGGTTTAGCATATCAGGAACTAAAATTACTAGCAGTGGTGTGAAAATGGAGACAGGAAGCTCAGAACCAGATCCTGTTGGCCAGAATAACTATACTACTGCAGATGGAAGAATAAGAAGTTTTCTTTAAAAGTAACAATGCCAGTGGTGTGTGGGACAGAGAAAGCTGTTGGACCCAAATGCCTGTTTCAACATAGATCCCCAAAGCTTAACACTTATGAAAAATCATCCCACACACAAGTGATCCTGCAAGGCAAACTCTGCAGAACACATTTAGCTTTTAGGACTCAATTTGAAGCAGCCACTGAAGATCCAGCAAATTCACTGGTGAAAAAACAGCCTCCCCCCACCCCTTGCTGTACATTAAGAAAAAAGGTATTAAGCCAGTGCAGTTCAGTCATCCATAGGATTCAAATATCGTAATTCTAACAACAAAAGAATCTGATTATTACTTGAATGTATCCTACATTAGATATATGTTTAGTATGGTTGTAAATCTACCACTTTCACTTTCTATTTTAGTGCCCATCAAGAGTTGCTTACTATTTCATACCCCTTTCTCATTACCTGATACAAATGTCCTAAAACCCCATAATTCTCTATGATTTCTATAGCTTGCTACTATCATGCTTGCATACCTGTTGTAGGGTCTTGATGAAACACAATATGCACTGTGTGTTTATTTATGTAATTTAGTAATCTGTTGTATTTGTATGTTCGTTCGTTCCCGAATCTGTTGCACCCTGCATTGAGTCATCAGCAGACGTGGGTTTTGAATCAAATTTATCATTATCAGGAGAGGTGGGTTTAAAATCAAATGTATTAGTATTAATATTATGTATGTGTGTGTTATCTATGAAATTTAGCTATCGTATTTGTAGCTCCATTTATTTATTATTTATTTCCCACATTTGTACCCCGCCCTTCTCACCCCTTAAGGGATGAAGGGAGGCCTAACAGGCAACGATTCAATGCAAACACATATCAATCCAAAAATAAACAAATGCAGTTAAATTCCAAACAATTAAAAGATCAATTATTTTTAAAAAGTTAAAACCATGCTAATTCAAATTGTTGTCCTAGGCCTGTCCATTTATCAATCACACTAATTCATTATCATTATTGCACTGCTACAATTACTGTTCGAATGCTTGGTCCCACAGCCATGTCTTAAGCTTTTTTCTAAAGATCAGGACAGAGGGAGCTGACCTGATGTCACTGGGGAGGGAGATCCACTGACAAAGGGCCACCACTGAGAAGGCCCTGCCTCTTGTCCCCACCAGTCGCGCTTGCGAGGGTGGGGGAATTGAGAGCAAGGCCTCCAGCGACAATCTTAACCTGCCAGGCGGATTATAGAGGGAGATACATTTGGACAGGTAAGCTGGGCTGGAACCATTTAGGGCTTTATAGGCTTGAATGTGTTACACCCCGTGTCAAGCCATCAGGAGAAGTGGGTAATAAATAAAATGCATCATTATTACTAATATTATGTGTGTGTTTATCTATATAATTTAGTAATCTGTTGTATTTTTATGTTCATTCATTCCTGAATGTGTTGCACCCCGCGTTGAGCCATGAAGAGAGGTGGGTTATAAATAAAATGTATCATTATTAACAGGAGTGGTGGGCAATAAATAAAATGTATCATTATCAGAAGAGGTAGGTCATTAATCAAATATATTATTATTATCAATAATACTATTTGTGTGTGTGTTTATCCATGTAATTTATTGTATTTTTATATTCAATCGTTCCTGAATGTGTTGCATCCTGCGCTGAGCCATCAAGAGGAACGGGTAATAAATCAAATGTATCATTATTATCAGCAGAGACGGGTCAAAATCTATTATTATTATTATGTGTATGTTTATCTATGTAATGTAGTAATCTGTTGTATTTGTATGTTCGTTCGTTCCTGAATGTGTTGCATCGGGCCTTGAGGAGGGGCGGGTAATAAATCAAATGTATTATTATTATTACTACTACTACAACTACTATGGGCCTGCCTGGTGGTGGTGAAGGCCTCTGGAGACACTAGGCCTCGGGTGGGCGAGGCGAAGAAGCCGCCCTTGCCTGCCTGCCTGCCTGCCTGGCTTCCTCCTTTCCTCTCTTGAGGCCCAAGCCAGGCCCACCTGCCAGCGGTGCTCGGCCGCCCCCTCCGTGCCCACCTGCTTTGCCAGTCATTCCAGCTCCGCGGGGGGTGGTGGCAGTGCGGCTGCGCCTGCGTCCTGGTGCCGGTGCTCAGCCGAGACCCCGGGGCTCTGCGGCTCATTCCCTTGCCCGAGACGGCATGGCCGGCCGGGGGTCGTGGGGCTGGGCGGTAGGCAGGTAGGCCTCTCCTCCTCTTCCTCCTTCTGCCGCTGCTCCTGCCTCTTCCTCACGCGGAAGGAAGGGAAGGAAAGGAAAGGGAGGGTCGGGGCGACGGCCGCGGACTAGGCCCCGCCTGCGTCTGGCTCCAGTCAGGCTGAGGGAAGCAGGCCGCACGGCATGCCGGGAAGGCTGGCCCCAGCCGGAATGGGCGGAGATGGCTGCGCCCCCGCCGCAGAGCATGACGGGAGGGACGGGGGGCGGCAGGGTCCAGGCGGAGGCGCTCTTCGCGAAGTCTCCTCCAGGGGGAGCCCGCGGGCCGAGACTCTGGGCATGCGTAGACACTCTCTGAAGAGACAGTCATCCAGGCCTCCTCCAGGGGGAGCCCGCGAGGCAGGTTTCTGGGCATGCGCAGACTGTCTCCACCCCACCCTCCTCCTAGCAGCCGCTTTGGCTGAAGAGGCAGACATCGAAGCCTCCTTCAGGGGGAGCCTGTGAGGTGATACTCTGGGCATGCGCAGACACTCGCCACCTTATCTCTTTCGCTGAAGAGACGGGCATCGAAGGCTCTTCCAGGGGGAGCCCGCGGGCTAGAACTCTGGGCATGCGCAGACTGTCTCTTCCCCATTCTGGCAGCAGCTTTGGCTGAAGAGACGGGCATCGAAGCGTCCTCCAGGGGGAGCCCGTGAGCCAGGACTCTGGGCATGCGCAGACACTGGCCATCCCATCATTCTGGCAGCAGCTTTACTTGGAGAGACATTGGCAGTGACTGCTCTTGTGACAGCTGGATCCACACTGCTATTGAATCCGTAAAATCCTAGAGTTGGAAGAGGCCACATGGCCATCCAGTCCAAACCCCCCCCCTTTGTTCTGCCAGGCAGGAAAAGCACCATCAAAGCACCCCCGACAGAAGGCCACTCAGCTTCTGTTTCAAAGTTTTCCAGGAAGCTTCTTCCATCAGGCTTCGATGCAGAGAGTTCCACTGCTGTGCAGCTCGTACAGTTTAGTGTTTGGTTGGTCTAGGCATCTGCAGAGCCTGGCTGTTGTTGCCTGGAGGCGTCCTCTGCTTGGGAGGTGTTAACTGTCACTTGATTGTTTGATGTCTGGAGTTCCCCTTTTTCCTGAGTGGTGTTCCTTATTTACCCTCTTGATTCTGTTTTTTTTAAAAAAAAAAATACTGGTAGCCAGATTTTGTGCATTTTCATAGTTTCCTGCTTTCTGTTGAAATTGTCCACATGCTTGTTGATTTCATTGGCTTCTCTGTGTCTGCAGACATTTATTTATTTATTTATGACATTCTCAATCCCAGAGGGGACTCAAGTCGGCTTTACACATAGGCAGCTATTCAATGCCATAAAAAACAATGTACAATTAAAATGAACATTTAAAAATAGAATTATAAAATACATCAAAACATTTAAAAACATTTAAACCAATATCTGACATGATGGTTGTCAGAGTGGTCCTATTTATTATTTATTTATCTCATATATTTATACCCCACCCTTCTCGCCCCCAAGGGGTGACTCAGGGCGGCCTCACAACGAGCACCGTACGATGCTATCACCATCATAAACAATCAACAAATACATTAAAACATTTCATTAAAACAAATCCAAGTCTGGGTTAATTCAATGTCGCACGTTTCCTAAATCTTCTTTCCACTTGCCACTGTTCACTAGTCGAACGTCTGGTCCCAAAGCCAAGTCTTCAGTTTTCTTCTAAAAGACAGGAGGGAGGTGGTCAGTCTGATGTCCCTGGTGAGAGAGTTCCACAGACGGGGGCCACTGTCGAGAAGGCCCTGTCTCTCGTCCCCACTAATCGCGTTTGCAATGGTGGTGGGATCAAGAGCAGGGCCTCTCCTGATGATCTTAAACTTCGTGATGGTTCGTAACAGGATATACATTTGGACAGGTAGTCTGGGCTAGATATTACACAGGTATATATACAGCCCACTTACCTCACTAGCAACAGAACCCCTGAAGATGCCATTAGCTACAGATGCAAGCAAAACGTCAGGAGAAAATGCTACTGGAACATGGCCATGCAGACAGAAGAACTCGCAGCCAAACAGATGATTCAAATAAAATAGAGAACATGGCCTATCCAAATAACATGCCCTGTTTTAAAATACATACAGCTATGCAGGAAGAGATGCCACATTCCCAATCACGTGATCCACAAGCCCAGATGGTATTGCTTGCCTTTCGGATAGCACACTCTATATATTTTTCCGATAGTCACCATGGGGATATACTGTCTAAATACTAAGTATATGAGAATGTACAGGCTAGCAGAGACAGATGTCTCCCTGACAACAGTTTGCATAATTTAAGACAAAGCATCTTTGCAAAGAAAACATAAGAATGCCTCTAACCACTGCCTTAAAGAATAGCAGAAGAGTCATTTGACATAGTCTAAGGCCTCATCTTCACTGCCATATAGTCCAGTTTCTAAATCCAGATTATCTGCTTTGAACTGGATTATACGGCAATGTAGACTCACACAATCCAGTTCAAAGTAGATAATCTGGATTCAGAAACTGGGTTACATGGTGGTGTAGAAGAAGCCTTAGAGACACATTTCTGTTGACAAATGTAATGGCCAGATTCATGGGAGAGCAAGAAGCCCTTCGGCTATCAGATTCATTTAAGCAATGGCTCACAGTGTTTTAGTCCTCCAAATTTTTTGGACTCAAGTCAAGCCCCAGAACGCCATGCAATAGTTATGGATTCTGGGATCTGAAGCCTAAAATACCACAAAGAGCAAATTGTGAAAATGTTGACTGAAAGCTTTAACCATAGCAAACTATCAATGCTTTGACCTGGGCTATTATCAATCTAAAAACAGTGTTTTGAAATAAATGAATTGTTTGGAAAGCTATCAGAGTGTAGTCTCCATGCATACTGTAGCAAGTGCCTAATATGAAAGTATAATCTATAGTTACCTGGATTACAGATAACTATAGCTAGACCAGCCATTTATTTATTTATTGGATTTATACCAGTTAGTCAACTCTAGCTGTCTGCAGTGGAGAAATGACTTAATTGTCTCCATCCTGACTGATGGCTATTTCTTTTATTTTGATCATATTTATTTATCATGTCAGAAGCAAATTGAGAATACAGTTACAATGTAGAAAAAAACACAAATAAAGTTAAAAACTTGGCCTTATACTAAATGTCTTTGACCAGAAGCTGGCCACTTGGAGCACCTCTGTTGTCACTGTGAGAACGTCTTCCATTGTGCATGTGGCAGGGCTCACACTGCATTGTAGTAAGTGGTCTGTGGTTTGCTCTTCTCCCCACTTGCATGTCATGGACTCCACTTTGTGGCCCTATTCCATAAGGTTTGCTCTGCATCTTGTGGTGCCAGAGCACAGCCTGTTCAGCGGCTTCCAATTCACCCCATCTTCTTTGAGCCTAGGAGGGAGTTTCTCATCCACTGATTGATGTTCCGGGTTTCAACCTGCCCCTTTTGGACTCTCACTTGCTGAGGTGTTCCTGCGAGTATTTCTGTTGATCTTAGAAAGCTGTTTCTTGATTTAAGGCCTTGGCTTTCTGGCTGATATCCAAGCAGAGGATGGGCCGGAGATGTCACTGCCTTGGTCCTTTCATTTCTGGCTGCTACTTGCAGGTGATTATCAGGTGGTGCAATACCGGCTAAACAGTATAATTTTTTCAGCAGCATAGGGCTTAGACATCCTGTGATAATGTGGCATGTTTCATTAAGAGCCATGTCCACTGTTTTAATATGACGAGATGTATTCCACACTGGGAATGTATATTCAGTAGCAGAGTAGCAAAACACAAGGGCAGATGCCTTCACTGTATCTGCTTGTGATCCCCAGGTTGTGCCAGTCAGCTTTCGTATGATATTATTTCTAGCATCCACATTTTGCTTGGTAGTCAAGCAGTGCTTCTTGTAAGTCTAAGCACGGTCCAGAGTGGCTCCCAGGTATTTTGGTGGACTGCAACGCTCCAGTGGGATTCCTTCCCAGGTAATCCTCAGAGCTTGAGATGTTTGTCTGTTCTGAAGGTGAAAAGCACATGTCTGCATTTTAGATGGATTAGAAATCAGCTGGTTTTCCCTGTAATAGGCAGTAAGAGCACCTAAAGATTCATAGAGCTTCTGTTCAACCATTTCAAAGCTCCATGCTTGAGAGGTGATGGCACAATCATCAGCATAGATGAAACTCTCTGTCCCTTCTGGCAGTGGCTGGTTATTTGTGTAAATGTTAAACATTGATGGAGCAAGCACACTCCCCTGAGGCAGGCCATTCCTCTGTCTTCGCCATCTGTTTCTCTCACCCTGAAACTCAACAAAAAAGCTCCTGTTTTGTAGCAGATTTCCTATGAAGCGGGTGAGGTGGTAATCCTTTGTGATTTTGATCATGAAAATTGTATCTGGAGTTGCTTCACTTGGCAGATGTTTATACACATTGGATACGGGAGGAACTGAAAAGCAAAAGATCCAGATATGGATCATTATCTTTTTCATGGCCATTAACAAACTGTGATTGAGTGATAAACTGATATCCCAGCTTAGAGAAACCGATTGACATATAGTAGGCATCTTTGGAAGTTCTTTGCAATTGGGTTGAAAATGTTGAAAAATACAAAAAAGAAGCACCAAAACATCTCACTCCATTGCTATTTTAACTTTGCATTGTTGGGTGGGAGATAGGGTTTGACAAAGACTGTGCTGTCGAAACCCCACCTACCAGGACCCCTTGTGGATACCAAAAAAAGTCATGCATATTGGATCTGTGGTTACAGAATCTGTGGATATGGAGGTTTGGCTGGAGCACTTAACTCTTTCTACTTCTGTTACTATATATTCACCAGCAGATGGCTGCATTTCCCCACAGATATATAAAATGTAGACTATGAAGTTCTGAAATTTGCCCATAATATACACAGATTTTCTTGTTGTCACCATGATAATGTTGAGTATTTTACTTTTGATTCTGATGAAATTAAAAATGGAGTGAAAGCACCTCAAACTGGAAAATTTGTTCATACAACATTCTATACGAAATGGACAAAATATAACTATTTGCTGAACGTTTGATTAGGATGACCACCTGAATCTAGATATCAAGTTTGATGCTACTAGTACTAATAATAAATAACAACAACTAGTTCATTGTAGAGCAAAATGTACAAAAAGAAAAATAGTTTCTTTGTGAAG